GGGTTACGAGATCTTGTCCCTCGCCTAGAGTCATGCTTTGGCCTTTCCTGAGACGTGTTTTTTTCGCCCTACGACGCTTGCTAAGTATTGCATTCTCGTCTTCAAGGGCTTTCATCCTTGCCTCCATTAAGGTAAACTTATGCATAATCCCCTTTGCCCCCTTCGTGAACTGCTCAACTGCTTCAATAATTGACGTTGGAGAGCTTCCCTGGTGACGAGAGATTCGACCTTTAATAAAATCAGACTGTGAACGGGCTTCTATAGCTGTAGTAGGCGTTCGGGAAGTCCATAGCTCGGGTGACCTCCGAGGCGTCCCTGGGGGCGTTGGCGTCTTGAACTTTACATCGAGCTTGGATAAGACTGCTTCTGGGTCATAGGGTACAAGTCCTGCCCCTCTGAAGCCTCCCTGGATGTTTTTTTCCGTCATTGTCTGTTGGAATGCTGCTAAAAACGAGGGGAGGAAGTCCTCCTTGCTGATATGCGTTGTACCCGCCTTCATCTTGAGCTCGATTTGCCGACCGTATGCTTTCTTCAGCGGACCAAAACACCCAACATCGAGAGGCTGGAGTATATGAGACGAGTGAGGAGGCATACAGAGCGTAATAATCTTGCTGTCCTTGCAGTAGAGCTCGAATTCGACCGAGTGGTGACTTTCGTGGCCGTCGAGGACGAGGAGGCGATAATCGCCTTTTGTTCGCAACTTTGTATGCTGATCGAAATGCCGAATCCAATCTAGACCAATTTCATTTGTAGTCCAGCCGTTTAGGGACGTTATAATTCTCCAGTCGCGAGGAATCGCGTCGTCTTGGTACCAGGTCGAGAGGTGATATTTGCCGGCAAATACTACGAACGGCGGGACGTAAAATCCGGTCGCGCCGACGCCCTGGATGACCGTAACCCATTCCCGATTACCCGGTTGCTTCATCTTAACGTTCGAACGTCTTTGCGCGTTTGTAACGACCATCCCGGTCGCGATAACGCCCATCTGAAAGCCTGTCTCGTCGAAGTTGTAGATATCGGAGTCCGCGACACCGTATTTCGCAACTACGTTCCGCACAAGCCGAAACCACGCGTTTATCGCGTCGGGATCCTCGCACTGGGCTCTCTTGTAGTCGTACTTGCGAAAGAAACGCGTCTGGAGCTCTGGTCGTCGTTTAACAAAGGTTGAGGCCCAGTCGATTCCGACACCTGGCCTGTCGCGCTTCGCGAGTAGTTGATTCGCCATTTCTCTAACCTCACTTAGCCGAGGAGGATATGCTCGCGCATCCAAGTCGAGAATGTATTCGACAATCTTCTCCTCTTCCAGCTTGGTTAATTTTGTAGAATTCGGAGGGCTTTCGCGTCGGGCAGGTACTCCCTTCTCTCGGCGTCGTAGGGTTGTTCGGGGGACGTTGAACATCTCGGCAGCGCGTCGGGTGCTTAAGTTTGGGTCGTTTTCCATTGCTTGGATAGCAAGGAACAATTGACTCTCTTTAGAAGGCGTCTCCATCTTTCGTGGTGGAATAAACGCGTGAAGAAGAGTTGGATTCGGTATAGTGAATGAAAGTGGGCCACTCGCCCGTATGGGCCACTCGCCCGTGGATTACGTTCGTCTAATTGTCCATGTTTCTGCGCGCATATGACGCGAATACTACGAACTGCCGATCAAACTAGCACCGGTTCACATCGCTTAGACGACTTCATGATCCCGTCGAACCCTTAAATAAGTCACAGGATTGTACTCAGTATTAGTACAGGGCATTACTTGTTATCTAGAGTTCCGCAGGGGTTATTCCTATGTTGTTATTGGAAACAATCACCTGCATTCTCGACTGTGCGGTATGGAGGAGACCTCATTCTCGGGTAAAACGACTTGACGTATCGCTGTTTTATTGTAGAGTCTGCTATTCGTTCTAATGATAACAAAGTATAGCCTCTGGATATACCAGCGGAAGCATAGGCGGCTTCCTTCCCTTCAGTTGCCAGAACCAGGTATCGTTACTGCAACTTTCTCGTGATCTCCCGGCTCGATATGCTCGTGGCCCAGTACACCCTCCCATGCGGACGAGAATTTTCTGTTCAATCACTGGTAGTTTTAACAATCTTCCCGATTTGACCAGCTCTCTTGCAATACGCTCAGTTTGTATCGTTTCATACTCCCATAATCGAATCCTCGCCTGGTCGATACGCGCTATCTTTTGAACGTCGAGATCTACTACAGTAACGAGATATAGTGGCAGTGTTTTGCAGCATTCATTCTCCGTTGAATATGTATTGCTGTTGAAGTTTGTTTTTCCTTGATTGAATATAACGTAATCCACGGGTGGATGAGACACACGGGTGGGTGAGACACTTTCCCACATTTCTTAATGAATAACATTCTTTCCCTATTTTCTCTACCAACAATCATGAGACGACAATCAAAAGAAAGCGACCTGGTTCTAGCGTTGAATGCGCTTCAATCAGACCCAAAATTAAGCGTACGGAAGGCTGCAAAGATCTATAACGTAGCGCACGCAACCCTCTATCGACGACGAGACGGCCGACCCGCGCAACGCGATACCCAACCACCCTGTAAGAAATTGACCTCGTACGAAGAGGAGAGCATTGTACGATACGTAATCGACCTAGATTCGCGATCATTCCCACCGCGACTTAGTGGTGTTCGAGAAATGGCAGATCGACTCCTCGCCGAACGCGACGCGCCGCGCGTTGGAACGAACTGGGCCTCAACCTTCGTACGACGACGACCCGAGCTCCGTACGCGTTTCAATCGAAGAATCGATTATCAGAGAGTCCTCTGCGAAGATCCCGACGCGTATCGCGCGTGGTTTTCGCTCGTACGGAACGTAATCGCGAAATACGGGATCCACGATGACGATATCTACAACTTCGACGAGACCGGCTTCGCGATGGGCAAGATCTCCGCCGAGACTGTCGTTACGACCTCCGATCGACGCGGAAGGCCTAGAGCCGTACAACAAGGCAATCAGGAATGGGTTACAGTAATCCAGGGGATCGGGTCGTCCGGCAATTCGATTCCGCCGTACATTATCTTTGCAGGCAAGGTCCACCTCGACTCCTGGACCTCCGAAAGCCCTCTACCGCCAAACTGGGTTATCGCGCTTACTGAAAACGGCTGGACGACGAACGAGAAAGGCCTCGAATGGGTAAAACACTTCGACTTTCATACAAAGAGCCGTACGAAGGGCGTTTATCGGCTCCTCATTCTCGACGGCCACGAGAGCCACCACTCGGTCGATTTCGAGCTGTACTGCAAGGACCAGAATATAATCACGCTCTGTATGCCTGCTCATTCGTCGCATAAGCTCCAGCCTCTCGATGTCGGGTGCTTCGGACCTCTAAAACGGGCGTACGGAAACGAAATCGAAGGTCTTATGCGGGCGCACATTACCCACATCGCGAAGGAAGACTTCCTCCCAGCCTTTTACAAGGCGTACGACGCTGCAATTTCGAAGTCAAATATACAGGCAGGCTTTAGAGCGACTGGCCTAGTACCGTACGACCCGGAATACGTCATTTCGCAGCTAGATGTGAAGCCTCATACGCCAACACCGCCAGGTTCCTCTACAGGCCTCCCGCCACCCTGGGTCTCGAAGACGCCAAACAACCTGATTGAAGCCGAATCGCAGACTGAATACATCAAGAATCGTATCGTACGGCATCAGGATAGCTCTCCTTCATCAATAATTGTAAGCTTACGGCAGCTAAATAAAGGAATCGCAATGATGGTGCACGAGCAAACCCTTGTACGCCACGAACTCGCCGAACTTCGAGATGCAAATGACCGCCTTAGCCGCCGTCGCCGTACAAAGAGAAAGCAGCTACAGAAAGGAGGATCCCTAACAATTAATCAGGCAAAGGACTTGAAGGATCAAATCGATGCGACGCAGCAGTTACAGGCAGAAACGAGTCAGAATAGTGGTCGCGCGAGGAGGACAGAGACGCGCGCGCGACGCTGTGGCGTCTGCGGGGAGCCCGGTCATAATGCGCGTACGTGTCAGAAAGTTGAGTCTATCTCTGAAGAAGAGGATTCTAAATAGTTTTGATTAATTTGAGGCGTTGTGCTTGAATGCACTTATACATTGTCGTGTAAGTGCCTAGAAAGTGGGCGGGTCGCTTGTGTGGGCGGGTCGCTTGTGGAGTACGTTATACACCTTATAATTTTCCTAGCTTAACTATTCTTATCGTTTACGAATAACTTAGACTTAACTAGGCCTTTATATCTCTTGAGATAAAGAAGTTATAAGGGTATGAAAATCCTTACATAAGCAGCGATAAGAAATGACCCGTTCACCCGTGTGACCCGTTCACATGTGGACTACGTTATACAGAGATCATTTGCACTGTGAAACTGCCACCGTTAAGAGAATACGGGCGAGGAGGTCACTTCACTGTCGTTGTTTGGTGTCTCATTGGCAATTTAGCATACTTAGTTGACGAAGCCATAACATGGGGCTCGACATGCCGAAATAAGTCGGTTTCCAAGTCAGGGGTCACGCGGACAATCCATTCCTCTGCTCAATATTCTGTTCTTTTGCAATCAACCAAATCAGTAAGGATCACCGTCACAATCATCCTCCGCGTGTGCGTGTCGTTGTCGTGGAGCGGGAGCTTTTCGCTTACCGTAATCACCAGTTCCAGCAACAGCAGCAACAGCAGCGAGACCAATACGTTACCGTCGCCTCGCCCCTCACGATGCCTTCGCTAATAATGGAGGGGCTACCCAAATATTCGCCGTCTCTGGCCCCCGCACCGTGCTCCCTGCACCAGTCGACGTCGCTGCTGCTCCTGCTGCCAACGATACCATGGAGTCACCGGAGAAGTACGGAGACGTTAGCGTGGGCAATGAGCAGCCCGCGTCTCGCCCCGCGGCCGTCACTGGCGCCTTTCCGGCCAGGTTTCCTTGCGTCGAGGGTCAATAGTCGTCGCTACCGCCGGTAAAGAAGATGGATCCTGTCCTGCGTGCCGTCGCGGCTCCCCTTTCGCTGCTCACCCATACATCGGACGTCGGAGCCGCTGCTGCTCGGCAAGATAGGTAGCGTTAACTATGCTGCTTCTGTTGCTTGGACGGCTATTGACTATCGTTACCGTTGTCGTAGTGCGCTTGGCAGCAAACGGCAGCGCAGTTACACCTATGGCAAGCTTGAAGGGATGTCAGCAGATGCTGAAGGAATTTCAACGAAAGGATCGACCCCGGCAGTCGACTAGTCAAGATCAGGAGGGACCTCCATCGACACCAACTCGGAAGTCAGCTCCAGCTCGTGGGCGTCGAGTGCGGGGAGAATCCCGTCCTCACGATCCAGCTCTATCATCCCCCGCTGAAATAGCTCTTTGCCACGGGACTCCGCGTTCCTTTTCAGGGTCCGGATACGGCGAAGACGGGCCAACGATAAACCCAGATTCTGTTGGAGGCGGTTCATCTCCTCCTGGAGAGCGAAAATTTCTTCCTCCGCCGCATCTTCGTCCTTCTCCAACTCACGCTGAGTCTGGAGAACACGAGACAGCGAAGAAGCAACAGCAACGCCATCGCACTGCTTCTTGTCACGGATACACCGCTCGCAACGGTTGGAGTCCGCCGCCATACGACAAGACATACCTGAACCAGCACGAAAGCACCGAGTGCACGGCATGGCTGGATCTTCGAGAGAACTGAGCACAGGCAGAACGCTCGGAAATGAAGCTCTGGCGATGTCGAGAACGCGGGTTTCGGACGGGACCTTGGGTGGACATGGTTAGTTAAAGAAGGAAGGAAATGGCCAGGTTGCGTGGGCCAGAAAGGACGAACCTCTTTGTGTTGCTGAGGGCAGCGCCAGGGGAGGAAGGGGATAATGTGACGACTCGGACCAACAGGGGGTTGTTTGGGCTGCGAGGCAGGACAAACAAGGCCGCAGCATCGGGCCATGGACAAGGGCAGGACTGCGAAGCGTCACGGCTCCCAATAGGCGCACGGGTACCCGTGCGTATAATATTACACGGGTACCCGTGCAGATTCTGCTTACAGCTTAGCGTGTCTTAATTTCCGCCGACATCGCAATCCTGGATCCATATCCGGGGTGCACCCATATCAGCAGAAAAGGTCTGTCTTGACCTTCGCTAGTGACCTCAGGTGCTGTTTGACCTCCGATCACAGTATGTGCGTTGCCTTACACGTATAACGTATTTGACTTAACCTTTAACTATAATACACTCATCATCATCCCGGTGAAGAACTTGCTGCTCCTCACAGTCCTGTGCCGCCCTCCTCCACACATCACCCATACCTCTTCGATTAGCTAGACCGCTTGTCGACTCCTGGGCAACCTGAGCATCGATTCGCTCCGTCTCAGACCGATCCCAGTCCAAATATGCCATCATTTCTTCCCTTGTCCAGGCCCGTTCACCCTCTCGCGTTAAGCAACGCCTCGTCATTTGCTTATGGTCTAAGCACCAATCGTACTGCGCTTTACTATACCGTAATGGTAAACCCATTGCCTGCCGGTACATCTGGTTGCTCGCATAGGTACCCTGGAGTAGGGACTTCTTCCAGATCTCTCGCGTAGCGACGTATCTTTGGTAAATCGCTTTTGGGTCACTGTATTTTAAAGGCTGCTCCGGAGCTTGCTGGTGTTCTTCGGCGTACTCTGAGACGGGTTCTTTAGCTCGTCGTAAGGGCTGGTCGTTTTCTGAGAGCCGAGCTTCGATCTCTTCTAAGATCTGTTCCGTAATCCCTTCTTGGGCCGGCGAGTTATTAAGAAGTTCGGGAATTGGCGACTCATGTTGAGGTCTGCACGTCGATAATTCAATCGTAGCTTCAGGTATCGACGTGTCGGCCGGCGGCTCTGGTGTTATTCGTAGCTGTTGCGATGCCGCCTCTACTCGAAGTTGTAGCTCTGCGTACTTTAGGGGGCATAATCGAGACGTCCTTGAATGACCTAGACGGTGACATCTAGTACAGGTTGAAGGTCCCTTTCGCTTAGCCGCGACTTCAACAGCTTCAAAGCCGCTAGGCTCCCTTCGGTTACTTGATCGCGGTAAAGAAGTGTTGGTACTAGTCATATCAATACGTTGGCGAGGCTCTTGGAGAAAAGGTTTCGCGCCGCTCCGGATTAGGTGCCAATGCGAATGGAAGTCTCCTTGGTAAAGGGCTTTTCCTTCGGACAACAAAGCCTCAAGTTTGTGAACGCATGGTAGGCCTTGCGACCGAGAGAATATGCCTGTACAGCGTTGTAGCGGACTGCTCGTCTGGAGAAGCTTCCGCTGCTCTTCAACCTTTCGAAGAGCCTCGTGTGATACCCAACCCCGTACTACACCATAAAGTGGACCGGAAAGTTCGATCGGAGACCGAATCTGCTGTTTTGCCTGGTTGGACCTCAGCTCCCCAAGTTGGTTTATTAGCGCATGCTTAATAGCCCTCCAGGCCTCAAACAAATCGAGTGTCGACGTTTTCAGATGACTTTTAAGAAGTGCATGGACACCTTCGACGCGCGAAGTAACAACATTACCGAAATGAGGGTAGCTGTCAACCCAGGCCTTTACAAGCTTTTCCTTATACAGGTCAAGCCATGTCTCTTTAATGTAGGCCACGTCCCGTACATGCGTTGTAATATAGCGTTGTTCAAATGTCGACATACGGATGTCGAATATTGCCTCGGTGGGAGAACGAATAATTTGGTGCCAGTGCTGGTAAAAGTCATGCCACTCCTTCAGTCTCGCAGATTTGTCGGCTTCGGGGTCCTGGAGTTGTAGCTGGATAGCGAATGAAGGCTGACAGTATCGAAGGACGGCTTTGTTCGCATGCCAAAGGCATAGCAATGAAGCAGCAGAAGGAAAGCATACTGCGATTGCGTTGATACAAGCAAGACATCGATCGGTAAGAATAACTGAAGGTAGGCGGGATTGGCTAATTTCGTAGAGTGACCGGAGGCGCTCTAGAGCCCAAACGAAATCTTCCTCGCTTTCTCCACTAAGAAATGCGAATGCGATACAGAAGGATCGTTGAGAAGCGTCTACTCCGATTATATCTAGGAGCGGCATTCCGTATTTGTTCGTTTTGTAGGTACAGTCGAGGATTAAAACATCCGGATAAGCTTGAAGATAGCTTAGCGACTCTGGATGGGCGAAAAGCACAGCCTTTACGCGGTTCTCCGAATCAAGTTGTAAACGGCTCCAGAAACCTTCATGGTCAAGCCGGTTAGCTAGGGCATTGATCGTGCTCTGCCCTTCGTACATCTCGCGCCTACTGTCCGCGATTCGGTTGTAGATATCTTGCTGCGTTGCAATCGAACTCGTGTTTTGGTGTATGTACGTTCGAATCTCCTTAGGTGCGACGCCAGCATTTGCGAGGCTAGATAGACGAGTGATCGTTTCCGTATCGAGTGCGCGATGCTTAGGATGGGCGGATGGGTGTAAACTTGGCTCGTGGTTGTGTTGGGCAAACTGCGGGTCGGGTCGGTGTCGTATTGTCCATGTGCCGCTGTCTCGTGACTCTTTTGCTAGTACAGAGAACGGACAGTTGGTACTTCGCGTAGATGTTTTTCGCTGGCGCGGTCTTCCAGAGGCGTAGTCGCGACATGATCGATCACATGCATATACGACTGAGAGCCTGCCTGTCTTTTCCTTTGTTGACCTTTTCGTAACAAAGGCGTAGCCTCTTGTGTACGCCCACTCGTTGATAGCTTTAAATAAGGTATCTCGGGACTCGTAGGTGCCTTCCGGAGGGAGACTGTCATCGGGAAATGAATGGTGGGTACTACTAGTAGCTGCCATCGGGAGACAAATCTGAGGCTAGTAATGGTAATAAAAGAAATACACGAAAGCACCTCAGCGCGCTTTGTAGCGCGTAAAGTATTGTATGCTGACAGCACCTGAGATCACCAGCGAAGGTCAAGACAGACCTTTTCTGCTGATATGGGTGCACCCCGGATATGGATCCAGGATTGCGATGTCGGCGGAAATTAAGACACGCTAAGCTGTAAGCAGAATCTGCACGGGTACCCGTGTAATATTATACGCACGGGTACCCGTGCGCCTATTGGGAGCCGTCGGTCACGGGACAATTATGTAAGCAAGGACCTTAGTCATCAGGCAGGGAGGCCAACACTCATATGTCGGCCTTGCGACAGAAGGCTGTCGGCGACCCGACGACACGACAACCCCAGAGAGAGAACGACATTCGACCAGTTGTGATATTGTTTGAGCTTTACCTACTTCGCAGAACAGCAACCCCGAAGCCCGGCCCGACGGTTGACCCCGGAGGCCGGATCGTGACATTTGTATTATAAGTTTTCAAAATTATCTTGTGTAGAATAAGCATTACGTATTACTTAGGTTCGAGACCAGGTGGGCTCGCATCACGCCTTATACACTTACGTGGAAATGTTTATACGACAGTTGCCGTCGCGTGCTTCGCCCCTCTCTATAGAATTGCCGCCTCCTCTGTAAGCTCTCTTGGAGCGGTTGGATATCTTATGCCTATTTGGAGCTTGCTAGCAATTCATCCTTGGAATATCGCAAAGCTCGAGTTAGTTTCTATTACTTAAAGTGGGTTAACATAATCGGCGCTTTCTTCATAGCGAGCCGTTTCCCATAATACGAAGTGAAAAGGATAACCGAATTTAATACTTGGCTACAGTTGAAGAACCATCATAGCTAAGATTAATTAGCACGGCCGGACTTCCGTTCCACTGTGCCATGTATAAGGAAATAGCAGCAAAGTTAAACATGCTCTCCTTTATCTCTTCTCGCCTCTCCAACATCCGCGAACATTACTCGCCGAAAGTTGGAGAGGCTCCTATCTCTAGAAGGATGATTAACCATCTCCGCGAGGACGTAAGCCGGCTTGCCATCGCGATGAGTGAGGTTGTTCTTATGGATATGCTCGGCGCCCATGGTGATGTTAAGGAGCAGCTCCGGTTTATCCCGACCGTGTATGATGTTGATTACAGTAGGGAAGGCTTTATGCTTCTATCCTATAGCCTCTATCGCTCGCGTGCTATTGTCTCGGGGAATGCTCTCCTTCCACATCACCTTGCTCACGGGGCCTATGCATCCTGGCCTACCTACCCTTGGGATGTGTGACGCCGAAGGAACAGGTGGCGCGAGTGTGCGCCCGGACGCCGATAATTGGTCACACGAGGTCGGCTGGGTGTGCCTATTTCCTGCACAGTAGTTTCCTCATCGAGAGGACTTTGCGAATCGGCATTGCCTTCTCGAGGCAGACGATCTCCTGATTCATCCTCCATGGACAGTTGGGGCGCGACGACAAGGCAGAGTGCTGTCTATCCCAGGCAGGTCGCCACCGTGGATGTGCGGATTCGTTCACTCCTCGGCGGAAGGACAGGGACCACGCGTTTCGGACATTCTAGCTAACGCATGAAAAGCAGCAGACTTCGGTGAAGGCGAGACTGGGCGGAGGGACGAAGGGTCAGGGGTGCATGAAGGGGGTAAGTGTGAGGGCAGGAGAGGAGAAGCGGCCAAACGGATGGCGTAAAGGCACGGCTGAACATCCATCACATGAAGCAACTGACTGTGACTGCGCCGAGATGCATGAACTCCGCCCTGAGGGAACGACGACCGGCAGTGAAGACCTCGGGGGTCTCCCCTGATGCAACCTCAGGAGGTGGCAATCAGCTCATCTGCCTTGCAAGTAACCTAACAGGAGACAGCCCTCATGCACGTTTCTAGCCGCTAGTGTGGCTGTCGTCACCTTTTCACATCGTTCTGCTCCTGTAATTCGCCGTTGCCATGACTCCCTCCATCCGCTTCCGCCGAGTCTGCCTTGACGATGCAAGACTGCGCAGGTCTGCTTTGTGAAGCTGCATAGACAAGACCACATATGGGCGCCATGTGGAACCTTGGCACGCCTGCCGAGATGGGGAAAGACCCAGGGAGCCAGACAAAGCGGTGACAAGCACAGCCCTTCCAGCAAAGGCTGTCTGGGCTCGACGTTCCAAGTGGAGGCAGCCCATAGTTGACAGAAATCAGCCCAATGTGTCTTGCGCAACATGTCTAGCTGAATCAAGTTCATACCTCCGTTCGTCATCTCCTAGGCAGAGGCGTCAGCCGGACATGGCACAGACTTGGATTGGACTGAGAAGCCCCTGAAGCACCAGCCGTCTGCGGTACAGGGAACGCCGGAGAGGCGAGGACCCGGGATTCTCAGAGGCAGCCGGACGACGCTGTCCCTGCGCCCTCAGCCTGCATTCTGTCCTCGCGTAACTCTTGAGGCGGCCTCCCTTCCGTCGTGGTTGGTAACTGGGAGTGGCAGTAGAAAAGCGTGCCATGACCAACTCCTGGAGCCATTGACGCTTGCGAACCTGGACCTTCACGGGGCCGTACTCCCACATTCACAAAGCTCCCTGAGCAGCAGTTTTCCATCAACATTATCCGAACTCTCGCAGTGTCTGGGCGATTCTATGCGGCGATATTGCTGCTGGACGTTGAGGATCTCCAGCCGGACTTTTTCCGATCCGCCCGAGCCGGATCCATTGGATAGCAGCGCGCCTGCCTGCGTCGCGTCTCCGTCCACCCACGCAACCACGAACGCCCATTATCTTCTCGACCACAACCCGCTTCCTCGTTGACATCAGATACCAAACTCCCGCATGTGCAGTCATCACTCTTCGAGTTCTCGTTGCTCTTCGCGAGGTCCCTGGTGAATAGTGCATGTTGATTGGTTGGTCGGGGGCCCACTGCTGTACCATGAAGCTGCTGACTAACGGTGCAGGGGCTGAGAATCGGGTGCGTCGGTGGCTGGGCGGCAAATTCCCCACCGCCCAAAATGTCGCGTCGCGCGACCTCCCTCGGCCTTCCCCGTCCTTCTCACCATCGCATTCCGTCGACCATGGCAGACCAAGCGCGGTCGCAGATCATCAAGGAGAACCCCATTGGCAAAGGCCTTGATGCGTTCCGCGCTTCATTCGGTCCGATCTGCGAAGACGCGAGCGTCCCCTGCACTCCGGACTCGCTAGATCGGCTCGGCCAAGAAGGTAAGAACGACACCACAGCTTCGGCCCAGTGTGCCCCTCTAATCATCGTGCAGATCTCCAGAATCTTGTTCTCGACCTGCTCTTCGCTTTACGAAACCTCTCCGCGGTTCGCTTCCTACGATCAAAGGCCGGCCATGGGACCCTTCGTAACGATCTCCTCAAACTTAACTCGGCTGTCAGCTCCGACGGCTTCGATCTCGTCCGCGTCAAACCTCTCCTAAAAGCAGCCATCGCCGATGACCCGGACGACGCAGTTATCTGGAATGAAGTCTACCACGCCGTCACCGAATCCACTCCGCCGCCCCGACCGACAGCATCATCCCTCCACCAAACCCCTTGGCTGCACAACACGAGCAGCTTCGCGAACTCCTCCGAAGGCCGCAAAGATGTGGACAGAGTCCTTAAGTTGGAGCTTGGTCCTCTCTACGTCGGGCTTCCTCGCTTCTGCGAGACATATTTCGGACGTGTGGCCGGTCTTGAGACAGCGGCCGAGGCCGTCTTCAAGGAATGCAAGGGAGGCAGCAATCCGCTCTTCCATGAAGGCTGGAGCGGATGGCCAAAAGACGCAAACCAGGACGACGTCTTGAGCTGGTTTGCGGGCTTGTGCGAGAAGCTGGCGGCCTTTGCAGAACACCACGGGTCAAACCCGGCATGTCGACGGAGACCATTGGCACAACCCAACAAGCCAATCCGCGGTTCCACAGGGGAACGCAAATTGGACGTCGGCTTCGTGAACGACACCAAGGCCGACAAGGATTCTCAATGCCACTGGTCGCGGGTCCTCGTCCCCGGCGAGCTGAAAAGCAATCCATTGGCCGACACAGCGTCCAAGGCATGGCTTGATCTTGGGAGGTACGCGAGAGAGGTTCTCGCTGCTCAAGACACCCGTCGGTTCGTTTTAGGCTTCACTATTTGCGGATCTCTCATGAGGATATGGGAGTTTGACCGGCTGGGGGGGGTCGCATCCGAACAGTTCGACATCAACAAAGATGGACTGCAGTTTGTGTCCACGGTCCTCGGCTTTCTCTGGATGAACGAGGAGGAGCTTGGGTTCGATCCGACAATCATGACGGCAAACAACGAACGATTTATCGAGATCGAGCGGGACGGCTCAACAGAACGCCTCATCATTGATCGGGTGATGAAACGCGCACCTTGCATAGCTGGCCGGGCGACGACTTGCTGGAAAGCCCACCGCGAAGGACAACCCCAGTCACTACTTGTTATCAAGGATTCGTGGCAATATACGGAACGCGATGAGGAAGGCGAACTGTTACGCGAGGCGACTGGCAAAGGCGTCGTCAACATGGCCCGATACTATCACCACGAGACTGTTCGGGTTCACGGTAAGGATGACGACATTCGAAGCAACGTGCGGGGAGGGTTAGATGTTACCAGAGCTACGAACTACCGGTCGGAACGCTCGATGCCTCCACCGAGTACCACCATGTCTGGCGCTTCGCGGAAGGGCCGCAGCAACAGCATCGCTGGCAAGAAGCGGTCTTCGAGTCAAACTGGCGCCGCGCTGCCCCCCAGCAAGCGATCCTGTTCGGCATCTCCAACGAAGGCTAGCAGCAACGCCATGTCAAACCGGGTGCATCGACGTGTCATTCTTCAAGACTACGGAGAACCCATCTACAACGCGAGCTCCCGATCGGCTCTCCTTGCCGCACTAGAGGGATGTATTGAAGGACACGAATCCCTGCGCAAAGCCGGCTTCCTTCATAGAGACATCTCCATCAATAATCTCATGATCAACGAGGACGACGACAACATCTCATGGCGTTCGTTCTTGATCGACCTAGACCTCGCCGTCAGAGAACAACGTCAAAGCGCCTCCGGAGCGAAGGGCAAGACCGGCACGAGAGCATTCATGGCAATCGGGGCCCTTTTAGGCGAGCAGCATTCCTTCATGCACGATCTTGAGTCATTCTTTTGGGTCCTCTTCTGGATATGCATCCACTATGACCCAGATGCGAACAATTCCCGGAGCAGAAGCAAGGATTTGGCGGCCGACCCCGACGAGAACGCCATTTCGTCTCCGCTTAGCAGGGTTGTTCCTGAGTTTGACCAGTGGAATTACATCAGCATGGAATTGTTGGCAAATGAGAAGAAGGGACGCGTGTCTCATGAGGGGGACTTCATCAGGTCCGCAGAAGAGAATTTCACGCCATACTACCAACCGTTAATACCTTGGGTCAACAGGTTACGGAAAGTGGTATTTCCTAGTGGTGGGAGGTGGGAAAAAGAGGACGCAGGATTGTATGTTAGGATGAAGGAGATCCTTGGAGAAGCCCAGAAGGACCCCAAAGTGTTGGCGGCAGACGGCCTCGCGAGTTAGAGAAAGCTTTGAACTTCCGCCCCCAGATCCCTTTCTCCTGCATCTTACCCCGCGACGCCACAGCCTAGGAATTTCAGAAGACTAAGTGCATGGAGTTTCGCTAAGGTTCCCTCATGAGGCTTTCTCCCCCCTACAAGCACAGTCCCGGTTTGCGGCCGACACCAACCACCGGGGATGATGGCGCCGTGGCACCGTGGAGAATTCCTTCCGGCCTCCACGGCCGGCCATCCGACTCGGCAACAAGCTCAGTGCTGGCGACGACGTGGTATCGACGGGCTTGCCTAAGGGCATGGCAATGCTCCAGTTGGAAGACGCCGCCTAGCGGCGTCCCTAGACAGCAGGCCGTTCCCCGCAGCCGCCTCGCGCATCTCTCCGTTCGGCGAGGAAATGGAAATGGGGCCGTGGGTCTACACGTGCATGGCGTCTCGCAAGGCCTCGGTTTTTGGCATAGGCGGGTCTGTTTCACGTCCTTTCGACAGCCCGCGGGACTAGTTTGTGCGCCTACTACTGTACAGTACCGGACACTGGCGCCGACCCCAAGTTGCGTAATAGAGCTGGCGACACACCGGAGAATTCTTCCCAGACTTTTAAACGGTAACTTATTTAAGTGACCCCCTCCTGGGAGGATCTTCCCCAGCTCTTCATGGTTAACTTATTAGTGACCCTCTCCGTGGAGAATTCTCCCCAATCTCTCCAGGGGTCCTCTTCATAGGTTATTTTTATCACTCCTTCTCCTGGGAGACTTCTCCTTGGAGTGTCACCGCGGCTGAAGGCAGCGAGCATCAACGGTGGGAATATTATATTAGTAGGGTCGCTGTAAAATGAGAAAAGATTGAAATCTACGTCCCTAGCACTTAGAGTATCGTTTCTGTCTGGAATTGCATCAACGCGTGGCAAGTTTTGTAGGTGCTCGAGACATGCAACGGTGGCGCACAGTAGCCGAATCGGGCCCATGCGCGCCTGCATCGCCCGGTCCCGAGACTCTATCCTCGGCTTCGCCGTCGCTGTTTGCACGGGCGGTCGCTTTGCCAAAGACTCGACCTTGGCAGCAGCAGCTCATTGCCCATAGCCTGTCGTGGTCAAGCACGTAGCAGAAGTTGATCTGCTCGGCCATTGATCAGCTGCCGTTGAAGTCAGACTTTGACGTTCCGTCGCTCCCAGAAACACAGGTCTCTCCTAGGGGCTCGAAAGGCACCATCTGTCCCAGCCCGACGACACGGCATCGGCGTCAAAGGGGGATGACCGCCAGTCAAGCATCGCCGACTACCGGATTACTCCAGACACCTCATTCACGGGACCAGGGGCGGCAAAGAGGCGGAGAGAAGGTACGAAATAGTCTTTCCAGTTAGTGCAATCAGCAGAAGAATGCAGGTCCTCTCCTAGCTCCGTTCATCCCAGATCGTACCCAGAAGCAAGTGAGAAACACCTGAGATGATCAGGGTTTTCCTTCTAGAGGTCCAGCAATTGTCCCTTCGGTGATGGGACCCAAAACCGGGCTTCATCGAGTGGTCCCAAATTTGGACCGCCATTTGTCACTGATCATTCTTTACTGTACTGTACAGTACCTGGCTGGTTGCCATCGACAATGGTAGCTGAGGTCAGGTCAAGGGCTCAAACGACGGATGGCCTCAGTTCTCCTTTGGATCCAACGAGTTGGAGAGAAGTCTGCAAGGAGGGTCGCTAACAAGGTACAGTGCCTGGGAACAAATCAGCTCCTCGCACCGAATTCATTCTCCCTCCGGCAGCTTGCTGAATTTTCTCTCATCCCAGTTTCCTTTTCGAGGCCCCGTTTCCTAATCCAAGCCCGGGAAGTATTGCACACCGATTCCACCATGCTCGCGGTTCATATGATCGTACACCGGATTCCCCTTCTGGAAAGTCTTCATGCACACCCAACAGATATGGACTCCACAAGCCGAGCAGGTCATATGATTGCAGCCGAAGGTCTTCTCGATCATGATGCCACACTTGGGACAGTCCTTGATGCCGAGTTTCTCCTTGGCCGCCCGCAGTGCCTCGTAACCGCCGGATGCACTGTCTCGCTGCTCGGCACAGGTCAGACCATCGTGTGAGACATTGCAGACTCTGCATACTGCCACAAGGCATGCAGGACATATGAACAAGGGTCTTTGACCGGTCCCAGCTACGTCGTCGCTGTGCCCCGATAGGTTCGCCGCGCGGTACATCTGCCCGCAGTCTGGGGTGGGGCAGTATCGCAGATCGTTGAGATGGCGGGTTACGTGGATTCTGAAAGCGGTCTCAAGAAGGTCTTCCAAGGCTGCTGATGAAAGATACGCCTGAAGCTCGGTCAGGCGGAGCACCTCGCCGCATCTGCCAGCGTCGCCTTGGCAACGGATACAAGCGCCAGAGTTGATGCCAGCAAAACACAGGTCCTCGAAGCAACCGGCACAGTAGACGTGTTTGCAGGGCGTATGTACTGGATTCTCGGCTTCCGTCCAGCAGATAGCGCAGTCGCTGATCGAGCCGGTTTCTGACTTTGCCCTTGATACCCCTTCCCCACCATGGAGGATTTTTTGCGCAACGTTAAAATCGGCCTCGGATCCAGCCACAAGAATGCGCCGGGGACTGGATGCAATGTCCAAGATGACTTTGTCATCCCCAATGGCCGCGGCGACGGCACGGTAACCCCCCTTAAAGGCCTGGGAGAATTGTTGTGTGTCAAGCTCAATGACAAAGATAGAGGATGAGTCGGCTTTGGCAAGCTCGATGAGAGCCGACTGCGCCTCGTCGCATCGCGGCCGAGGGCCTAGGAGTCGAAGCTGAGACCTGCGTTTGTCGCGGACGATAAGAATGCCGAGTTCGCGCTCAAGCTGCTTCATTATTTGATAAGCACGGCCGTTAGCGGCGAAGGAAGGCACCCATACAGCTTTCCCGTCCTTCATCATCACTTCTCCGCCGATAATGTTTTCCAGGGTGGCCTTGGCGCTGGCGACGTCCTTCCCGATTTCTCCCTCGATCTTGAGGACCCGGAGGCCTTGGGTAGGAGGATATGCCGTGTAGAGCAAATGCTGCGATGCCCAGGCTTGCTTATGATCGGCTATTTCTTGTTCAACAGCGTCATAGACGCGAGTTGGGATCTTAAGCCTTGCTGAGTGCACAAGCTGCACTGTTAGTTTGCCATGGTTGTTGAATGGCAGAGGCTTGTTGTGGAACAGCTTGACCGCCTGCCTCGCATCCGCATCGTCCAAGAACCGAGCCTTGGCCTTGAAGCGCTTCCCAGTCATCTCCGGGCTCCCTTCCCACCGGTCCAATGGCCCAGCTTGGAGCAGTGATGACTCGATCAACGTGTTTGCCATTGGTAGGTCAACATCGTAACTCGCGGTACTCAGCTCGACATGGCATGGAGCCAATCCGGCAGGTATATCTCTCGTGACGTGCTCTTTCTTAGCGAGTTTTGGGACGTCTAAAAGCCTGATGGTCCAAGCTAATTGATTCCAATTGCCTGCGCCGCGAGTAGGCCCTTCGCACTGGACCCTTTGATTGAGCACCTTGTATATGCCAGCCGAGAATTTTGAGCCCACCTTCGCGGCGATGTCTCCGTTGCCAAAGTTCAGCCAAGCTGTCTTGGTTGGCTTGTGCCATGAGCAATAGACTTTCTTCGAATCGACCCGGCGGTAGTTTGTCGTTTGGGGCATCGGGGCATTGATCGGAACCGCTCTCGAGGCATCGTGCCTCTTCATGGCTGGTAGACTACAAAAATGCTTGGCGAACAGAGAGTCTTCGACCCTGATATCGGCACTGCAGTACGTATTATCCGCCGGCGCGGAAATGCGAACACAGCCTTCCGGTACGGCAAAGCCGAGCGAGACAAGAAGATGGACCACAGAGCTCGCGGTTGTAGGTTGAGGTAGGTGACTGATGCGGACAGCGGAGAAGTCAGACCGAAAGCTCACTTTGGTCACGACGGCTCCATCTCCGAAGTTGACCAAGGCGCCATTGAGCTCCCGGCACCAGCTCTCGACATCCTGACTGACATCTCCCGCGTTCTGGACCTGGCTGCACGCCTATCTGCCCTCCGCCATCCAAACCCGCTGGCCGCACCTGACCGCCGACCTGACCCGCGTGGCGGCCGTGAGAGCGTGGGCGGCTTCCTGACGCTGCAGCCCGCGCTGGTCTTCAATGGCACAGCCCGCCTGCGCGCCGCCGTCGTGCAGTACCCGGCCATGTTCCTCGACCTGCCGGCGTTTGCGCCACGGCCGGCGGCGCCGGATGCGGGGTTGGAGGGAGGTCGTGGCCGGGTATCAGGCGCGAGCAGCCGCAGGGAAAGCGGTCACGTCGGCGCCGTGGCCGGAGAGGGTGGACTTGCTGCAGGGCGGGATCGCGAACGGGAGGATGCGGGAGCTGTTGGGGGATGATCCTGAGGGGCGGCTGACGCTGGGGTACGGGCTGGCGCAGGCGGAGGAGTTGCCGCCGCCGGTGTGGGTGGTGCGGGGGGCGAGGACTTTGTGGTGCCCAAGGCGGCGGCCGATGAGTTGGTGGAGAGGGCGGGCAGGGAGAGGCCTGGGTGGGTGGTCAAGTATTTAGTGAGGAATGGGGGGCATGGGTTTGGTGCGGTCCATACGGTTGGTTGAGGGAGGGAGTGGAGTTCTTCAAGGGGTACTGGCTTGGAGATTTAGCGGGTGGGAATGAAACTTGTTGACCAGTGTCTTCGGATGTGACTCGGCTGTGACTTCGGTGTCCGTTTGTCGTGCTGAATTGTCTGATTGACCGGGAGCTCTAATAACCAATCATTGATGGGAGATGGCGTCCTCGGAGCTTATCGAACAGCTTGGAAATGGCTGGAGCTAAATGACCCTGGAAGCCGCTGGCTGGCAGTGGCAGAACACTCTTTCGACCCAAACCAGTAGGTGCCTTCCTGCTCCCTTCTCCCTCAGCTACCTGACTTCCACCCCACACGAAACTGCGGAAACCCTGCTCTGGCGAGGATCTCTTTCCTCATTAGCATTACCGTCATTCCTCGGCGGTCATTCCTTGGCACTCTTTCATCATGGGTCGCGTTTGTGCCGATTGCGGGCGCGACCTTCCCCAGACCTCCTACACCTCCAACCAGTGGTCCAAGGGTTTGGGGCTGTCGCGATGCGCCGGCTGCGTTCACGGCCATTCCTCCGACACTCCTGCTACCCAACAATCCGACAGCGGCCGGTACAATGACTCTGTCAATGCCACGTTCTCCCACGATGCTCTCAACAACCCTTTCGCATCGGGTGCCTTTCGTTGGGTTGCCAAAGGGGTTTACACCAGCGGCGCACGATCTGGCCAGGCCTGCGTTTTGAAATGGTTCAAGACGGGTGCTGTCTTCGAAGAAGACTACTTCGCTCTGGACATCAAGGCAGTCGACAGGGCTCTGGAGATTGTAAACCGCTTCAACGAGCTGAATTTCGTCAACAAGACCCTCAAGATCAACGTGCCCTCAGTGTGGATGTTCGACAAGACGGCTTCCCGGGCTGGCCAGAAAGCACTGGTTGAGCCCTTCATTCAGAACTACCAAAAGTTCAACAGCAACACTGGTTGGAAGGACGATTGGGGCGCGTGGCCGCAGGTCATGCAGGCGCTGAGCCGTAGGTGCAACGCCAACACTGATCAAAAACGGTCTGACTGATCGTACCTCCTTGCCAGACTTCAGCTACCACGTCTCGGGCGGAAACCACGTGCTCTGCGACCTGCAGGGCGGCATCTACCAGCACGAGCTCGTCTTATCCGACCCGGTGATCCTCTCCCGGACCGGCGACTACGGCGTCACCGATCTCGGCCGCGACGGCATCAGCTCCTTCTTCAGTCAGCACGACTGCAACCATTACTGCCGCCCCAACTGGACGAAGCCCGCCAATCCGCAGCTGCACTTCAACCCGGTCCCAGGCACGACCATGCTCCGCCGCACCGTGCCAACCGCCGCGTCCCGGCCCAGCGACACCCGTGACTATAGGAACTGGTAATGAGTGATGGAACGAGCAGTGGCGGGTTACGTCCTTGGGGTGCGCGGTTGGAGGATACAGAGGGGTGCTTTCTATTAGATAGCTGCTGGCCTGGAGATGGAAGAGCAATGGCAACGATCCGCATCTCATGGAACCTTGGGCATCTCCACAAAAGAGACGTGATGTCCTTCCCAGACCTCTCAACGACGTCGGCCGGGGAGCCGGAAGGGTCCTGACGCTGTGGGCTTTGGCGCTGTGGGCTAACACAAGTCATGAATTCACGTAACCGAGGCAAAACCTCAGAGAGCATCCACAGTATCTACAATAACCCGCCCATGAAGACGCTCATACTCGTCAAGCGCCTTCGTCTCCGCCATGTTCTCATAAGGCTCCCATGTCTCCTCTCCACCCTTCCACCTCACAAGCAGTTCCAGGCCGCCATCATCCCTCTTTCTGTCGCCACCAATCTCCTCCACCTCCCACTCCAGGTCGGCGGTTTTGAGCTTGGTTTGATACCTCACCTGAATGGCCCCTGCGGTGCGCCCCGGGAACTGCTTGGCGATCGCGGACCAAGAAAGTCCCTGCCCCTTCAGCTGAAGGATCATCGCGTCGTCCGCTGGCGTGTACGGCTTGCCCTTGCACTTCGTGGTCCCGTTGCTCTTCTGTCTCGCTGGGCGGTGCCTCTTCGCGGTGGTCCCCTGATTCTCCGTTCCACAGTATCCCCCTCCGTGTTCTACGCGTGGATCCCAGGTGAACTGCACCACGAAAGTGGGTGGCGAACCGTCCATTGTAACGCGCTTGAGCACTGCGTCTCCAAGGGGCAATTCCTCAAACGTTGCGGCGGGGGTGCTGTCCATCTCAATGACCCTTTCCGGGAGCGATAGCGGATGGCTAACGCCTCGCTGGCGCCTAGGGCGTCGGGACGAAGAGTCGCCGCAGGACAGACGGTCCGCTGCTGAGCTATTCCGCCCGTTGCGGTGGTCACGGTGCTCACCCTACGGCGCTTGCGCCGCGGCGGCCGGACAACATCATCCTCGCTGTGTTCAGTGTCGCTGTACACACTAGGACAGTAGTCCTCCTCATCATCGGTATTGCGATGTCGACGACGGCTGAGGTCGCGCTGCGAGGCCATTCCGCCAGTCGTTGCGTCACAGCGGCCGGCAGTGTGCTGCAAATTGGCCTGGTCTCGGCCGGCGGGTGGCTGCATGGGTGGGCTGGCACCGGCCGGCTCATGGTCGTCATTTCCTCCATCGTCCGGCAGCGTGGGTAGACCCGCCACACTCTCTCGTGCATACGGCTGCGCGGGAGGGCCCGGGCCCTCTTCATCGTTCTTCTCTCCTCCGTCGTCTGGAGCGAGAGGACGTTGTTCTGGGCCGCCCGCTTGATCGTTGTCGTCACGGTGATCGCGATGTTGAGACAGGCCACAGCTGCCGGACCTCTGTTGCGCATCAACCCCATGGCCGGAGGCGCCGCCGCTTGGGCTCTGAGACTGCTGAAGGCGTGGTTCGGCATCTGCCGGTTCGAGCTCGCTGGTGCTCTCGTCGACTGGCAGTGTGGGTGTGCGTGCCCGGTTCTCCTCCGCTTGTGGCGGCACGGCAGGACACACTCCAGTCTGCTCTCCTCTGTCGTCTGGAACCGGATGATGGTGTTCTGGGTTGCTCGCCTGATCGCTGTCGCCGCGATAGTTATGGCGCAGAAAGAGGGAGCAGCTATCGGACGTCTGCTGTAGCTCACCCCCGTGACTGGAGGCGGCCTGGCGTGGACCCTTTAAAATTCCTCCTCTTCGGGGTGCCGTGCGGCCCTCCTACTGTCCATCATTCAGGCCGGTACTGACCGTCACTACCAGGGGTAAGTTGGGGTAGCGCCATAGTCAAGGGGTCGACCGGGGCGCCAAAGTTCTAGCATCCTTACCCTCTAGAAGTGTATTTCTACTCCGGTGTCACAATCGCGACTGCCGGTCTCATTTTCCCACGCCAAAGTAGCGTCCATGCCAATTCTGTCTAACGAATAGTGACATTGTAGCTGTGCCGTACGCCGTTTCACTTTTTTGGATGCCGAAGCGCCGCGCAGCCTAAGCACACAGGGGCAAGGTTTCCCGCGCGACTGCCCGCATTCAATCGCGACGTGCACCGTGCAGCGGTGCCCCACACGCGCTAAGGCTACTGGAAGAGCTTGAATAGAAATCATATCGCATGCAGACACCAGACGATTGCGCGGCAAGTCAAGCCTGGCGGAGCACTGCGCAACGGCAGCGCACCACGGCAAGGTCAGGAGGCGCCCCTCACCCCTCCACTTAGTGTGAGTCACTGGCCTATCTGCCCGATGCTAGCGTTGAGGGTCGCCAGCTCACCTAATAGCTCGCAGCCATGAAGGAGCGCAGGGCTAGCCGCTCAGCGAGAAAGAACATTGAGGAGACCCCTGTGCTTCGACCTTGCGAGAAGGGCCAAATGTGCTGCCGGAGCATCTTTTGACGATACTGAGCGGTTGCTTTGGTGCGTAGCATCGCCCCCGACCCCGCCCCCACCCGCACACGCCGTTGGACGGCCTTGTCACCTGCTCAGGAGGTGGGCAGTAGGACGCTTAGGAGGCGGCTGGCCCTGCATAATGAGTGGTGATGATGTAGGGATATCATTTCCGTCTTCTGCATTTTGGCGGACATTAACGACAGTGCTGCTCCATTGTGTGGTCGAGCAAGAAACACCGAAGGGTTGTTCATAGTCACCGAGCAGGAGGAACTTCAATCTGGTTGGTAGAAGGCCGCTTCTCATGATATGCGCGTCCCTGATCAGGAGGCGGCTGGAGCCATCCAGAGTCTTGCTCTGAGCTGAGGCTAGTGGCATTCCGGTCTTCATTATCGCCGCTCAAGTACGGATGGAAGTAGACTTATGCTTCCAAGCAAGCACGCTCATTCGCATGCCGGGATTTCAATCGCGATTCGTCAACATAGCACAAGGCACATATTCATTCTCGGCGAGAAAGATGTACTCGAATATGGCAAGCTAGCGATGAGTCTACCCAGAACGGATGGCCAACAATCGTGCACACGGCAAACACATTTCACCGTGAAAGAATGCCTGCCCAGGTTTCCTGAACAAAGTATGAATGGTGGCTCGTCCTACAACCAGGATCTAGCGACACTGCCACATTCCTATCGAGCAGAACGTACTCTGGGTCGCGTCGTGAAGTCAAAGACGTCCCCTGGACTGCTTTGCACCGCATTCATCACCAGGTGTGCGCACGAACGATATTATCCCCTCAATCCCCGGGGAGCCACAGATCTCTACACAGTTTGTCAATCGCGTAGTAGTTACCGCACAGCGGGGCATTCATGGCCAACTAAGTGCACTCTTCAAGGCCGAGCTGGATCGCCATAAGGAGCAGTGTCTAACGCTGGAATGCGACAAATTAAAACGTTACACTCTCCCAAACCCCAACCTTGTCTTCCAAGACCTAATGGCGAACGAGCATTACAAGACTGATGTTGATTTGATCCATGGCCACGGTGCGCCTACATCATCACCGGCTTTCTCGTCGCTGTCAATCCAAAACGGACCACGGGATCGAAGACAGAACGAGGCGTCGTGGCCGGTGCCTCATCCTTAAACAGCCAATATCGAGAGTGGAAAACAGTGGGCGAGGAAGTCATTGCCCTGTCGTACTCTCCTGTAAGACCCTCTTACTCGCTGAGCATGACGGCACAATTTGTGACGAAAGAGTTAAAGATCGGTGACCCGGTGCGTCCGAAGCCTCATCGTATGTCCATGGAGGGATGAGAACGAAGAGATTGTGACTGGAATTCTGCCGATGAGGACTGGGCTGCCACCGTGGCTCTTCCTATCGGCCGCCTACAGGTGTTGTTATCGATAGCGGTGAGGAAGCAGGCACGCCTGCCCGCGTGCTTCCTACGCAAAGGCTTGAGCTTGCGAGCTGGGATAGATAACTTCATTGCTAATGTAGCAAGACGATTAGTTCCGTGATGACAAAGTCATTGCATTGTTGTAACCAGTCCCACAGCTATTTCACTACAGTATTACTTAAGGGGGTCTTCGAGCTGATGGGCCTTGGCTTGTCTCGTTATTCAGTTAGAAGCTGAGCATATCCTGGTTGAACATAGGTTACAGTATAAAACTCTCTACTGGATCAACTCTTTTGTAAGGACTAGTGTCCTAGGGCGAGTGTGAGCACTCTCGGATAGGGCCAAACTCGCACCAGTAACGAATTGATGGTGCAACACTTGTGAGGGAATCTCTTATCATGGCATTTTCAATGAGTTGAGACAATGTCCTATTGTCCGAGAATAATTACTCAAACAGAAACTACGTACTGGCTGAAAGTTGGTAGCACTTGAAATTCACTCTAGAGGAGCGCGCTAATAATAACTCGCCCTGGAAAAAGATGGCCGGTCCTGCAACCATGGTCACATTACGAAAGCGCCAGTGGAATGCGGTAATCGAGAAGGAGCATAATTCTCGACTGCGAGTCCTGTAAGAGCACTCGCTGGCGATCAGATCAAGCCCTTTTGCGCCCAGCCAGCAGGATAGCGTCGCGTTTGACACGGCGGATATGTGGCACCTTGGTCCCTCAGATACCATTAGGCCTTCGCAAGAAATATACCGAGATCGGTGGAGTTCTTTAACCATGATCCTCTGTGAGTTGAACCTCGAGGGTCAAGAGGATGTGCTGTCTTGTTCGCTTGGCGCGAAAGAGTTGTGGCTCCCCAGTGATTGAAAACGAGCTTCCCAGATCTCACAGCAGTTGAGGGTATAATGCCGCGAAAACGACATTCTGGGTAATAGCATCCTAAGGGCCTATTCTATGATACTGTCTAAATGTTATCGCGAGTCTCACTCCTCCCTGATATGACCATTTTGCTCGTTGACGAAGTGGATAATGCTCCATCAGGACTAGCAAAGTCGTAGTCTCTAGTGTGACGCTCGCGGCACCCACTTAGTCATGCCCTTAGTTATGATAAGGACCAAGAGAATTTTGGGATTGAATCTAGCGCTTCAGTGCGTATTTCCACAATTTAGCGAGGAGGGTAATATTCCTGGGCTGTCGTTCGGATGGGTCCTACTGGGGCTGACGAGTCTATGTCTGGCGGACGTGTGGTATCGCAAGGTTGAAATGTAGAGTGTCGGCGTTGGTAGGAGGGTGCTGTGGTTCAGGAGCAGTGGAACTCGGCGTTAGACGAGCGCTGGGGATGCATAGCCTGATTGACTGAATCTATCAAACTATCTGAAGTGTCTCGCAGTTATACCCTAGACGGGAAACCTTAGAGATTGAGGGCGCAGCCATCGTGGCCCTTGATGTCGATCTTGATTCCAACAATATTCCATTTGCTCTGTGTCCTATAATTAAACTGCTAGGCACAGGCGAAATCTCCTACCCGTTGTACGCGCCGTTCAGGTGCTGGCAGCTTCTATCAAATATCGAGGCCCCTAGAGAATGCGGGAGAGCCAGCTCCAGAAGGAGGGTTTGCGATACTGGTTGGTGCCATCACCAGGCTCCGCACAATCCTCCTCAGATAGTAAACCCCTTGCACGGAACCCTGTCTCAGCTGCATCTCCAATGCCTTATGTCTGTAGAGCAGCCTCTCAGCAGTGATCCGGACATCACTGTTCGCCTGAGCCAGCGCCAAAGCAGCGAGCGTCCAGCTAATCTTAATGCGTCCATGCTCATCATACAAGTCCTCATACGTCATGAGCGACGCCCAGCTGTCGACGACCTGTATCGCCCTCTCCTCGCTGACCCTGAACCACTCGGTATGCCCTTTGCCACAGCCCGCGCACCGGGGCTCCTTGCGGCGCTCCCACGCCAGCTCCTCGTGCGCGAGCGTCTCTGCGCGTTGGGTGTATTTGAAGACGTCTGTGCTGTGCGCAAGGATCGGGCGGTAGCCGCATTTCCTGGACCAATTGTTGAGGCGTCGCTCGATGGGGTTCATAGTCCACCCGATCTTGACGTAGCCCGGGGATGAGGCGCGGCGGAAAATGTACAAGCGGCCGGCTTTGAAGTCTCGCTTGTCGAGTGGCTGACATAACTTGGGGCCCATGTCGTTTGGGGGATGGACGGCATGATAGAGATATTGCGCCCTTTGAGCATAGGGGCTGCTTATGGTAGGGCTGTCTTGGTTGGCACTGAGCTGGACCTTCCAGAGTTCGCGGAGTGCTGACTTATCCAGTGCGATCTTGTGCATATCATTCAGCTCGTCAATGGTGGATGGCGACTCGATGGTATTGTGCTCATGGCGCTTCGTGGTCAATTTCCGGACATGGCTGGGGAACTCGACGTGCCCTGCGACGTTGTCTCGCTTCCAGCTAATCCGGCTCTGCCCCAACGCGGCATCCGGTAGCTTCCTGGTGGAAGGAGGTACTCGTGCAAGCGGATCGAGTAAACGAAGAGTTGATGAAGGGAAGGCCAGGGCTGATCTGCGGAACATCGGGCCACCGACGCACAAGGCTAGTCCCATGTCTAGAATTGGCAAAGAGAATTCCGTTCCAATAATGTCTAGCGCTCACTCTTGGTAGGGACCGGTAGATATGTTTATATCGGGCGCGCATCAGCACTGTCGAGCCTGAGGCATCTTATTATGCCGTTTGCTCACAGTGTGCGGCCGTTGGTGGCATGACAGAGGGCAATCTGCCAAACCGGTAAACGTGAGGCGCATTGTCCAGACTTCCAAATACAAACAATGACGGTCATTAACAATGCCACTCCGCAAGCGCTAAACGCATCACACGCGTGTGTCGTTCCCCTAGTCGTCCGTGCTCACTGTTTGTACCGTCTCGTTTCCTCTTCATAAGCCCCCGACTCCGAAAGCATCCCACCCAGTGCCCGCCACCGGCCCTCGCGGCGCTCACGAGCTCGCAGTGCTGGACCCCTTGAACATGCCCACCGCCATGCTGCAGTCCGTGACCACCGAGACTATGTCGAAGCCCCGGTCTACGCGTCTCTTTCCGTCGCCGGCGCTAGTGTGTCGGCTTGTTGGTACGATGTGTCGCATGAAGCACGGCACTCGGCGAGCAACGAGATAACTGCTTGCTATCTTTGTCGGCCGTGGGATACTTGGTGCGTTATAGCTCGGGTGACCAGGTGCACCATGTTTCGGTTGACTCAAAGTCACCTGAATGACGGCCGACACCTATGTATGTGTTCAAGTTCTGGCTTTGCGCTCCATACCATAGTAATGCACCCCGTATGAACCCCAACCCGCTTGTCCCTCCCCCACAACAAACATATCAAAACCCGGCGCCTCCTGCACCGAGGCTGCAAATGGCAGGCATGCCGGATAGAACCTAATGCCCTTGGTCGAGTCTGGTTGGCTATCAGCGCAGTTGCTGAGTGGAACAAACATATAAGTAAAGAAACAAGGTAAACAAAGCTTTATGGCACCAAGAACACAAGTATGTGGTGCAGCTTCAACTCTCACGGCTACAGTACTGTACTGTACTGTTCAAACTCCCGAGCGTGACCCGGCATTTTACATGTACAGTACTGTACTATCAAGCATACAGTAGTTGCAGCAAGTTTTTGGACCAAACAAGTTCAGAAATAAACAAACAAAACAACTGTTGCTCCTCTAAGCTGTATATAACCCTAGTTTTCGACCTCTCATTCTTCGGCCTACCTCGCCCCGCCTGATTAACCCGCACTGCCCGGCCCGGACTCCAACTCCTGCTACCTTCCTATACAATCAGTGCCCAACGGTCCCTCTCCCAGCCAACCTTATCTCCTCCTCTGGCTCTACGAGAATAACAAAAGCGCGTTACCATGCTTCTTCAGATAGCCATCCTCCTCGTCTCGGCCCTGACGGTCAATGCCGGTTCCATCCGGAGGCATTGCCACACTGGCCCGCCTGGGCCTCCCGGGCCTCCCACCGCTGGTGGACCTCTTGACCCAAGTGACCCTCCTCCAGCACCCGTTGTCACTCCTACACTGCCAGTTCATGGTGGTAAGTTTAGACGCGATTTATCCCCGCCTCGTCTCTTTATACTAACTTGATAATCAGGATCGAAGGAGCTTGCTGGCCCTGAGCCCCTTGGCTTCAAGTCAGTGCTTATTGGTCACGGTATCCAGAATTACACCTGCCCCGCTGCTGGCGCGAAGGCTACCGCCACTGGTGCTCTCGCTGTTCTCTGGGATATTGCCCCTCTCTTTCCCGGTTCGGGCCCTCTTGCTCTTTCCACGGAAGCGTGGGCGGCCCTGACTGTTAAGGCCCTGCACACCACCGCTATCCCGCTGAACCTTGCCGCTGACGCTGGCCGACCTTACGCTGCAGACCCCAGCGCGCCCTTTCCCGCGGCCGCGGACCTGACTCTCGAGGGTGTCCGGGTTCCGCTCCGCTTTGCTGGCCATCACTACTTTGCCGGCTCTGTTCCCACGTTCACTATGGGCGACGCCCTCTTTGTTGGCAAGAAGAACGACGGCATCGCTGCTCCGGCCGACGCCGACAACGGCATCACCGGCACCGGCACGATCGACTGGCTAAGGCTTGGTGACACTGGCTCCTCGCATGTCACGACCCTGGCCTACCGCGTCTACACTGCTGGTGGTGTCGCTGGCCCCTGCACCGGGGCCGGCCAGGCCGAGAGCGTCCCTTACACAGCCCAGTACTGGTTCTTCGGCTGATACGTATAGGGATCATATCTTCAGCAGTGGTACCAGGCTGCCGCGCTCGGGAAAGCAATAGACGGTCGCGGATTTGAAATCGGTAATATTGCACCATTTTGCATGCGCCTACCGACACAGAAAGTCATAGCCAGACCATGTTTCACTCTTTCTTATCTAGCTTTCCCCAACAGTCTACTCTCATAGGATAGCGGCGGGTGAGGGTTGAAAGTTCGTTTCCGATCTGCGTATAGTGATGGGTGAGATTGCTCGCTGGTGCGCGGAATTTACAATAATACAGGTCTTAAATGTCCGGCCCTTGTCAGGTTCAGATAATAGGCGCGCCGAAGGCCAATGTTCCTAAGTAGTAGCCGCACTGTCGTGTCTGCGGCAAGCTCTTAAAGCAGTGTGCTAGTGAATATTACTACCGGAACGTATATGATACCGGTAGCGATGGACGAAGTAAGGTAAGTAATAGTGACACTGGCTGAAATCGCGGCGTTCCCTTCAACTATGGCACGACGAGATCAGCGCTATCGAGACTCCCGTCAAGCATTGAAGGTGCCCAAAGAGGGAATAACCGGTTTGTATCAACACTGGCGTCGGGGCGATCGGACCGTTCGTTATGGTTGTCCAAAGGGGCGCTATGGATGGCCGACTGTAGCTCTACCGAGTGGCGTCGTGGAGCTATGGTAAACGTTATGTCGGGACCGTTGGGATTGGTGAAATATTGCCGTTTTCTAGACGCGTTGGCATGGTCGAAAGTCATATGCGCCATCATGCCCATGTAGGCCGACTTGAGATGGTTGGTCTTCCCATTACTAGGGCAGACGGTATTGTCGACTTCGGATGTGTATGAGAGATTGAATCTGCTCGCGTTTGAGTTGCAGATCACATAGTCCTCCCTTTGCCGCATCTGCTTTCTTTTCTCATTGACTTTAGCCTCGACAGCGTCGAAGTCGAGATCTTCCCATGCGCAATTGATCTTGAAGTTCGCGAGGGCCAGGAACACTTGTAGCCTACGGGCGATCTGCGCATGTATATCAGCCTCTTCTTGCCTGCCCGAGCTTTTGTGCAGAGTTTAGAGCAGTGTCTGACCATACGGGTTGTAGCCCGCTTGAGAACCTTTTTTGAAGCGTTAGAACTTTGCCGCTTGGTGAACGACACCATGACTAATGGCGGGTATATATGCCGTGTGGTTTCCGGGATCCGTTATGTGGTGAGGCGGTGTTGTTATAGTAAAATTTCGACTATTAGCGAGGGTGTATAGGAGGTGGAATTATAAAGGTGGGGCTGGAGGCAAGGAAAGGGGCTCAAAACTAGCTAGCGGTACGTGCTATTAGTTTAGAGACTGCTTAACGGAGCATAGTTATATCTGTGCTTATGACAACTACCTATAACGTAATCCACAAGCAAGTGAGCCACTTTCCGTCATTTCCGTACAGGCCACCTTCTTTTCCCTTTTTCTCCACCAACAATTATGGGACGGCAATCAATTGAAAGCGATTTGATTCTAGCGCTTAATGCGCTTCATTCGGACCCAGAATTAAGTGTACGACAAGCTGCATTATTGTATAATGTATCCCGTGCAACCCTCCAGCGACGACGAGCCGGCCGACCTGCTAAACGCGATCTCCGGCCACATAACCAGAATTTGACCTCGTACGAAGAGGACAGCGTCGTACGATACATACTTGACCTTGATTCGCGATCGTTTCCACCGCGACTTAGTGGTGTTCGAGAAATGGCGGATCGACTCCTCCGCGTACGCCACGCGCCACGCGTCGGAACGAACTGGGCCTCAAACTTCGTACGACGACGACCAGAGCTCCGTACGCGTTTTAATCGAAGAATCGACTACCAGAGAGTCCTCTGCGAAGATCCAGACGCGTATCGCGCGTGGTTTAAGCTCGTACAAAACATAATCGCGAAATACGGGATCCACGATGACGACATCTATAACTTCGACGAAACGGGCTTCGCGATAGGTAAAATCTCCACCGAAACTGTCGTTACAACCTCCGATCGACGTGGGAAGCCAAGAGCTGTACAACAAGGGAATCAGGAATGGGTTACAGTAATCTAGGGTATCGCGTCGTACGGCTATTTAATCCCGCCGTATATCATCTTCGCCGGGAAGGTCCACCTCGACTCCTGGACCGCAAATAGCCCCCTACCGCCCGACTAGGTAATCGCGCTTTCAGAGAACGGTTGGACGACGAACGAGAGAGGCCTAGAGTGGGTAAAACACTTCGATTTCCATACGAAGAGTCGTACGAAGGGTACCTACCGCCTCCTTATCCTCGACGGCTACGAGAGCCACCATTCCGTCGATTTCGAGCTCTACTGCAAGGAACAGAACATTGTGACGCTCTGTATGCCTGCTCATTCGTCGCATAAGCTCCAGCCTCTTGACGTTGGGTGTTTTGGACCTCTAAAACGGGCGTACGGCAAAGAAATCGAGGGTCTTATACGGGCGCATATTACCCATATCTCAAAGGAGGACTTCCTCCCAGCCTTTTATAAGGCGTACGACGCTACGATAACAAAGTCAAACATCCAGGCAGGCTTTAGAGCAACTGGGATAGTACCGTACGACCCGGATTATGTGATTTCGCAGCTGGATGTAAAGTTTCACACGCCAACACCGCCAGGTTCCTCTGCTGGACTGCCACTCCCTTGGGTTTCAAAGACGCCGAACAACCCAATTGAGACCGAATCGCAGACGAAGTACATTGAAAATCGCATCGTACGACACCAGAATAGCTCACCGTCGTCCATTGTTGAGAGCCTGCGGCAGCTGAATAAAGGAATCACAATGATGGTGCACGAGCAGACCCTTATGCGCCAAGACCTCACCGAACTTCGAGATGCAAATGACCGCCTTAGCCGCCGTCGTCGTACGAAAAGAAAACAGCTACAGAAAGGAGGGTCCCTAACGATTGATCAGGCAAAAGATTTGAAGGCTCAAATCGACGCGACGGAGCAGTTGAGGGCGGAAACGAATCAGAATAGTGGTCGTACGAGGAGGCCCGAAACGCGCGCGCGACGATGTGGCGTCTGCGGCGAGCCCGGCCATAATGCTCGTACGTGTCAGAAAGTTGTATCTGCCTCTGAAGAAGAGGATTCCTCATAGTTTCAATTGATTTAAGGCGTTGTGGTTGAATTCTCTTATACATTATCGTGCGGGTGCCTTAAGGGTGGCTCACTTGCTTGTGTGGCTCACTTGCTTGTGGATTACGTTATCTCTTATCCCACGTTAAAACGAGGGACCAATAAGATGCGGGGCCTCGATAAGGCTCGCACATGCAGATAAGCAGGTCCTACGTCAGGCGCCATGCACCACCGCCACTCGACTGGCGCCATCCTTTCACTTCCAATACTTCCGCTGCCACAGATGCTTCACGGAGTTGACATCCATACACCATAGAACTCCCACAAATATGTCACACACTCCACGCCCGGCTCTACAACATGCTGTTGGCCATACCTGCCAGCCCGCGAATGCAACCTATGTGCCTCGCCGCTGGCGCAGGCTTGGAGCCTGTGATCGGTGGTTCGTTTCGCCGAGCGAGAATGCCCTCAGTCAATGAGCTAGGTGTGAGAAGAGGATGAGGGCTTCCCACCAGCCACCTTTTGTTAACAGCTGCTGATCAAAGACCAATTTTAGCCGGGGACTCTCACGCACATCCTCCTTCAATCAACACTTCACAATACCAACCAGCGAGTCCAGTCCAATCACCACGAGAATACCTGCGACTCGCGGCCGCCTTTGCTACCAGCGAACATTGCCTTAGTGTCGAGGACACCAAGTGGCAATGGCGGCATCCCGCCCAAAGATGAACCTCCTCTCCCTTCCAGCCGAGGTATGTCCTGCTTCATATTCTCCAGTGCCGGCTATGAGCGGAGTTGACCGTCTGTATGCGCACAATGCTAGATCCGGTTGATCATAGGCGAGGATGTGCTCGAGGCCCCAAGGGAGATTGAGCTTTCGCAAACTGGCGGAAGGACATCCAACACGTGGGAAGCTGCGACTGGGGAGCACTACGACCTTGACACTCAGAGGATCACCGACATCCACAACATAAAGTTTCTCGGCAACGTGCTGACAGCCGGAGGTCCGATCAGCATGCTGCGACACTGCTTCAGCAGCTTCGACGATCTCTATCTATTCTTGTCAGCACACAGACCAGCAGCACTCACGCAAATCCGCTACATGGTTGTCCACTGGTCATGGCTTCCTCCAGTTGGGGAGATGCAGGCAATGCTGGCGGGTACAGGACCAGCACCCGATCCTCGAGCTGTCGGAGTTGCAATTAACGGACGGGGCCAGCATGACCATATCCTGGCGCTGCTGTCGCACGCGTCGCGGCTGGAGCGCTTTGCACTACGGATCGACATGACCAACCACTACGACTCAAATGGTGCGTTCGATCAACATATGACCGAGACAATGCTGTCAGGAGCATTAACGTCGATCGAGAACATCTTCTTACACACACCCGATGAAGATGACGGCGCCAACATGTCCACTGTGACACGGTTGATCAACCTCCCGGGATTCTGTCTCGAGCTTCGCATGTGCACCTATGACGATTCTACCATGAATCTGGTCGAACACCAGATTGTCGACTTGGCTTCACTCAAGGATGGCCTGCCCATCGACTTTGGTGCCAACCTGCCATCGTACGCGTTCTGGACCAGCGCGGACACTCGCAACCGTGTCAAAGAGCTCAGCATCAAGATCCATCGCCGCCAGCTGCACCATGCCACACTTCCCAGGCCTCCTCTTCCCACCGTCTCTGGCACTACACGTATGAAGGCTGCCTATAACGCCAGCGGTCTCACTGTTAGTGGTCTTTATAAGGATGTCCAATGGCTAGACCGACTAGACCAGCCACCGAGTTCTCGAACCAGGCGGAGCAGCAAGCTCACGAGCCACAATACCATCGCCAAACGCGCAGCACGGCTTGTGGACCCAGCCGACGGGCTAATCAAGCAGTCCATCAAAGTACGAGCGATTTACCTGTCCGGTGAGCGCATCATGGCTGCAGTCCGCCGCTGGGGTGGCAATGATGACCAGCACGTTCCGCTGTCTGCGCTTATGAGCGACGACGGTCTCGATGCGTTGAGCCACTTCCTCGCCGCACCAGCCGCCGATCTCCGAGTCATATTCACTGCCGTCGGCCCTCTGAAACTCCTAGAGGAGCTTGGCGGCTGCCCCTGTCGACGAAGCAAAGCGCTGAAGAAAATACAGTGCATCTTGGAGGAGGCCGCTGCACCGCAGTGATTCAGGCCAGGCCAATCATTCGTGGACCACAAGGATTCGATGAACATACAGCAAGGTTATTGTGTGTTATTGACTACTGGATGAGTTGTTAGGAATTTTTGTGGCTACGGCACAAATGTTTCCATGCCAAGTCTGTTTGTCGATATGTCGATATGGTGTTGTTTCTGATCTGGGGATGTTATCAGTACCTCGAAGACAGATGAATTACCTAGGCCGTACGTCCTTGGGAGATTCCTGCTGTCTTTTACACGATAGTGTCTGCAAATGGACTGTTTGTATGCCATAACATGGTAATCGTGTCTGTGGCTCCCGGTGGCGGTCTGTCGGTGAATCGTAACAGCTTGATAACTACAGCAGATTGAGGACCCGGCGGCTACACTTTTTTCGCCTGCTCGTTCGCCAGGACACAGATGATGTACGATGAGTTCACGGGGACCCTTCCACAGATGCGATGGGGTGGCTGCAAGGCAAACTGCTCGCGCATATCCATTCGGCCAAGGCTCGACGAACAGCTCCCATTTGACAGACATATGCGAGGAGTCAGGATAGTCAGCCATGATTTAACGAAGTGGGCAATTCCAAGGCCTACCATTTCGACATTCCCCATAGGAGGTCACAGAGGCCTTGCGACATTAGTTCGGATGATCTGCCTCTTCGGCGTGGCTCGCGATTGAGCTACAGGTTGCAACGCGCCAAACGAATCACAAGACTCGTTCACCCGTCCACCAACCACAATTCTCCAACTACAGTTGCTCACAGCTCAAATGAGCCATGACTGTCCTCGGAGGAGCGACACAATCACAGTCAATGCCCCAGGGGAAAAGCTGATCCATAGCGCAGCCCAGACATTCGAAGACTTTCTCGGAGATGCACCGATCAGATTGTGCGCTTCCTGGCAAGCTTCCTGGCAGGGGCTAGACCGTGGTGGCCCGGACATCCACCCCCGGTTGGCGTCATTCAGCTAGGGAAGAGAAAAATACGACTGGGCAAGATGCGGAATACAGTAGCCGATACGGTTCACAAGGACACGTTTAGCATGTTTTAGTGCGGAAGAAGGGAGGAATACCAGGCTTAGTCTCTTTGGTGTGCCCACCAGCTTAATGGCGGGCCATGCATGGCAGGAAGCGGTCTGGCGGCGGGTTGTAGTCGCCGACAGGCAACACTGAAGCAGGAACGGCCATCGCACCCGCTTGACCGAACTGGCGGCATGGTAGTGTCTCCATCTCGCGGACGGCGAACGAGACCGACAGACAAACGCGAGTATTTGTTCTGTCTCGGTCCGCGCTAACATCCCTCCGCCACGTGCAGATGTTCCCGTCCCGTTCCCACCGTCCCATCTTGGTGTGACTCTTGAGCGCGCGCTCGCACTCTCGCGAAGAAATAGAAGTTTCTTGCGAGGGATATGGCATTCTCTGTGCCACCCGTGACAGACGCAGCGCGGCGATCTCCTGGAACTCGCCGCAGAAGGCGAGGTGCAAGGGCGTCCACCGATCGCCGGATATGCCGCGGTCTTCTAATCCCATTGGCCTATTCCCAGGCCTCCCGGCGACGCAGTTGCAGAGACCCAGGTATGGGTCATCGATTGAAGCTCCGTAGTCAAGGAGTAACTCCACAATTTCAAGATGACCACAGGATACGGCGAGGTGCAATGCTGTCAAGCTGTTCCCCTTGCGGCAATTAGGGTGGTCCTTGTGTTTTGGCCCCTGGGACCGTAGGATCAGCCACAGGGTTATGAACCGATATTCGGCGATTGGGGTTGGCTTAGCCCTCCAGAAGAGTGCGGGCGGGATCTCTGTGACCCTTGTCCACAGCCCACATTAGCAGGTTTGGGATAGTTTCCGAGGCCTGCTTGGCGATTGACGGGAGCAGGAGAGTGCGGAAGTGGCGGCTCACTTTCGCTAGTTAACAGGGCAGAGAAAGATGGTCACAGATGGCGAGCCGTAGCTCTAATGGGAGAGAAACTGCCATAATCAAAATAGAAGGTAGAGTAGTTGTTGCTGGTGATCTTTGGCGCCCTCTGGAAAAAGATAATAGGTAGTAAAAGTTGTGGGCCTTCTACTAAGTGAGAAATCATCAGGCATCGTAGAGGTCTTATGTAGGCTACTTGCCATGCACGACTTAACCGTGGTTGAAATGGTAGGTTTTATCTGCTGTTGCGCAATCGCAGACGGTGGCTCAACTCGAGTGCCTGACCATTATTCAGCCTGGTAGTGACCGTCACTACCGGGGCCCACTTGGGGTAAGCCCATAGTTAAGGGTGGGTCAGCGGGCTGGGGGTTAGCTGGAGTGACGGCCACTACCATGACGTTCACTACCAAGGGCGGTTGGACCCGCCCGGCTCCATTTTTTTAACCCCAACCCCCAACCTAACCCCAACCCAAGCCCGTAGCGGAGCGCCCCGGGGGGGGGGGGGGCAGGGGGCAGAGGGGGCAGCCCGTATCGTAAGGGAGTACACACGCGCGCGCGCGCCGAAAGGAGGGTAGGCATAGCAGGACAGAAAGGATTCAGAAAGAGGGGACGTATTTAGCAAAGCATAAGCACATAGATAGGAGCACCTATATATAGAACCACTAGACTAGAAGAACGCAGAGACGCTTCAATTCATAGTTTCCTAACCCTCGGCTTGACTGACTGGTTATCAAGGTCTATTTATACATAGGTCGCAGAGCAGGAGGCTCCCATCGCCCATTCCCCTGCATGCCATCCCACCGTGCTACAGCTGCCGTGCTATGGCAGTCCATGGTGAATAACTAACTCCTGTTCGTCCGGTCCCTCGTATGGAGCAAGAGTGTCGGCGAAGCCGCCAAAGTCGGTCACAGCCCGAAGAATGTCGTGCTCGGCGGTAGCGCTCTCAGGCGTGCCGAAGGAGACGCGGAGCTGGGCGAAGGAGACGCGGAGCTGGGCGCCGGAGTCGAGGAGAGGCTGCGTGTGCTGGTCCATGCCGTAGAAGTAGCACCAGTCCGCAGAGAAGGACAAGTAGATGCGTGAGAACGTGAGGCTCGAGCCGATCACTGCCGGGATATATCTGTCCAAGACCTCGTCGGCACCCACAACCTCGTCCTGGCCTCGGCCGTCCTCATCATAGGGGACGAAGATAACCTCAAGCTGGTCGTAGCTATCCGTGAAGGCGAGGTGGATAGAGAGACGCGGGCAAGGGATCGGGCTATCAGCGAAGGCGCCCCTTACAGCCGATTCGAAGAGACAGAACTCGTCAGCGCTCGAAAAGCTGAAGACCAGAGTGTCATGGTTGAGGAGGATGGTGGTTTGGAGATGGTCTCTGCTCTGTTCGGCAGCCTGGGGGTCTAGGAGGGCGCTGCCGCTCGGGAAGCGGGCAAGGTTGATAACCTCGTCCTGTTGGAGGAGGGACCCGGTGTTCAATGGGTCGGCCCACTGCGAGGTAAAGGTCTGCCGGCCGATAACTAGAGGGGCTGAGGGGGGGGTCGCCATGGTGGCAGGCTGGACTGGATACAAAAAGGTGGGTATGAGTGAGGGAAGGTTGATATTGAAGGTTGAAGGGTTGACAGATCTGTCGGAATCGGGAGGAGGAACAGAGAGAGGAGAGGCGAGGGGCAGGTCTTATATAGTAGCAGTGGAACTGGAACCACGAGCTGTCTACTGCTCGGCCGGAACAATGCAATGCCATAATGGCAGGGCTTGAGTCAACCATTGCTTGCCAGGAACAATGCCAGAATGGCAGGGTTGAGTCAACCATTGCTCGGCCGGAGTAATGCAATGCCAGAATGGCAGGGCTGAGTCAATCATTGCTCTGGAGGAACAATGAATGAACAGCTTGAGTTGTTAATGACGAACCGAGGGCCTCGAGGAATTCCTATATAAGAGCGCTCCCCCTCCCACCCCGAAACCTCTTCCTCCTCTGTCGATATAGTCAATTCACCTGTTTTCAGCCAGCACATACAACATTCTCTCAACGGCGAGAGAGCAGTCTACCCCTTGTTTTATCTCTACTTTCTCCCCAATCAGTAACTACCGGCAAACAACAATGTCGAATTGTAACAAGGGCTCTTGTGAGGGCTTGGCATAATGATGCTTAGATTGCTAATAATCTTTTAAGGGTTACTGTAGGTCCTTGAGGATTAAGTTCCTCTTGATCTCAGGAGGCGGGTGCTCCCGCCTTTTGTATGTCAGGGCCCCGCTCCTGCCTAATCTGTTGGTTGTTTCTCGTTGGTTGCTTCTAACCGCCGCACGAGTAAGGCATTAACCCCTCCTGCATGGTCCTTGCTCCATATGTCCGTGTGACACGAATGCTATTATGCCAACGATCTTCGCAGGAAGGTTCATCCATGAGTTATACCCTGAGATTCCTGTCGCCTTCTGTACGAAGGATGATGAGGGTACCTGGCACTTCCACCCCAGCTCCCGCATCAGCATCTCAAGCGGCCTCGGCCGAGCCCACCTGGTAGTAATCTTCATCCTTGCTACTTACTAATATAAATCTAGCCCCCCTTTAGTATATACTTATATTCAAGTATATAGCCAGAAACTAATAGTTACGTCTAGTGAGAGCTTCTTCCCGTCCTCGGTAGATGCTATCCTCGGCCTGCGCGAGTCTCTCCAAGAGCTACGAGAGCTTGCCCCTCAGATCGGCTTCCACGAGACGCTTCAATCCATCACGAACCATCAGGGCTATATTACTCAAGTAACCCTCGTCCACGCTGGCTCGCGCCTTCGTAGCGACTGTGACGCCGTCTTCTGGTTCAGATTCTTTATAGCACTTCGATCAATCGCACATATAGACCAGACTTTCGAATTCATCAATAAGGTATCCTTCGCGGAAGTTTCTGGTGAGGCAGGTCGGCCCCCTTATCAGCTACTAGGCTGGTCCTTCGAATATATCCAGCAGACCGCCTTCCGGTGGACTCACGTCGAGGAGCGTTACCGTCGCTATGGCAGGTTCATTACTCTCCGTAACGGAGTACGGGTCCTCGGGCTTCAGCCACGGCATGTACAAGAGGTCGCCCAGCCCTTCACAGTTCATACCGTTGGCGATGTGGACGATATTACGGAGTAGGAAATGGCAAACTGGATGGGCTAGTTGAGGAAGCTTATAAGAGTGGAACCCATTACCTAAGGGCTCTTTAACTTCTGGTATTATCGCGATGTTCCCTAGATAGCACACTTCTAGATATCGCCCAACGTACCACTAATGCGATATAATATTTTACCCTTTTAAAACCTCCCGTACTTTAGCGCGCGTCTGAGTTGATCGCCAGCTTGATAGTGTGTGGTCTTGTGGAACACCGCCTGGCAAATCATAGGGAACCGAACAATCCCGTCGAGAGCCAGGCCTTCAACACCCCCAGGTGCTCCGCCACATATTCGGCCCGCCGAACGGCCACGAGTGTACCCATGCGCCGTCTTGAGGTGCGTCATCAAAGCTGTTCGCCCTCGACAAACATAGCGCTCTCTATCATCAGAACAGAGGAGACAACAAATTCCGTCCCGAAAAACTGGAATGTGTGGAATGGGCTCGGCATCTGGCAGGGGCTTGACGGTTTGACGAATCAGCTCTGGTGCTTGAAGAATGGAAAGTTGAAAGAATGTGTTTTCGAGGGCTCGTATGGCCGCGGGATCGTATTGGCGGATAGGACCATGGTGCAGCTGGACATGGCGTACAGCAGAGGTGTGCAAGATGGATCTGCATTCTATACGGATAAGAATGTGCCATTTCGGCTCGTGGCAGAACAGATCTTGTATCCTCATTGCACAGTTCGATGCAAGAGTTTTAGGGAGCTTGCAACATACAAACGAAGCCAGGTCGTCGCGTCCGCTGGTTTACTGATCGCGTCTCGACGCGTGTGGTCGGGAAGTGGGCCCATTAGACTTGAACGCCGGGGACTACCGGACAGGGGGCTCGTGACAATTCAGGGTAGGCGACAATTATAATATGAGAGTAGGGCGTCGCATATTTCGGCCTGGATGAGAGCCGGGACACCGTAAAGTATTCGTGACAATGCAAAAAAAAAAACGGATACCTCGACTGACCATACATTGTCCTCACGCGCCAACGATACGCAGCACTTAGTTGACGGTGAACATGGTGGATATACAGATATGCGATAAAGGGCAGCCCGGGCCTGACAAGCAGGTAATGTAGTCGAAGCCCCTGCCGTTGTCTCCGTCCATGCTAGGGCGTCTGATGCTGCAGGACCTGTTTCTGGAACGCCGACCAATATTCTTCCTCCAGCCAGGTCACAAGGCATCGTAGGGACGAAATGATCTTGCAGACGCCTCTGGCCTTGGATGTCGACCCAAGAGATATCCTTGAATAGAGTGTTGGGGTATTGACACCGACCAAGAACGGATCCCGAGACGTCGACGGTCGCGGGGGAACGGTCGCGACAAAGTACCACTCATGGCCGTGGACGATGATGCCGGGGAGGAACTCGATGGCCTGAAAGGACGCGTCGGGACATTGGTGAAGGAGACTTCGTAACTGTGCCGCATGCCAGGTTCCCATTTGGACCTCTGCCTCCGTAGTACTGCCCTCGGGACTCTTAAATTCAAGGGAAAGGCCGATTGGATACTTGCACAGAGCTCCCGAGTCTGTGTGGTTAATGGAGATGCCAGGGCGGGATGCGCGTAGCATGTCGATCTGGCGAGAGATGTCGCTACCAGCCCCAGATTTGAGGACCAAGCAATAGTCCACCATCTTCGGAGGCAGTGTGGAGGGGCTGAACGCGCGGTTGATCCTGGAGGAGGTGCTGAGCCATGATGTTAGCACAAGGAACCGCGGAAGGGAAACCAGCGCAAGCAGAGCGCACATACCAGGCGTGGAAGTCGACGAGCCCAGAAAGGTCATCTTTTGGTCTGAGTACCCACGAGAGGATCTGACGATAGACCTGATCGCTCCAGACGCACTCTAACTCGTTGTTCTCGTCGCACTCGATAGCACGCTGGATCACGCGAGTGATGAAGGCTGCCAGTGGCACGTCAGGGCGAGAGCGCGATTGCGATTCTTGGTCAGCTTGTTTGAGAGACTGGAAGTACGTCTGGGGGATTTTGTGGTCGGAAATTGCCTGTTGTTCGTTTGGCGGTTAGCGGAATGCATCAACACACGTCGCAGCACCGTTGGTTATGAAGAGTCTTGTACCTGGTCCCACCATTCGTACGGAAGTCTAGTTTCGCCGCTATCGATTTCTTCTAATCTCTCGAGAAGGGCCTGCAAGCTTGTCGGTAGACCGCTTGTGTCGAGGGGGAAGGCACGTCGGGTGTAGCCGTTCTTGTCGAGCTCGGCAAGGCGCAGCTGCTTGGTCGGAGATGAGTTCCTCGAGACGGCCGACACCGATCGCTTTGACGAGGATCTGCTTGACGACGTCCGGCTTGGAGACGGCCTGTTCGGTGAGGCCAGCGGCCAATGTTGAGACCGCGGCGGCGGTCGCGGGGTCGTCATGTTTGCTGCATCATCCCCAGCTTGGACGATGTCCTCTGCGTCGCTGGCCATAGCAGGAACTGACCGTTTCGGTGGCCGCGAGGATCGTTGCGAGGCCTCTGATTCGGTAGCAGGTGGAGAGAGAGCTTGTCTCTTGGCAGGAGTATGGTCGGTATCGGCAGGATCGCGAAATCGTTTTCGGTCGCGGGGTGACGACTTAATTAGCTGGTCACTCGCCTCGGCGGACGGTGGACTTGAAGCCTCAATGCCCTGAAGCCAATCGAGTATGGCAGGATGGTCTTGGGTCTGGTGTGGTGACGCTTCTAGCATTTTCGACTCCGATGTGAGGTTGTCAAGCACTGCGTGCGACATTGATTCGATCCATCACGCAGGACAAGACAATGAGGAGAGGAATGTTGGTGGGATCCGATGACATAACGCCCAACCGGATTGACATTGAATTGTCCGGGCAACCGCACCGAGCGACCCCACTATCGGTTTACATAAGCCACACTGCAAACCATTTTGATGGCAAATTGATAACGTAATCTACCCCCTTCCCGGTCACACCCCCTACTCGGTCAGAAATTCCCCACAGACGCGACCCGCACCTCATGGAGAGACAAATCGAACACAACACCCGACAATTCAGCCCAAAAGAGACAAAACAAGTAAATCAGGACAATCTATCTATTACATCTACGGGAATTGTGTTCAAAGGACCTGCATTTACTACACCGTGGTGGTGCGCGCTGTCTTGGGACGCTTGCCTCCTCGTCTATCTGTCGTTGGACCCGCTCCTCGTCTTCTTGCTGTTGCTTGGCCCACTCGTGCTCCCTTTCTCTCCGTCGGTTGGCACACTCCTCTTCCTTTTCTCTCCGCCGCTTGACACGCTCCTCTTCTTTTCTTTGCCGTCGCTCAGCCCGCTCTTGCTTCTCTCGTTGTCGCTGCGCCCGCTCCTCATCCTTCTCGCGACGTCGCTTGACCCGCTCTTCCTCCTCTTCCTTCCGTCGCTTTGTCCTAGCCGTGCCTTCTGCAACCGACAGAGTACCGCCGTCGCTAATGTATTCGCGGCGTTGCTCTCTCTTCCGCTTCCGCCTTTGGTTTTCTGAGCGAAGCAGCCTGTTCTCGTCGGAAAGCAGCACGGCGCTGTGCATGGCCATTTGACAACCTTTGATGAGCTGGCTGATGGCCTGTGACACCGGCGAGCCTGGGTTTTGGGGCCGGCGTTGAAGAAGTCGTTCCGCGTGAGTGGTAAGCTGGCTAACGTTGTAGGGGGTCTTGTGGGCTTCCAAGCTTTTGTGGGGGCTCGGAGTATGCCTGTCGCCGCCATCATCGCCATGATTGTCGACGATTTTGTCGACCTGCACCCGTAACCGAGACAGCACCCGGGTCGGGTCGAATGGGGAAAGCCCTGTGGCCAGGAATCCGCTTTGGATATTCGAAGACGAGAGTGCTTGTCGGCGAGCCTCGAAGTACAGAGGCAGGAAGTCCTGTTTGTCGATATGATTGACCCCGGCGAGCATCTTCTCTTGAACCTTCCGGCCATGTATCCTTTTCAATGGCGAAAAGCACCCGACATCCAGAGGCTGTAAAAGATGTGATGAATGTGCTGGCATTTGGAGAACCACGATGGAATTTGCCGTACAGTACTTGTCGAATTCCGGCGTGACGTGGCTGCCGTGCCCGTCGAGAATGAGCAGTCGATGTGTTCCAACCGTACGGCGTCGTGTGCAAGAATCAAACACCTCCTTCAGCCAATGCAGACCAAGGTCGTCGGAAGTCCAACCTTTGTCGCTCACGGCAATATGCCAATCCTGTGGCACTCCTGATTCGTACCAGCTTGCCTGGTGCACCTTGCCCTGGAAGATGACCTTCGCCGGCAAAGCCCACCCTTGGCAATTGATGGACTCAATCACTGTAACCCATTCTCGATTCCCAGGCTGCATGACCATTGGACGACCTCGCCGATCAGACCGGGTGAGGACTCGTGCCGTCGCAATGACTCCCATTTGAGACCCCGTCTCATCGAAGTTGTAGACATCCCCATCGAGAATCCCCCACTTCTGCTTCGTCCTCGCCACTCGGTCATACCATTCTTGGATGGTCTTCGCGTCTTCGCATTTGGCACGTTGGTAGTCGTATCGGCGAGAGTATTTCGCCTTGATCTCGTCGTGGCGACTAACGAACTTCCGCACCCAGTTTTCGCCGACAGGATCTTGGCCGCGCTCTGAAAGCAATAAGTTGGCCATCCGGCGAGTCTAAGCCACAGTCGGCGGCATCCCTCGCTCGTCCATCGACAAGATCCATTGTACCAGGGCAGTCTCTTCCGTTACCGTTAACTTCCGGTTGTTCATTTGCGCGTCGCGTCGGGGAAGGACACCGCGAATTCGATCAGATACAGGTGATTGAGGGGTCGTATGCGGTCGCGGCCTCTCGGGTGCTTTGGAATTGGTCTTGCTGATAGGCCCTGACGGCTAGCAGGACCCGTTCTTCGTGTGGAACTGATTGGTCTTGTGTTGCGATCATCGTGCTCGGTTTGTCTCTGCATGAGATGCGGGTCGCGTCTGTGGGGAATTTCTGACCGAGTAGGGGGTGTGACCGGGAAGGGGGTAGATTACGTTATAGCCCCCCTTTTTTTTGCCCGTGGCATATGGTCTGATTGTTACCTGAAGAACCCCTGAAGAAGCTAAAGTCGAGACGGCGACCATCCTGCCCGGCATAAGGGACGGGCGGCACCAAATGGTCACTCATCCAGACGTGGAAGATTATGCAGAGTCGGATCCTCCGTCCACCCATTCGTGGTCGTCGTCGTCTTCGTCCCGTCCAATCTAGCTGCCAACCAGTGAGAACATGTGGTGGCCGAGGCAGCGCTAAATAGCCACTGGTAAGCCGGAATGTAGTTTAGCGCTGCTAGTCAGTCTTGGTCCTGCATGTGTGACTCCAAAGGCCCAGGCATGACTAGCCCCGCCCCGCTTTTAATTTGCTCTGAAGCGAGTTTTGATCGGGACTAGCCATGGGTGTGTGCAGAGCAAGTTTCTACAAGTTGTTCGCAGCAGCACGCTCGCTTGCTCGAATCTCTCCCTACACAAGGTTATCCTTCCTACCCAAAAACAGGCAATGGTCTGGCAACAGAGTTGGCCCATTAGTATCGACACCCCCTGGAGCAGTGAACAAGTATGTCTCGAGAGGACATCCGTACTACAATGTGGCGAGATTTTCCTGCCGACGTAACCACTGGGGGATTTGCAAACTGCCGAAGCTACCTGAAGGGTTGCTGTGCAGGCGTCCTACCTGTGACTTTGTAGGCAGTTTCAAGGGCAAAGTTTGAGCGGGACAATCAGCTTCGAGGTCCGTGGCCGCGAGAGGGGAAAGGCGCAACTTTGCCCGTTGCCTGGACCTCAATAGTTAGAGGGCTGGCTCTGTCGATCGGTTGCCGCATTTGCTTCACCAATGAGGCAGACCCAGTACCTATTGTACGTTATGTCTGAGCGAGACGACTATTTTGGGCATAAAGACATTCTAGGGGGTCTTCAGCCGATATTCGGTCTTAAGGGTAAGCCATTCCACCAGACGTGTGCCTGAGACAGCACCGTCTGCTTAAAATCGATAGTTCAACTTCTCGAAATGATCACCTCCCGACCCGGGGGGGGGGGGGGGGGGGCGGGGGCGATCTAGCTCCAGACTGCTCTATACTTGCAAAAATGGCCACTGGGGCTGACGATCACCATACTATTAAAATGGGGCCTTCCTTGAGAAGAGGGGCGTGGAAAGTGGAGGATATGTATCCTTTATACCTGTCCCTGCAATCCCCGTGACCGTGAGCCTCTGCGCGTCAATCCGCAGGAAATGGATTGCCCCGTCAATCCAAGCTAAGCCAAATTTCAACGTGTTCTTCACTCATTATAGTCCCTCAATGCAACTGATAACCAGCAGATCTCTACACGGGAATTGGGCCGGGGCTCACTAATTTACTGGTTCCGTAACTGGTGTTGAAGGCCGAAGGAGGCTGTCCTGCCATAGTGCCATCGTCAAAAGATCCTTAGTGGTGCATTCTGCACAGGTGGACTCCGCCACTAAGCACCCATCTCCAATGTTGCTCCATCCTTAGTCCGAGGCCCGGCGCAAGTTGAAAGGCGGCTCTAGCTCCTGAGTGAGACTGCCTCCACTTGAAACGTTACGACGGGGGGGGGGGGAAGTCACCGGCGTGTCTTCACTCGAAAGGGCCCTCAACACCAGGCGATATTCAGAGTTGGGAAACGTCGAGTCCAAACACCTCCCGCCTAGACCGCCCCACCACATCTGCTGCCGGCTGCGGCTGCGGGGACCAGTCTCGTCACGTGGCGCATCAGTACTCAGCATTGCAAATCTACGTCTTTTCTGGGATCGGGCAGGGAGATAGCGTCCCGTAGTCCAGGTCTCCGGCGACACCATGGCGCGTCTCGTCGGTGCGCTTGCGGGGTGGTAGAGAGAGATCGCCACATGCCAGGGGCTGCCAATCTGCGGCTGGACGTTAAAACACCTAAATAAATCGGATGATGCGCCCTGTTTGCTTGAGACTTGGTCTCATATGGATGGGCCAGAACACCCGTACGACTTGCGAACGGCGGATCATTCTGCTTCTCTCCTGCAACGATGGCGGTCGACAGCCGAGGACTCGAGCTCCAGGCCGTCGCCTGGACGCTGCTTGTGACGGCCATCGTCTCCATTTCGCTGCGGATTTACGTCCGAGGCTTTATTGTCAAGAACTTCGGCGTCGATGACTGGAGCATGGTTGCCGCGATAGTACGACGCTCTTCCTCTACCTACGCACTTGCGACGCTCCCGCCGATGGTACCGAAACTCCCGAGCTAACACCGCCGTGTTGATAGGCATCGTTTATCCTTTTCGTCACTTGCGCCCTGCTTGGTGTTCGCTATGGCACCGGCCGTCATCACAGGGACCTCAAGCTGGAGGACCAGGTAAAGGCGCTAAAGGTACGAAGAGCTCGCTTCATCTTCATCTGCGCCCATAGCCCCCAAAGAATGCCCGCTAATACCCATTTCAGTACTGGTGGTTCTGCTATCTCTGGTACTGCCTCACCATGATCGCCTCCAAAATCTCCATTGGATATTTTCTCCTGCGCATCACGGTCCGGAAAATCGACATCTGGATCATCTACGGCGTCATGATGATCACAGTCCTTACCGGAGTCGTCTTTTTCTTCGTCACACTCCTACAGTGCATTCCCATCTCCTACTTCTGGGACAGGGGCCAACCCGGGAAGTGCATCAGCATCGATGTCATCATCGCCCTGACCTATCTCTACAGCGTCTTCAGCGTCATCTGCGACTTTACCTTTGCCATCCTCCCCGTCTTTCTCATCTGGATGCTGAACATGGGCCGCAAGACCAAGATTGCCCTCATCCCCATCGTCCTCATGGCCTGCGTGTGCGTCTTGTCCCTATCCTCGATCTGGAGATCCTGCCTGACAAGCGCTGACACTGTGAATTAGGGCTAGCTGTGCCGTCGTCGTCCGGTTCGCCTACGTCAAGGACTTCAAGAACCCAGACTTCTTATGTGCGTCACGAGACCAGCTCTGCTATCCAAGTGCATTCCTGACACGTCATGACAGGGGCAACCATAGACATCGCTATCTGGTCAACCACCGAGCAGGGTCTCGCCATCACAGCCGGTAGCCTCGCGACCCTCCGTCCTCTCTTCCGTCTCGCCGCTTCTCGTCTGGGCCTCTCCAACAGCGCGCCCTCAGGCATCGTGGGATCTGGCCAGCGCGTCCCCTCGGCCCACCGGGACTGGGACCAGAACGCATGCAAAGGCAGCCGCCGCCACCCCGGACCCTTCAGCTTGACGACTCTCATGTACCGAGACGAAGAGCACGCTGAAGTCGAGCCCAGCGAGAGTGCCGACTCGGAGCCCGGGCAACCGACCAATGCGCTGGACAAGAAGCGCGCTTCGTTGTGGAAGTCGAGCCGCGGTGATGCCGGCGATAGCGAGGAGGAGCTGACCGAGGATTCGCCGAAGCAGGCCACCTGGGATGATCGGCAGGTCAAGGTCTTGACCACCCGCGGCCCCGACGGTAATGTTTGAATCTTGTAGTTAGTATAGAACATGTGCCCAGAGCAAGAGTCTTGTTCTTGTTGCTGTCAGTATCTGCCAGCGTTTCTCGCTCTACGGCGCGGGGAAGGGTGAAAGCTATACGACAAGCTATTGTCTGGCTTTTGTTGCGATGTGGGGAGGTTGAACTAGGAAGCTAGCCAAAAGGTTCCAGTCCTGCAGCATGCTGCCATTGCTCACACAAATTTCCGATATACATGAGCTCTAACTCGGGGACACCGTTCCGAGGGTGACTGGGGTACCTCGTGCTCGCATGAACAGGGAGCTCAGTGCCTCGTGCCATTACATCTCGTGTCGTAAAGTTCCACAGGCAGTGCAAACGGTCCATGGCTAGAGACCGAGCCACTATGTTACTCCGTCAGGTTAAAACTCCCTACGGAGCCTCGACGGTAACCTGATCCTGGCTTGAGATTATGTCTGAAAACTTCGCATGTCAGATAGAATGACACCAGAATGACAACAGAATGACCTCGAGTGATAGAAGCTTAGACCCTGGCCGTCATTCAGTTCGAAAACGAGCCTCAATTCCACCCTGCATGATGGGCAGAAGCAGTGAGGATCACGGCGTAAACCCCCCCCCCCCCCCCCCACCCCAATTTGTTCTGGGAGGCTGTCCCGTGAACGACGCTGACTTCATCAAACGGTCAGGGCGGCATGTGAATGCTCTCCAGACACCACCATCTCAATCTCCCTTGGCTATTATTGAAACCACGCCATCAGGGCTGGACTGACAGAGGGATTATTATGGTCTACTACGGACGGAACCACCATGAGAAGCACTAATGTAGCCCCAATGTCAACCTGACCCTCCTCTTCGGCCTCAGACCTAAGGTGGCCGCAAGCGTGAAAATCCATCCCGTTACCCCGGATTCGACCCGGCCCTCTCCGTAGATCTCGCGGACCGCGACCTACTGGCCGAAACGGGCGCTACCGGTTCACTGACAAGGCGCATGGTCAACCTTTGACTGGGTCAATTGCAAGCTCAAAATGGGCACCAACTGCCTGAACTGCACAATGCGCTCGGACGCGTCCGTTATGTCAGATGCGACCGAAGGCTATGGCGATGTACTCAACTTCGACCCGTACGGCCACAAGATAAGATGTTGAGGTATGCCCGCACTTGTCTGCGTCGTGTACACCCGGACGCCGCCGACACCACTCTCTATCTGGGTCGACCTTTCTCACTCTATCGTCAGACTCTCACTATCACGAGCCCGAAGCTGAAAACGTAAGATGTGGGATAATGTAAAGCCATCCATACAATGACACATCCAGCGGGGTATGCAAGACTTAAGTGTTTCATTCATATGCTGATTGTGTTGACGAAGTAGCATATCCCCTAATGATAGCCGGGATGCTGGCGCAGCCGGATTCTGATGGGCTGATTGTTTGGTCGCTGCGATCTAGATTCCCCCAGATACCCCAACGCCTCCAGTCGTCCGAAGTTCCTTCGTTGTCCATGTTCGGTCCTGGCCAGGATTGACATAACATCCCAGAGACTTGAAAGCCAGCTGAACAGAATGTGGCCAGTTATAAGCTTTTCCCCAGCCTGCACATTTCCGGGACTTAGCCGGCCGGATCGCCTCACCAGACTGCCGGCCCGGGGCACACAATATCCCCGGCATTCCCGCTGTAAAAGCGTAGAATGGGACCACGGCAGAGCCCTCGCATGTGCCGTCATTGGAGGCCATGAGTGCGACCACGGTTCTGCTTGCTGTCAGCGAAGATCACTGTCGACTATCGCAACACAACCCGTATCGACACGGCTGCAGGCCGTGTTCCATGAAGCGTTCCGATGCCTTGCAGGCTGCGAAACAGTGCAGGCTGCGAAACGGTGCCTGGTGGAGGAGAATAGCGTCGACGACTACGCTCTGTTCGACGTTTGGGAGGGAGCAAGCACGCCGAAGGACTGGCCATTCGGAGAGGACGTCGTGGTCCGGGCTGTCGGTCCTGCGGGCGAGTTCTACTTGGTGGCGCTGAGGACCAGGGCTGCCGTCAGACCAATCAATTCAGATATGGGGTTATATCTGGTCTGAACTGATACTAGCGGCCTCATATCTGCTTTGATTGATTGATTGAGGGATATCTGATACAGGCCTGCCCCCCTTCCCCTTCTTTGGCCCCTCTAACCTCTAAGAGGATGAAGTTATTCCCAGCCCCCAAACTCAACTTCAGCTGCCCGGAAATAGTCCCCCGAGGGAAACACGCCCATGCCTAATCCAGTTCTTCATCAATTGAAGCATCTCAATGGCTTTTGAGTGCAAGGAGTGCCGCTGTGAAGTGACAGTAAGCTTCGCCGTACTAATGCTCTATCGCAGTCAGAAGACATGGCTGGGATCGCAAGGATATCCAAAGCCAAGGCACTCAACCGTGGATACTGATATTTATGATCGATCCACCATTGCATAACGTTCTTCACAGGATGACCTGGTTCCCTCCGATAGTATCTTTCAAGTTCGCCGCCTGTCAGGGAAAGCTTTGGCAGTGTTGCTAATAATACGGCAATAAAACAATATACTGCCGTACATACGATATAATATGCACCGCCTCCATATTGTACTGTACCAATATGATATGGAGGTTGTCATATTGTGACAATACAATACAGGTAACGTAATCCACAAGGGAGTGAGCCACACAAGTGAGTGAGCCACCTTCCAGGTACCCGTACGACAATGTGTAAGATAATTCAACCATAACGCCTTAAATCAATTGAAACTATGAGGAATCCTCTTCTTCAGAGGCAGATACAACTTTCTGACATGTGCGAGCATTATGGCCGGGTTCACCGCAGACGCCACATCGTCGCGCGCGCGTTTCTGGCCTCCTCGTACGACTACTATTCTGACTCGTTTCCGCCCTTAACTGCTCCGTCGCGTCGATTTGAGCCTTCAAATCTTTTGCCTGATTAATTGTTAGGGACCCTCCTTTCTGTAGCTATTTTCTTTTCGTACGACGACGGCGGCTAAGGCGGTCGTTTGCATCTCGAAGTTCGGCGAGGTCATGGCGCATAAGGGTCTGCTCGTGTACCATCATTGTGATTCCTTTATTAAGCTGCCGTAGGCTCTCAATAATGGACGACGGAGAGCTATTCTGGTGTCGTACGATGCGATTTTTGAGGTACTCTGTCTGCGATTCGGCCTCAATTGGGTTATTCGGCGTCTTTGAAACCCAAGGAGGTGGCAGTCCAGCAGAGGAACCTGGCGGTGTCGGCGTATGAAACTTCACATCTAGCTGCGAAATCACATAATTCGGGTCGTACGGTACTAGGCCTGTCGCTCTGAAGCCTGCCTGGATGTTTGATTTGGTCATTGCAGCGTCGTACGCCTTATAAAAGGCTGGGAGGAAGTCCTCCTTTGAAACGTGGGTTACGTGCGCCCGCATTAGACCTTCAATTTCTTTACCGTACGCCCGTTTCAGAGGTCCAAAACACCCAACATCGAGAGGCTGGAGCTTATGCGACGAATGAGCAGGCATACAGAGGGTAACAATATTCTGTTCCTTGCAGTAGAGCTCGAAATCGACGGAATGGTGGCTCTCGTGGCCGTCGAGGATAAGGAGGCGGTGGGTACCCTTCGTACGACTCTTTGTATGGAAATCGAAGTGTTTTACCTATTCTAGGCCTCTCTCGTTCGTCGTCCAACCGTTTTCTGAAAGCGCGATTACCCAGTCGGGCGGTAGAGGGCTATTCGCGGTCCAGGAGTCAAGGTGGACCTTCCCGGCGAAGATAATGTACGGCGGGATTGAATAGCCGTACGACGCGATACCCTGGATTACTGTAACCCATTCCTGATTGCCTTGTTGTACGGCTCTTGGCCTCCCGCGTCGATCGGAGGTCGTAACGACAGTTTCGGTGGAGATCTTGCCCATCGCGAAGCCCGTTTCGTCGAAGTTATAGATATCGTCATCGTGGATCCCGTATTTCGCGATTATGTTTCGTACGAGCTCAAACCACGCGCGATACGCGTCTGGATCTTCGCAGAGGACCCTCTGGTAGTCGATTCTTCGATTAAAACGCGTACGGAGCTCAGGTCGTCGTCGTACGAAGTTCGAGGCCCAGTTCGTTCCGACGCGTGGCGCGTCGCGTACGGCAAGGAGTCGATCCGCCATTTCTCGAACACCACTAAGTCGCGGTGGAAACGAACGCGAATCTAGGTCGATTACGTATCGTACGATGCTATCCTCTTCGTACGAAGTTAATTTCCGGCAGGGTGGTCGTACGTCTTGTTTTCGCTGTGCGCCACGGTGTCGGTCCCGGAGCGTCGTACGAGGTACATTATAGATCTGTGCAGCCTTGAGTACGCTTAATTTTGGGTCTGATCGAAGCGCATTTAGCGCTAGAATAATGTCGGCTTCGTTTGATTGCTGTGGCATAATTATTGGTGGAGAAGAAGAGGAAAGAAGATAGCTTGTACGAGAGGACAGGAAAATTGGCGGGTCACTTGTATTGGCGGGTCACTTGTGGATTACGTTATAACGCGAGAAAGGGGTACGGCAAGAATGAAAGAAAGACATAGGGCGCTTCCATAGGCGACCCGGGAGGCGGGGGCATCTCCAGGTGGGTCCCCCGACCCCGTAGGGCTGACTTGCGAAAAAGTAAATCCCATTGTCATGTTTCGACTTTCAAGCAGTCAAAACATGACAACGGTCGCCCCAACTCGGAGTTGAACCGAGGGCTCTGCTCTTTCTAGGGGAGCAGCGTTCTAACCGCTAAACCATTGAGGCTTTCTAGCTGTTGTTGAAGAGTCAATCGCTTATTTGGATATATAAGGCTCGGGCAGGCAGGCAGGCAGGCAGGTCGGCAGGTAGGTCGGCAGGCAGGTCGTCAGGCAGGTCGGCAGGTAGGTCGGCAGGCAGGCAGGCAGGTCGGCAGGCACGTCGGTAAGCAGGTCGGCATACAGGTCGGCAGGTAGGCGCAATGACAAAAAGGGGGTGACCCACATAATGACCGCCGCCGAGAAGAAGCTATCATTATGTGGGAGTAACCCGGCCCGGAGTTAAACTAATTTGAGGTACTGCCCAGAAGCAGTCGTTTCCAGGCGGTGATTGTGCCAGCCGTACAATCACATCCCAGAATATATACCGGTATTACGTACGTAGTAAGTTGCCCCATTAGTTTCGGGGTCGCTGAGAACAGCTGTGGACTATCACATTGATAGTCGGCGCATGATTTGAGCGGCCGTACCAGTGGGTGACGGGGTCGGTTAGAACAGCCGCGAACTATCAGGGTGAAAGTTCCCGTATGATTTGAGCGGCCGCGGCGCTAGGGTCGCTAAGGATAGTGTCACGATCCTGCCTCCGGGGTCAACCGTCTGGCAGGGCGCTGGGGTTGCTGTTCTGCAAGATAGGTAAAGCCTGTGCAATCACAACTAACACTCTGCTGTCGTTCTCTCTCTGGGTTGTCGTTCGTGTCTCTTGGAAGAGATACCAGTCTCGGCAATTGAGTGACTAGTTCAAGTGTGAGTGAAACTGATACTTAGATTAATCGCTGAAGTACAAAGGTAGTGACTGTGTATCTAGGAGATCCTCCTGTCCCTATATATCCTTTGCCCTTCATCGGATTTCCATAGAGATGTGCCTGTGTCCCTGGATATGTGTGGATGTGTTGTGATCCAACATATCCATCCTGCTGACATAATGAGATGCTTACATAACCAGGGGAGCGCCCGCCCCGCGTGCATGACCTGCCCTTGTCCCTTGGCCCGATCTTGCGACCTGTTGGTCGGGTCGTCACACTAGGTCCGACAGCCCCGCGACCCCTCCAGGGCCCTGATGCGCCTGACTTATAATATGTATAACTGCCTCCAACTCCCGCTCCTTCTCGTGTAACACAACATATCCTCCCTCCTAGCGAATTGTGTCGATTCGACCCCGCATGTTGTACGCGCCAAGGAGATTGGGTACCAGAGCTTAGGCGGTTGGGCATCAAAGTGTAGTAGGATTAAGCAACAGCTTGGTCGGGTCAAAGTAAACTCCAACCTCGACAACTGAGGATAACACCTGGTTTACTACCGTTCTGAGGTTCTCAGCGCAATTGTTATATCATGGTAAGTGTTTATACATTCGTTTCTTTGACGCACGCACCCAACTTACACTCCTACTCTTCTTCGTCTAGGCGGCCCACGCCCCCAATCCGTCCGACTCCAACACCCTCGTTCCCATTACGAGCCCCACCGATGCGACGGTCGAGTACGTCCGCGTTGCCATGTTGTTCAGGGCGCTCCTGAGCTAACCTCCATGATATATCTCAGTATCATTGCAGTGCATGGTATCAATGTTTGGGGAAACGAAACCCATGCAGAAAATACGTGGACCCACGCCGAAACCGGAGTGAATTGGCTTCGGACCTTGCTGCCCACACTACTTCCTCGTGCAAGGGTTCTAGCTTTTCAGTACAATGCGAATGTGGTGTTTGGCACGTCAACGGCTGGTGTCCAACAGCAGGCTGTTAATCTCCTCGGCTGCCTTAGCATGGCTCGAAAGGTTTGCAGCCCAACCATCTCAAGACCCATAGAGCGGCTGCTCGTTCAAGTTGTTCCCAACTAACTCGCGGTCTTTTATAGGATAACCCAGCGCGTCCCCTCATCTTCATTGCCCACAGCATGGGCGGCATCATTGTAAAGGAAGCCTTGGCTACTGCGTGGCGAGGGTACAACGCGTATCCCATGATCTGGACCTTTACATACGCCATATTTTTCCTTGCTGTGCCACACAAGGGCTCCTGCCACGCTTCATGGGGACAAATTCTCGCTGACATTTTCAGCACGGCCACTCGTCAGCCTAGTAGCGCCCTCCTAGAAACCTTGAGTAGAACATCACGCAGCTGGGAGGAGCTCAACGCTAGCTTTCAACCGCTTTACGAAGCATTTAAGTTCTACACTTGGGTTGAGAGTCTGCCGTTTGGTCCAGGGCTAGGTGTCGTACGTTTCTTTCTTAGCCCCTGACGCCAGATGCTACACTGTCTGGTTTCTAACCGTTGGCTGTGTGCAGATTGTTCCCGAGGACTCTGCTGTCTTGGGTTTGCCACCAAGCAGAGAAACCGTTCGGACCGCAAATTGTGATCACAGGGGAATCTGCAAATTCTCTGGGGACAATGACCCAGAGTGGATAGGCCTTGCTGCTAATATCCTCCAAGCAGCAAACAAAGCAGCCGCTACAAACTGCTTCACCCCGTCCATGAAATGTCGCCAGGCTATGTTTGACTCTCTAGGACTCCAGGACGCAGGCTAGTCACTCTCCAAGTTGGCGCACTCGAATGCATGTCCAGTTTATTGTGCTAACAGCTATGAATTCAACAGAACAAGAGATTCATTCTCTCCGTGAAGCGAACAATGAAGTCCAGCGGGTCCTCGTCCAGGGGAAAGACCTCTTCCTCGAGATAGAGCTGACGAGAGGTCAAGCTCAAGAACAGCTTGCCTCCCTCATTTTTTGGTTCTTCGGCGCTATTGGCGCTATATTGCGCTTAATCGTATCTGTCAACTTGGCCTCGCCGGTCCAAAGGGCGATGCTACGGGGCCCGCTCGCCCTTTTGCCGGCCAAAGAAACGGGTCTGCAATACGTGCGTCAGGCCGAAGAGGCCGAAGACCAGATCATGAAAGTCGAGGAATGGGCGATTGACCGGCTTAACAAGCACCAGTGTAAATTGCTCCGGGCCCTTCATATGCTCCAAGCTGCTGCCATTAATGCTCACGGCGAAGAGCGTATCGGCGAAGCAAGTGTCTCGCAACGGACCATAGCCGGCGAGCGGAAGATCGAGCTCGTAAAGGAACTAGAGCACACCACAGCAGAGATCCATCATTCGCATCAGAGATATAACAGAGCCGAGGCTGAGAAGAGGATGATTGAAGAGGGACGAGCAAAGGTTGCCAACTTACCCGACTCAGAATTCTGGATTGGAACGGCTACAGAGATTAATAAGACTGAGGCTACGGTCAAGGAAGCCCATAAGGATGATGATGCGACGTGTTCTTGTATAATACTATAGGACCAGGATGGAGAACGACGCGCTTTCGATACTAAAGGCATCTACTAAGTTGTCACGACCTGATCTCCGGGGTCAACCGTCTAATCGGGCGCTGGGGTTTTATATTCTAAATAACGTAAATGCATAGCGAGTGGGCCACCCCCACCACATCTCGAGAATCAAAACCTCGTCAGCAAAACCAAAACGTCTTGAATTGATATAAACTAATCGCTATCTTCGAGTTCAGACCCTAGAGTAACTATTTGGCAAGTTCTCGCATTATGGCCAGTCATCCCGCAGGTACCACAGCGGCGCTGCGTTGGCGTAGTGCCGCCTGCATGACCTCGATTTTCTTGCGTTTCCTGTGTTATTTGAGTGTTCACCTCTCTCTGGGCCATAAGGTCCTGTCCCTCGCCTAGAGTCATGCTCTGGCCTTTCCGGAGACGTGTTTTCTTAGCTCTCCGGCGCTTACTAAGTACTGCATTCTCGTCTTCAAGCGTCTTCATCCTTGCCTCCATTAGGGCGAACCGGTGCATGATCCCCTTTGCTCCCTTCGTGAACTGCTCAACTGCTTCAATAATTGACGTTGGAGAGCTTCCCTGGTGACGAGAGATCCGACGTTTGATGAAATTAGACTGTGAACGGGCTTCCATAGCGGTGGTGGGCGTTCGGGAAGTCCATGGCTCCGGTGACGTCCGAGGCGTCCTCGAGGGTGTTGGCGTCTTGAACTTCACATCGAGCTTGGATAAAACGGCTTCAGGGTCATAGGGTACAAGTCCCGCCCTCTGAAGCCTCCCTGGATGTTTTTTTCCGTCATTGTCTGCTGGAATGCCGCTAAAAACGAGGGGAGGAAGTCCTCCTTGCTGATATGCGTTGTACCCGCCTTCATCTTAAGCTCAATTTGCCGACCGTATGCTTTCTTCAGCGGACCAAAACAGCCAATATCGAGAGGCTGGAGTATATGAGACGAGTGAGGAGGTATACAGAACGTAATAATGTTGTTGTCCTTACAGTAGAGCTCGAATTCGACCGAGTGGTGACTTTCGTGGCCGTCGAGGATGAGGAGGCGATAACCGCCTTTTGTTCGCGACTTTGTATGCTGATCGAAATGTCGAATCCAATCTAGACCAATTTCGTTTGTAGTCCAGCCGTTTGCGGATGTTACGATTCTCCAGTCGCGAGGAATCGCGTTATCTTGGTACCAGGTCGAGAGGTGATATTTGCCGGCAAATACTACGAACGGCGGGACGTAGAATCCAGTCGCGCTAACGCCCTGGATTACCGTAACCCATTCCCGATTACCTGGTTGCTTCATCTTAACGTTCGACCGTATTTGCGCGTTTGTAACGACCATCCCGGTCGCGATAACGCCCATCTGAAAGCCTGTCTCGTCGAAGTTGTAGATATCGGAGTCCGCTACGCCGTTTTTCGCGACTACGTTCCGCACAAGCCGAAACCACGCGCTTATCGCGTCGGGATCCTCGCATTGGGCTCTCTTGTAGTCGTACTTGCGAAAGAAACGCGTCTGGAGCTGTGGTTGTCGCTTAACGAAGTTTGACGCCCATCGTGGACCGACGCGTGGCGCAGCCCGCTTATCGAGCAGTCGATTCGCCATTTCTCCAACCTCACTTAGCCGAGGAGGATATGCTCGCGCATCCAAGTCGAGAATATAGTCGACAATCGTCTGCTCCTCTAGCTCTGTTAATTTCATCGAATTTGGTAGGCTATCGCGTCGAGAAGGCGTCCCCTTATAGCGGCGGGTAAGCGTTGTTCGAGAGACGTTGTAGATTGCAGCTGCGCGGCGTATAGAAAGGGAAGGATCAAGGTCCATAGCTTGAAGAGCGAGATTCAATTGGTTATCTTTAGAAGGGGTCTCCATGGCTGGTTGTTGAGTAAGATGTGTTAGAAGATGGAATTCTAGTGAAGTGATGGAGGTGGCCCACTCGCTATGCTGGCCCACTCGCTATGCATTTACGTTATAGAACAGAGATTATTCTCTCCCGAAACCCCTCATCCACCAACTGGCCGTGCGCTGCACAAGTTCTTGACCGGCAGAAGACTACAATCCGGAGAGCGTGTCATGCTGGATGAGTTTCTCCAAGCTATTGCTTGCCAATGTCAGAAGCCCCTGCTTGCTATGAACCGTGACTTTCGTCAATGCTTGTTCCAGCAACTCATCAACCCCGACCTGGCACGGTCAATGAACTGTCCCGAGATGACAGGGACATTCATCATTGAATATAACTAATGACTAGTGTGGTATTGCCTGAGTTGCCCCTCACTTGTAGTCGAGATGGGAGTCGTCTGAGGTTTTCCAGGTCGACAGGGGATGCCAAGCATGATGATTGTTCTGTTATACGTGGTCAAGGCTGGTTGTTTCTGTCACTGGCCTTCCACGGGTTCAGAAAGTGGCACAGTCACAGCAGTCAAATAGAGGTCGTACATCAAAGATACAGTAATATCGACGTGTTGACACTGTCAATTCGTTGGATTACACGGCTGTCGGCGATTAATTTGATGTTGATGTTCAATCATGCCAAATTGTCTCAAGATTCTTCTTCGCACCATCAAAGAGAGCCGTACGCCTGTCAGCATCAGATGGCTTCTCTGTCTAGTGGCTATCACCATAATCGGATTCCTCTATCTCGGCCCTCGACCTCGTCCACTTCCAAGAGAAGCGACCGGTGCTATTGAGGAGAATCAAGAGTGACATCTCCTTTTGGCTAGCAGACCATCGATGCAATGTTCCATTCTCTCCAAAACCTCCTGTTCAGTGTGCAAATCAGCTGCTCCCATCGATCGATATCTTGAGGCGTTTTAGCAAGCGTTTGATAATAAAGGCTTGCGAGTCCTACGAGTGAGCCCTACCTCCACGTCCTTCATATCTTCAGCCGCGAAGCCAAGCAATCCTAGGGGCTGCCGCTGTCTATAAAGATGGTAGACGCCAGTCCCACGCCTTGACGTTTGAATATGCGGCCGTCGAGTCGCTATTAAGCCGTCAGAAACGGGCCTGCCCAGCTTAAGTAACATCGGGACATCTACATCCTGATCTGCGCATGGGACACACCTGCGGCATTGCTCGACTTAGAGCTTAGCATGGGTGGAGATCAGGTTTTGCGATATAAAAGGGTAACCACTCGCTGTCTGGCACCCTGTATTTGAAAAAAGTACCAATGATGGATTCCGCGGCCTGGGGTACCGCGACCATACTTGATGCTCCTGCCCCCACGAGGACATCACCATCAATGAATGCAGGAGATCCGCGTCCTTCATTACTAGCTTCTGCTGTTACGTGCGTGCTGAGATCATAGACCTGCCGTGAGGTTGATCGATCAGGGACCGACTCGTTCCACTCTATGGGTTGGGTGTGATCACGGGATTGATTAAGACTTCCAGCGCTGTCGCGTTCCTGTTAGACGGCTTGTGTAGTCTTGGTCGCGTATTCCCTTCGTGACTCTCGGACAGGTCATGCACGTGGGGTAAAACAACGACGTGCAGATTAGATAAGCAGTAATCGATAAGGGTCCATATCAGGAAACAGGCACCGATTGATGGTTCCCAATGTTAGGTGCGAAGCAACTGACAGCCAGTCAGGGATCGAGCGACCACCAGGACATTTCTATGAAAACCTGGCACGGAGGAAAGGTGCAATTTGCTATGGAGGTTCCTAAGCCAGATAGTCGTGACTTTTCATCAGACTCAATCTAGGGTTCTAATCGTACACTTGACCCAGTCACTGAATTGCACCGGAGCGGTATCTTCTGTGAAAGCCACGACACCCGATCGAGAGAGTACTACATGTACGGAGGTAATATTCCTTAGGGCGTTGTACCTATCACATCTTCAACCCGTAACCACCCGGTTAATTTGGTTGACTCAGGACGCCGGATTGGGACGCTACCTGGACGACCTCCAGCGACTGTGCGGGTGGCTTCACTACTTACCGAATCAGGAAGGAAGGACAACTTATGCCCCGTGCTTGAACGAAGAGAAAGCTGAGGGGTTAGTCGCACTGTCACAGCTTGCCCGGCGACGCCACTTTGGGTGCGATGAATAAAATTGCCTTCCTAGGTCTAAGTGTGGCTCGACGACCTCAGAAAACTTAAACCGTAGCCTTAGCTTCGTTCTACTAGAGAGTTGGGAATCTGAACCCCAGAGGGGGCCAGCTGCGAGATGTGTGAGGTAGGGTCGACGGACGGCGAAGGGCAACTCATTTTTGTCGATGATCATTCCTTCCTTGTTAGGCATAGGCCCCACTTCTGACAGAACCCCGCCTGGGAATCTGAAACGCCAATAAGGCATACGACCTCGTCCTCGACTGCGCTCCGACCTGGTCCCGTGACTTGCATGACGTTATAGCTGATGTTCTTCTTGTCGGTCCTTGCTCGGATGATTTCGGCGTCCCCTGCAAGCATTATCTGGCGGAACCAAGCCTCAAGTCGCACCGGTAGTGTAGCTGTCAGTAAGATGACCGGACAGCCGTACCGGTAGATACACTTCAGCTCCGTAAGCCGCTTTCGATAGCTAGCGTCCATAATAATCGTATGGCACTCGTCGACAAAGAACCGCTTGAGCAGACCCCGGCTTCGCAGCCAGTCCGTATAAGTCGAGAACTCTGTGCTATTGACCTGATCTGCACTGACGAAGACGAGCCGTGACACCCGCGGCTTCTCCTCTCGCCCGGTTGCCTGTGCTGGCTGCCACTGCTGACAGTCTAGCCCGAGACCAGCTGCACGTCTGACCAGATCGCTAATTAGTGCCACAAATGGTACTATGACGATGCTGATGCCTGCGTTCACGCCGCGCATGTATGCTGTCAACGAAGGGCATACAAAGGCGGTGCGGCTACTAATAGAAAGAGGTGCTGATATCAACTTTCGTGGTAACGTGGGAACACCATTAGCTTGTGCCTCTGAAAACGGATTCGCAGATCTTGTGCAGCTACTGCTTCACAAGGGAGCCGAGGTAGATTACCCGGATCGGGCCGGCCGGACGCCACTCTCATGGGCGTCTAGCAATCCGCACGACGAGGTAGTGCTGCTACTGCTCAACAACGGCGCTGAGGTTGATCGTGCAGATGAGACCGGTCGGACACCGATCTCATGGGCTGCCGGCATGGGATGCGAGCGGAATGTGATGCTGCTGCTCGATAGAGACGCCAGAATTGACGAAAGAGACTCCTTTGGTCGGACACCGCTCGCATGGGCTGTCTACAACAGGGCCGAAGCCGTCGTGCGGCTGCTGCTAGACAGTGGCGCAGAGCCCGACAGTAAAGACATTCATGGTCGGACGCCGATATCATTAGCTGCCGAAAAGGGATACATCAGCATTATAGATCTGCTGCTAGCGAGAGGCGTTCAGGTGGATAGCCGAGATATTGATGGAAGACTTCATTGTCATGGGCGACATCTTGGGGGCGTGACGACGTTATGCAGAAACTGCTAGATAGCGGCGCCGACATTGATAACCGCGACGAGGATGGTCGTACGCTAATAGACTTGGCCAGGATAAGTAGAAAAAGCAGCACAGCTTCGCATTGCGGCTTAGCTCCGTGCGGCAAGTATAAGCCTGATTGATTGAATATAGTAGGAAAGCTATGGAGACGAATAAAGAGTTGATAATAACCAGCAAGACGAGATGTTGAAAGTACGTCTTTATCCGGGCCGCTGTCGCTTCGCGGGGCGTCCAGGTAAGCCCACCTCACTTCCTTCTGTCCCAAGAGTCTCTAACAGCTCGGGGTATTGCTGCCAACATCGAGGCTGTGTACACGAATGGCCAATAGCTTCGCCCCATTGTTCTTGAACGTTAGTAGAGTTCCCCTCTGAAAAGCTTGACGCATTCCACAATCGTGTGACTTCATTAATGAAAAATCGCCCATCGGTTGCGACTTCTGAGATGCCAATGTCGAGACGTACGCCATCCTTAAGTGAGGCAAGACCAGGTTCAAAATCGGCAAGCCTAAAAAGAATGGCAAACCACAGAGAGGCGAACTGCTTCAGTTCATGATACTTGCGCTTTTGAGCGTGCTCATCCCCAACTCCTTGCCCAAATATTTCGTGACTGAATGGACTCTGATTCATATCCGAGAATTGAACCTTGCCGGCAGAAGTGGTTGGTCTGGTGATGGTGATACTAATGATCTTACCTGGGGGAATGAGACCGTCTATAGCCTCTTGAGATAGATCACGCACCATACAGACCCGAAGTTCGCCAAATTTGACTAATGAGTCGACATACTCTTGGTGGAAGAGATGGTTCCTGGGCTGAATATCGGCATCCCATTTGTTCCCAGGGATTCGGCACTTCAGTCCCTTGCGATTGCTGACTTTAACAAGCTTGACTCCTTCTCCACTGCTGCTATGTGTCGGCTTGATAACCATGCGGCCACCATGAGAGGGTGGCAGGTTACACGTCGCCGATAGCCCACCATCGCACGTTATGGGTCGGTATGCGAGCCAGCTCATTCCTTGGCCGTCGAATTTTGCGGCCCACTCGTCGAGGATTCTAAGATCGCCAACTTTGCTTGCCTGGAATGTTGCCTCCTCCGTGGTAGGATATGCTTTAATAAAAGCATTGTTGTCCATAAACAGTTTCATATATTCGCAATATTCATCGAAAGAGGGCCCTTCCGGCACCAGGATGGGCGTTGACATGCATCCGAGAAGAACGAGCTTCTTCCTCTCAGATGTGGCATCGGCAAGCTGTTCGCGAAGGTCTCGGAACAAGTCTGCACTCCATGTTAAAGTCACCGACATCGTAAGGCATGGGTTCCTGATGGTTGCCGAGATCGCCATGATCAACGGCTCATAGACCCATACGGTCTCGTCATCGTCATGTTCTTGGTGTTTGAAATGCGGCTCGACATTTACTAGATCGAGAGCAGACGACTTTAGCCTCTTCCCCTCCTGAGACATCGGAACACCTAATGGTATAGCGGAGTCAGATCGACCCTCCTCAACCAGGGGGCCAAATGGGACTCCGAGCCAGATCATATCGACTGGAAGGGGTTTTGGCTCCGGACGAGCGGTAAGCTGGTGGTTGTGGCTGATCGTGGTTGAATATTGTATGCGGACCACCTCAAGCGAATCTGAGAGCGGAGGAAACTTGTCGACCACTCGTTGTGCGCTCCACGCAACGGGACATTGTTTATATCCGCAGACATAGAATCGGGTCCTCTCCCTCTTCTCCTTCGTTCTGGCCTTGTATCCATGTCGGCTGGCAAACACTGACACGATCCGTTCTAAATCTTCGAATGAAGGAAATGTCCAACCGCATGGTGGGGCGCCGTCACTTTTATAGTCGATCTTAGCCCGGCCCAGGGCAAAATACTTCATAGCCTCCATAGGCAGTGATAACACGGAGAATGAAGACGCAAAGATGATTGAGAGACGTCGCTTTGGCCAAAAGGGGGTTCGCGAAATGCGGGGCGCTGGGGAAGTTTTCCACGAGCGTGGAAGCTATTCCACGGGCGTGGAAGCTTTTCCACGGGTGTGGAAGCTATTCCACGGGCGTGGAAGCTTCTCCACAGGCGTGGAAGCTTTTCCACGGGCGTGGAACTTTCTCCACAGGCGTGGAAGCTTTTCCACGGGCGTGGAACTTTCTCCACAGGCGTGGAAGCTTTTCCACGGGCGTGGAACTTTCTCCACAGGCGTGGAAGCTTTTCCACGGGCGTGGAACTTTTTCCACAGCCGTGCCTAAAGTCGCGTGAGTAGCGGTCCCAACCACCCCAACACCGCATTTAAGATTACTGTACTACAAACAAACCGCTCCAGCTGGGCGAGACGAAGGGTGGAGTCAGATGCTGGGGTCTAGCCGACAGAACGTAAACAAACAATTGGCTTGGCGTCCGTTCGCTTTCTAACGGGATCAACGGGGACCTGGGCCAGATACGTAATAGCACCGCGAAAAATGGCAGACAGGTTCGAAAAACCTTAGAAATAAAGACGTGCCATCATGATCATCATCCTTCCGATTGGGCTTGGCATAATCGTGCACGATGCGTGCTGCGCGATGGCCTATCAAAGACCTGACGAATGTTAAGCCGCGTTGCCCCACCCCACTTGCCACTTTAGGGAGGAGGAGCTGGCAGGACATGGTGGATGTTGTACACATGCGACAGAGCCGCCCCCGCCCCAGTGCTGAAACAGGACTCCACCACAACAGCGGTGAGCTCCCTCGGTATTCGGTCACGGGGCATCCCACAAGCTCAGCACGTCGGACTGGCTGGGCTTGTGGGCCGTCGTCTTCGGCCCAAAAGAAAAACAAAAAAACAATTATCTACGGCTTGTCCAGGCGGAACGCCGCTCCGCGTCCCTGCTGCAGGAGAGGACGTGGTTCGACGCGGACTTAAACTTGCATGAACAGAGGCGCAACAATATGTAGGAAGTTGTATTACATACCAAGTGGGAAGAGCGCCTGGTAGCGGCTTACTCCTTGCCGCCAGATGGTAGGGGAGGCAATTAGCTAAGCTTCGTCTCGCTAGATCAGGTCACACATATTGCTGGCTGAGACAAGCAAGGTTCGGGCAAATTCTTGACAGGAAGTGTAACTAAACGAGAGATACATTGACCAGCTTTATGTATATACAAATGTCGATTCGCCTACGAATGGCCCGCACCTACACTGCCAGACACTATGTCTCACCTTCCCAGACCGCGGCGAGGAGGTTCCGTAGGGCAAGAAATCTATGGGTACCCTTGACATTGTTTTACGAACGTCCTTCCCATACACATAAGACATTCTTGTAGAGAGTATGAGCCGGGAATCACCGCACCCCGCAACTCACTTGCGACATTACAGAAGGTCCGCTATCCACTTGATTTCTTCGTAATGGTGACCAGGAAGGGAATCGAGCGGCTCCGCCCAGGGGATTCCGAACCGACGACGCCACGTTGCAGAGACTGCCGCAGCCACCATCTGGCTCGCAGAGCAAGAGAAGAAAGACGGCTCCACCAGTGCAGCCCGGAGGACACGCAGGACTTCGAAGCGTATGTATTGCTCCAAGGGGGTGCGCGAATCGGGAGGATACACAAAGTCGAGGAAGTGGATTGGGGTTGAGCCGTTGACGCAGTGGCCAATGCGGTGCAGGATGCTCGCCCGTGTGCTGAGAATGCTGTCCATGGAGAGCTGGCGATCTGTATCCATGACTGCGGTCTCCAGCATCGCCTCAACGATGGCTCTGTGGACTGCAGTGAGGCCGAGTGCCATGTCAAGACATGCGCTGCCGACCTTCGCGTAGAGCACCTCCCTGGTCGGCTCAAAAATGGCCCATTTTTCAGGTTTGAGGATGGCACGGAGAGCAATGTTGACTGCGGCGAAGACGACTTTGTGCTCGAAGCGGAAGCGCTCGTCGAGCGACAAGATGTAGTGGATAACGCCTTCACAGAGCTCTTGCAAGAGATCCTTGGTATCTGTATCCCAGTCCTCCTAGGCTGCCGGGACGCAGAGCTGGTTCTCGTGCGTCGCTGCGTTGATCATGAGACCTGCGGACGCGCCGATTAGACCTTGCGCTTTTGCTTGGTGTCAATCATTCAGGTGACGGGTGTGACGGCTGCAATCGTTGGAGCCGGCCTCAGGGCCAAGTTGGGAAAACAACTCGTCCATGTGTACGTTCTTCTGGCGGGTCTTCCTTGCCACTTGGTGAGATGGCGACTGCCTCTGCCCAGAGACTTTGTAGACGAAGCATGTTTGGCTTGGTCTCTGTCCACTAAGAAAGGAGAGGTGCTGGCGGAGTCAGCAGACGAATGCAGACTCAACGATTCAGAATCGCCCTGTCTGGTGTATTGGCAGGTGCTGGAGGCGTTCTCGAATGGTGCGCTTACCTCGGTGCTGGCTTGTGCACCCGTGAAGCAGATCGGGGTTGATGTTGATGATGGAGAAAAGAGTGATGGCCTGGTGATGGCTGCCGGGGAAGTGCGTTCTTGAGCACCTAGTGACAAGGTGCATTGACGGCGGATGCCTGACAGCCAGCGACGCTGGGTGCCTGGCAGCCCCTCAAAGTGGGCCCGCTTCAACCCCTTTGCACCACATAACGCCACCTAGTCACCCGTGGAGCTCGCACTGCAAGTGCTCCCGCTCTCCTGGAGATATGTCCCCCGGGGTGCTCTGCTTATTAGCCAGCATGAAGGAGCCGAAGCATCGCAGGGACGCTTGTCCTGATAATTCAAGGAGTAGCTGACCGCATTGTGGCGGCCCGAGGCTTCGCCAGGTGGCCGCACAGACTCACCAAACATGGCTGGAGGGAGGTTTGGCTGCCTTCAGCGGACGCAAGCATGACGGCAAGCAGGAGCTGAGTATCCCCGCCTGCAACGAACATTCGCGAGTAGCGGGTAGGTGGCCTTTGCATGCCAGGACACTTCCAGGGTCATTGCCACCGCGCAAGCTCAAAAGAGGGCAAGCATGAGGGCGCACAATCAGACCTTCACCAGGGGGCCTCAGGACCAGTCCTAGGCCAAGCCCTCAGAGCAGACGGGCAGTTTCATTATGGCCACCTGAAGCCGACAATGAACCGTAATTTTCAATACGAGGCTGCATTCCTCTGAGCCGATGATATGATGACTTTCCTGGGAGTTCTTTTTGCACGCACTCTTTGCATTCTCAAACAAAGCATCGACAGTCTGGGCAGCGCCAACCAAGTGCTGTGCATGGCTCATGACCCAGACCGCGATTGCACCCTGGCGACCGACCCGCCGGGCGACACTGCCTCGACCAACTTACATGTTGAGCCGGTAAGCAAGAACCGAAGGAAGCCATGGGCCGCCGCGGTCGCTGCGCTGTGGCGGGCTCGTGGCGACAGCCCAGTCCGGCATCCGAGGGAGGTTTCGTTTGTTCCAACGTGCCGCCTTACGACCGCTGTGCGACCCATGCCCTGTGACTCCGATGCGCAGTCACGCAAAGCCCACTCGCGTAGCTACTGCAGCGTGTTTGCTATATCGCACCATAATGCTCGGTCGCCTAGGACTCGGCTCGCTTTTTAAACCCGTTGCAGCACCGGTCTGCCCGAGCTCCGGGTCGCTGAATGTAAAAGTTTTGAGGGTGCCGTCGCTGACAATGTGCGCCGGGCCAAAGCAGCTGTGCCATCTTTAATGGTTGCCATGCAACGCGCTCGCCAGCAGCCGAATGAATGTCCCCGCCCCGTACTCGATTAGAAACCAAAGCGATCATCACTGGTCACACGTTCATTGCATGGCCCTCTCGAGAGGTCATTGTGGATCCCGTATTTCGCGATTATATTTCGTACGAGCTCAAACCACGCGCGATACGCGTCCGGATCCTCGCAGAGGACCCTCTGGTAGTCGATTCTTCGATTAAAACGCGTACGGAGCTCAGGTCGTCGTCGTACGAAGTTCGAGGCCCAGTTCGTTCCGACGCGTGGCGCGTCGCGTACGCGGAGGAGTCGATCCGCCATTTCTCGAACACTACTAAGGCGCAGTGGAAATGATCGCGAATCTAGGTCGATTACGTATCGTACAATGCTGTCCTCTTCGTATGAGGTCAATTTCTGGCTTTGTGGTCGTGAATCGCGCTTTGCAGGTTGACCATGGTATCGTCTGTGGAGTGTTGATTTCGACACGTTGTATATCGATGCAGCTTTACGAATTGTCAATTGTGGGTTTGTTTTAAGCGCATTAAGCGCTAGAATCAAATCGCCTTCAGTTGATTGTCGTGGCATAATTATTGGTGGAGGAAAATAAGAAGAAAGAGAGTGTCTTTCAGAAAGCGGGAAAGTGTCCCACTCCCTTGTTTGTCCCACTCCCTTGTTTGTCCCACTCCCTTGTTTGTCCCACTCCCTTGTGGAGTACGTTAATGTACCTAAATTTTGTGATTGGTACTCTTTCCTAGGCTCCTTATCCTAGAGCACACCCCGGTAAATAAACATGTGGAGGAGCCCGAAGGGGAAAGCCGGATAGATGGTGAGGCGCTTCGTCTCACGCACCGTAAGAAGAAGGTATCCTCGCTAGTTATGAGATTCCCTGAGAGCGTGCATCAAACCTGCAATGCCACGAAAACGAGCAAAGGATCTGACATCATCATCGCCCGTGGCCATGTTAGGTAGCAATGCGCACAGCTAACAGGCGGTCTGCCTTGAAGACTTTGAGGACGTTAGAGCTCATCGTGTAGACTGGTGGCAACAGGGCGTACCACGAGTCCCGAGCCAGTCTGCGGTACCAGAAAGAAGGCGGAAGTCGACCATGTTCCTCCCGGAGTAGCGGCGGTCGAACTGCAAGCGTCAGCACCGCACAGTAATAGTTGCTGGACACCAAGAGAAGGCTAACCATAATATATCCACTACTAAGAGCTGATGGTTTATGGAGGGGATTTCACATAAGAAGTTGCTCAGCGGGCGTTCATGGAGCTTGTTATATTGCCTAGACCTGACCAAGAATAGTGACCAATGCGTCGCGTACTTGATTCGATCGTTGCTCGCTGTGCCTGTTGAATAGCACAGAAGGATTAAGGAAGTGGTACCCATCAGCGGTATCAACCGTTAGAGCTTTCAAGATGAGCTGCGCGCCTTTCTTCGTCTTCATTGCCTGGAGGCGAGCATCGTCATCGCTTCCCGGAGCAGCACCGATCAGTTTGTATCTTATAAAGTCCATGACTGCCGCCGCCACCGCAGCCGCGATGGGCGTGGCATATGAAGTGCCAGAGCGGGCTTCGTAGCCGCTTTCGACACGCGCGGCCGGCCATGTAGACTTGACGCCCTCGCCCAGCGCCGTGAACTTGTAATAAGTATTGCTGACCTTGTGACTGGGCGTGAATGCCGATGTGACGCCAAGGCCATCCGCAGCACCAACCCATATGACCTCGTCCTGATCTGCTGGAAATGCCAGCTTCTTGACGGTCGCTCCCGAATTGCTGGCCGCGGCAAATATGACAACTTTGTTCGCGTATGCCTTTAGCAAAGCCTCATGGACCTTTAAGAGAGCTTTGGTCTTGTAATTAAAACCAAGTGACAAGGAAACGATGTCAACCTTCTCGCGTACAGCTTCCTCCAGAGCCTGTGATTACCTATAAGCAAGGCCGTTCAAAATATCCCAACGACGACTCTCGCAGCTGACTTACCAGAGCAATGGCACCAATATTCTCTTCCGTGAACTTATCCTCCACGGCCACGCGATAGGCATAGACATCGGCATTTATGGCAAGGCGCAGCACCAGCCCAGCTATATGAGTGCCATGGCCGTGTTCATCAATCGTTGCGCTTTTGCCATCTAGGAAGCTTTTGCATGTAATACGGCGTTTCTGGACTATGATAGTGTCATGTACCAAGTCTATTCCAGTGTCGAGAATGGCAATCTTCAACCGCCGCGGTTCTTTCAGTTTCGGTTGGCTCTCCTTCAGGAACGGCTGAACGTGGTACCGCCAATCGTTGAACCATCGATCGGAACGTGCGCGTCTGGACTTGACGTCAGCATTTCTCGCGAGAGACAGAAGAGGAGAGGGTGTATGGTTTCATTGCCCGTTTATGCACTTACGCTTCTGCAGTGACGTTAACCACATCATCAAACAAGTGGCCGTCTATCAAGTCTAAGGAGGGCGGCCATTTAGCTGCAAAGTCATAGTCCTCAAGAGCGTCTTTGAGACCGCACACGACCTGGTCGTAAACCATCTGCCGAAACGCAGACTCGTCCAGCGACTGGCGAGGCCGTTTAGGGTCCATGGGGCCATAGAAGTCGCCTTGCACACATTTGCGAATGACTTCGAAGAACACGGGGGCAGCAGCCACGAGACTCGTTTCTTCTGGAGCAGCAGACTTGCTGCCAAATTCCTGAACACTTCTGTTCAGAGCGGCCAGGTCGTAGTCTGAGAGTGTATGATTAAATGTCACATCTGGCAGAAGCTTGGTCCGGAGTGACGACCACGAGCTGTTCCTCGCCAGCTCGACGAGGAAAACCCCCAGGGAAAGTATTCGTGGTTCCATGACTTCTTCAACGCGGGCAACGAATTCTTCAGCGGGGCTCATGTCCTTCGCGTTTCCGAGCGTGGACTTGATATTCTGGTTGATTTCACTGATAGTACTTGCGGATAGAAAAAGTCGGATTGGGGGTCCTCCAAGTGCTCCCGGCCGGGTCAACCAGATGTCGCTGCTCATCCACACCTTGCCGAGGAGTGACGTTCCGTGAAGGTACAGCAGGCTCTCCGCCACCTTCAGAGCCATTTGCAACCGCTCCGGTACCGAGAGGTGATGCTCGTTCAGCTGTCCCAACAGGTTAGCCATTTCCTTGAAACGAAGCTGCGACCGGTCGTATTGCAGATGGATAGGGCCTATCTGGCCACTCTCGGCCACTTGGGGTTGCAATGTGGCTGTTTTCTCCATTTGCCACTTGGAGATGAAGTTGCAGAGGTCGAAAGAAGGCGATTTGGTCATCCCAAGGGTTTCTTTCGACCGGGTGAAGGTCCGCCTCACACCTTTCTCGACGCTTTTGGTCGCTTTTGTGACCCTGTCGGCGGAGTTGTCATCTGATTCTCTGTTTGACTGGACCAGCGATACGGTCAGGCCCGCAAATGTCCAATCTCGACGTTGAGCCTTGAGGCTTTTAGACGGTATGTTTTTGAGTACAAGTCTTAGGATAGGCTCCGTCTTGGCCTCGGCGGATCGCGATATGTGCCCCAGCACATCGTCTTCAAGCTCCAAATAAGCTTGGTGCGAATTGCGGCAGCTGCATCGGAAGACCTCGCCGGGGCAAAGGGCGCTCGTGAGGACGCTTATCTTCTCTTGGACTGCGAGCATCTCTCCTAAGCCCCTATGAGTCCGTGGCCGATTTCCCAATGCCGAGCGCTGCCATACAGTATTGATCCGTTTGTTCAACAAGTCCAGCTCAGGACAGAGGTACGCGAAGTCATCTTTCTGCATCTCTCTACGAGCATTCTTCCATCCCTGTCGCAAGTCGCCTTCGGAGAGAGACTCGGTCTGGGCGCGCAAATACCATCAGCAAAAGTTGTCACTTCCAAGATTGGGCTTGTAATCACGACATCGTAACTGACCAATTCCTCTTCCAGCAGCGCTTGAAAACGCAACTTCCGGATTTGCCACAAAGTATAATCTGCATTCAAAGCATCATCCGGGTCTTCGTCTCTGTGTAATTCGAGGAGTTCCAGTAGTCTTAGCCGAGTTGGTTCATGAAAGTTGAGCCTGAGAGCACCGGCGATTTTGCCAATCTGCCTTCCAATGAGATCGGCGGCGCTCACGAACAAGCCAAAGTTGAATCCCAGCATCCGGCGCATTTTCTCTTCGGCACGCCGCAGCTCCTCTCCATCCTGGGCAGAAACGAAGTCGTCCTGAAGGATATCGGCGAGGATGTTCTGAAATGTCGCCTTGGCTCCCTGCACGTGCAGAGTAAGATCCTCTAGATCCTCAACTGCAATGAGGCTCTTGCTCCCCGTCCTCCGCTTCTGCTGAATCCACTCGTATCTACAGACGCCATATTCGATTTCCGTGATGCTGTGAAGAACGCTGAAACATATCTGAACTGCATTACCCGACATGTCGTTTGCTGTGATAACATCAACGAGCCCTCCCACCAGGGACGAGATCAATCGTCGTGCTGTGACTACGCGAGAGCGGCTATCGATTGGTGGGAGCTCCTCAGTTTTTGGAGGTTCTTTGGGTGGCTGGGGATGGCAACGCGGAACTTGGGGGGTTCACACAGTGGCGCAAGAGGCTTTGAGCAATGGTCTTCATATATACAGAAATTCATTTCATTGGACCACAAGAACTCCTAGGTGTAATTTACAGCCGGAGCTGAATCAATCTGGCTTGCGCTAGCGGCGTTCCATTGCCTATGAGTGCTACGTGGCATCGGGGCTTATGCAGACGCATTCACTTCCGTCCATCTCGTCGATCGTCGCGTATCTGTACAAATGCGCGAGAGCCACGTCACCAACGTCATGTCCGACGGCAGTGGTGTCCCTGGGCCGGGCTGCACCACCGGCAGTGTCAAGCAGCGCGTTGGTGAGATAGTCGGACCCAGTCACGTTGCCCTCGCTTACCCGGATCTCGCGCAGCTGGTAGGCAAATACAATCTTGGACGAGTCTTCAAAGCTCACAAATTCATTGCGCGATGCAGAGTCCTCCGCAGTCATGCCGACCGTCAGCGGCACATCAACGGGAGACAAGTCGATGCCGAACCAGCCGAGGAGGCTTCGTCCTCGCCGCCTCAGGGTCGTGACGGTGACACTCTCTGCCGTCCGGATGCCCGTGATCATGTAGACGGGTTTCTCGTAGTCCCACTGCTCGAGGAATGCGGCAACACTGCTGGATTCCGTGGCCTTTTTCTCGAGCTCGAGGCTTGGCACCCAGCCCGAGACAGAGGCAAGGTCTTTGACGGTGTAGTGCTCGACCGCAGACTTGTCGCGCTGGGCCGTAGCCTCGCCGCCGACCGGCACGGTACCCAGGAATCTGGCGAATATGCCGCCTTTGCTTTTCTTCACCTCATCTGCAGTGGCTGTGAAGTTCTTCTTTGCGGTTGCATCTGGTATGTCAGTCAGGTCTTCGTCGGCCGGCACGAACTTGGCGTGCGCCTTGTCAATGAAGGGTGGAGTCGGCTCGAAGAAGACTGTCCCAAGCTTGACACTGGTCGGCGCAATGTCCCAGTTCGGAGCCACAAACCACGTCTTGACTTTGCCAGACATTGCAAAGTAATAAAAGGGTGGACGCGAAGAAAGGAGGGTTTCGGGGGTGCTACAATTGATCCAGTCGGGCTGGTAATGCTAGTTTTGTAGAGTCGGGCATCGAGCTCAGAGGTTGCTTTGTAGCAGTACACAGCTCCGAGCGAAGGATGTGCAGCATATGCATCAGGCGCACCCGCTAGCACGCCCAATGTGGCGGTCAGTAAGGAGACCCTGCAGCATGTGATCACAGCTGAGACGCCCTCAGCATGTGATCACAGCTGAGACGCCCCGGACAGGGACTCTGGTGGGCTAGGAAAAGGCAGTGTGGGTGGGGTCTTTGGTGCACCCAGAAAGGCTTTCTCAGGTAACAGCTTAAAGTGGCGTAAAACGGCTTGCCAGAGCTCGTGAGTCCGCTGTAGCCCAAACTTGGACCTGCTTTCGCTTGCGTCAGGATGGTTAAACCTCCGCACTGCTGTGTCAGCTCCTGGAGACAGTCGCCATGTCCATCGCTACCGGCGTAGGGCTATGCTGGAATGCGTTCCAGATTGTCGCCGAGTTGGATCGAGAAAATGCCCCAAGCAGAAGCGCGGGTGCGTTTGTTCGGTCCGAGATAGGCAGAGAACAGGCAAGATTTGAAGACTGGTGCAAGAATAACGGCGCACACCATACGAAGAAGAAATCTCTCGACGAGAAACTCCGAGACTCTCCACATCTCCTCAGCGTGGTCGTTGAGTGCCTGGATAGATTGCTGAACTGCTTGTGTCGGATCAGGAACCTGCAAAATGCAATCTTGGGTGGGAAGAAAGAGGTTTTGGATGAGATCTTCTCTAACCGCCGCGATGGGAGCACCGAAGACTCCTTTTCGTCCGGGGAAGATGACGAGGTGGCCCCCGTCGATGCCGCAAGGGCCGTGGTTGTGAGGCTTCGTCAGAGTGTGTCGAGAACCGTCAACACCCTGATTAGGATGAGTGCCAGCTTTCGCAACCCAGTTCCGCTTGACCGCTATCGGAAAGCGGTCACAATCAACATAGAGGGTGTCGAGCAGCTGGATCTGCAGTCGGTAACGGGTAAATTCCCAAAGATCGAAGATTATCTGAGAGATCGAGTCATGAAGGCTCTCCATGCTCGCCGCCAATTTCTTTCTTACTGCCGTGCGCATCACTTCAAGCTGACGGATGGCTTTATTGCGGAAATGGACGGAGAAAAAGTCATGTCAAGCTCAGAAACCGAAATGAACGACGCCGACACAACGGTGTCGGCACTACCCGTCCTCGATGGGACAGATGAAGATGCTTCGCCAGACCAAGAGCGGAGAGTTGCGAGCGATCAACAGTCAATAACATCGTACGGCTCAGACCCTGATGACATGAATCGACCAGTATTTCCAGCCCCGCCTGTCGAGCTCACGGGAGAACCTTTTCCCTGCCCTTTGTGCTACCTCTATATTGATCCGATCAACACTCGGGAATGGAGGTACGAGACCTTAACACTGATCCATGGGCGCTATGGCTGACCATATCCTTAGATGGCACATAGTGAGCGACATACAACCATATGTATGTACCTTTGAGGACTGCCCGGAGCCGGACAGGCTGTACGGCTCCTTGCATGAATGGTATAACCATGAACTTCGTCAACATAGGAAGGATTGGCGCTGCATCAAAGGTTGCACGGGAACCTTCCACTCACCACAGGACTTGGACAAGCACTTAAAGGAAGCTCACTCTGTCGTGGAAGACACTTTGAAGGCGGCTATGGTGAGAATATCGGACCGAAACCTACCATTCAACTATTCGGCGACCTGCCCTTTTTGCTTTGAAGTAATTTCTACTTCCAGAGAGGTCAGGAAACACATAGGCAACCATCAACTCGACGCCGCTCTCTGGGTGCTTAGAGCTTACTCCTCGGATATGGAGACGGAGGACTGCGACGAGGACGATGTGGGTGTCGAAGAAGATGGTGATGGTGATGTTGTCGATGAAGCCGCCCCCATTGCGCCCGATAGCAGCCACCAAACTGCAGCTGTAGAGGTTCCGCAACCGCTATCCAGAACAGTCACTGTCACACAACCGCTACGTACGCAAAGAAGCAAAATAAAGTCCAAGAAGACATGGTTTCTGGTTAATGATGTGCTACCAAAAGGGTCTATCAGGCTCGGCGCGATCCTTGCATCACCGTTCGATCCAACCAACTCCGTAACGGTGCTTGAGGCACAAGAAGGGATAAAAACTTGGCAGGTACCGGCACTCACGTTCTCCAGCGACGTCAGGGGTGGTCCTTTCGGTAACAATTTCAGCCTACGGATTTGGTCCAGGTTCCTCTCGGTGAATTCGAGTCAGCACTTCACCTGCGACAAGATGGAAACGATTGTTTTCGAACCATCGCTGGAACAGATCAAACATATTGCTGGGAAGATGACTCCAGGTGCCGCGTTAACCGAAAAAGCAGTGTCTTACCTCAAGCCGCGGGTCTACTACATTGTTACCGGCCTCAAGCACGTAACGGATATTCATTTTCAGCATCCTGAGGAGAAGTCGGCTAAATCCCCAAGGGTCCCTACTGTTGAGCCTGTAGGGGTTCCAGTGAGCGCCACTGTTGAGTCTGTAGGGGTTTCAGTGAGCCCCATGTTTTCAAAAAAATCAAATGAGGACTACGTCATCGCCTACCGACTGGATCAGATTAAAATTCGGTCGTCATCAAGCGTCGAACACTCGCCCTATAGTAGCAAGGACGCCATACTTCTATCTACAACGTCGGAGTTGAATTTCTGCCTGCCGAGAAAGCAACCAAGCCAAAAGGATGACATTTCCCAAACCAGGAAGCCGATGAGGGCAGCGGAACAAGAGAGGGAGACACAGAGACAACAAGCCGAGGCAGTGGACAATCTTCGAGACATATTGAAGAAGCGCAACCTGGCAATATGCGTGGGGTCCGGCGTGACCCTATATTCGATTAAAGCCGCAGACAGACCTCGCTTGACGTGGACCGGCCTTGTTCACAATGGTTTCGACTATCTCGAGAGAGAACTGCCGAACTTCTACCAGCAGCAAGAGAAGGCATTTGAGCGAGCAAGGAAGCTGCTAGACGACGACACAGCGACGCCCGGAGACCTCATCGACGCCGCAAGTAAATTGAAGAGCTTTTTCCAATCTCATCCCGTCAAGTTGGCAGACTGGCTTAGCCTCCAATTCAAGGAGCTGCACCGCTACGTTGCCTCCCCGGCCGTCCTCGAGAGCCTGAAGAGTCTCCACCGAAACGGTGCCTTGCTCATGACGACGAATTACGACGGATTGATGGAGAAGTATTGTGGTCTGTCCCCCCTCGACAGCTCGGACAAGGACAAGCTTATGGAATTCAACCGGAGACACTGCGACGGAGTGTTCCACCCCCACGGCTACTGGAAGAACCCGAAGCATATTGTGTTGGATGCCATCGACTACTACAAGGTCCAGCACGATGATGGCGTCCAGGAGACGCTGCGAAACATCTTCACGGGAAGGACCATACTGTTTGTGGGCTGTGGGGGCGGCTTGGCCGATCCAAACTTTGGCGAACTCTTGAAGTGGCTTGGCGAGAAGGAGAAGAATATTGGTTCCAGTCATTACATCTTACTTCGGAAGGGCGAGCTCAACCCAGTGCCGCAGCTGCCCTTGAAACATGTCCGTTGCGAGGACTACGATGCCATTGGACCTTGGTTGGAGGACTTGCTGGATCAGAGCGAGCGCTCCGAGGGCACTAGTGAGTAGTCCAGATATTTAGCTTGTCGTAGGTCATGTCTAACTTTCATCAGTCCATGACATCCCAGAGGACAGTCAGCGGAAGTGGAGAGGGATTCATGCCTCGCTTGCACCGGCCGACCAATCTGGATTCCTCAACGCCGCTTCCAACATGCTAGAGCCGGGTACGAGCCTGGTCGTCAAGTTCGGCTCCACGGAAGATAACGGCTTCAAAGGGAATGTCACTACAACACCCTTAGAGGTCTCAATCGCCGATGACGGCAGATTCATTGGCGGGGATGAGGATGTAGCAAATTACCTCGTTTTGCAACTGCTAGATTTACCTGCAGACAAGCGCTGTGTGCGGGTACGCGCTTCGGCCCTTGACGATCCGGCCTACAGGCTCGACCACCCGAACAGCTATGTCAGACTTCGCGAACATGTCAGGCGATATGAGCGGGCCCTCAATTTTCTTGTCTGCGGAGGCGTGCACTACTACTGGGAGCAGGAGGCCTCTAACTTAATCAAAGCCGTGATTGAGTTGCGCGGCCTCGCCTTACCAAGCAACGAAGACTACGAATCGTGGTTCGCTTGGCCTACACGGAAGCCAGATCAGGTATTGAGGGTTCGTTTCTCGAAGCAGATTGGGGACTTCGTGCGAACAGGGTACTATGAAGACGACTGGAGCGCATTTCCCCGTAAGAAAGGCATGCCAGAAGACCACCCGATCTGGCTGAAACACATTTCCCCTAGGATTGTGTGGGAGCGAGTGGCGCCAGCAGCTGCGCTCATGGCTGTGGGGGAAGACAGCAGGAATCATACGCACCACATAAATTTGGACAACTGGGTACTCTCCCATCGTCAACCGAGGGATCTACAGAGGTACACGCCCATCGCTAGCGTCTAGGCCACATTCGCGACATACCGGAAGGGGAATATCAGGGAATATATCGTTTTTCTCGGCACAATGCACTTGGAACAGTTTTTGAATCAGACAAGGAATCAACACCACCACCACTGAAGGAACCCAGCACTCCACCGCCAAACTTGAGGAAGTCGCCGCCACCAGCAGAGAGGCAAGAGACGCGGCGAAAGAGGCAAAAGAGACGGGACAAAACGTCGCATATTTAATAGGAAATGCAGGACAAGCAAGAGGCCAGAACCTGGAAATCACGCCTCCCGCGTCCGCGGCCATGGCAGGGAGAGGGGTAGCATCCGGCGTACACAATATGACCGTCCTCAAGAAATCTCGTGCCTAAACCCAACATGAGATCATCGTGAATATCAGAGACCCAGTCACAGTAGCAAGCCTGGGAGCCATGAAGCCACGAAACCTGAGAGGACCCGTGGATCGCGATCGAACAAAGCGGCAATGAGAACATACAGAACATCAAATTCGCCTCAGCTAACCGGCTCAAGAGCGAGTGACTCGGCATTAAAGTGACGGCGCCCAACGACGCGGAGGCACTCAAACAGTTCGCTGAAGACTGGACCCGAAGACTCGGCAATGGCTGCTCAGCTCGAATCCCGACATAATGAATCATTGCCCATGGCATACGACCAGCACGCCTCAGCGTCTGACCAATCAAGTTTCGCCAGATTGAGTCGCTTCTGAGCGACCGACTTCGGGTCACGTATCACGTTCGCCCCAGATTAGAATGTCACGGCCAGACCGCGTCGGCCCTTTTCTGGCGTATTCGTTGGAGCGTCGCGAAAACGGCCCGAATTTCGGTAGGATCCGGCACGCAGCGGCCCGTCCCCGTCCCACCAAGGTCCAGGCTTCAGCGTGGATCCCACAGCCGTTCCGCGGCTCACGCGTGCTTCGTCCGTCGGGTCCGGGAAAGAGCCCAAGACTTTCCCCCCCAGAAAACGAGGCGGACTCTTTGTAGGGAGAGCTGGCAGACTAGGAGCGTTAGATGATGATGAGGCCTCAGAGAACTGAGTGGCGTGGTCGAACATACCTGCGTGCATAGCAACTCAAAGTCGCTCCCAAAGTTCCTCGCCTTGACGACAATGTCAAAGTTCTGGATGCACGCCGTGAACAGCCCAGTGTTGCCCAATACGCCGACCGCGAGCCCAGCAGCCTCCATCCCGAGCACGGCGGGAGTGAGGAGTCTGGGACCTGGCGTCTCAACTTACAACCGTCAAAGATTGCTGAAAACTGTTTCACCAGCCCTCCCTTCTCAGGGGTGTTGGGGGAACGTCTGCTCACTGGATGCTTTGACAGAAAACTGGAGGGGCTCTTCCGCGCAAAGGCAAGAGGAGGGGGATATATTTTCCGTCCCGTGTCGGCTGTTTCAGCTATGCACGTTCTCAAGTCGTGATTAGTCATATCGCCCTTTCTCCACTTTTCCCCTTGTTGGGTCTCGGTCCTGGATGGTGTTTATGTAAACCGTGCTTGCGATGGTCTGTGCGCAGGTCACATGTCATTTGTCCTGCTGACAGAGCGTTTGGTGGTGCGACGCGGAGCGACTTCCACAAGTTAACCTTTCCCTTTGCAACCACACCATCTTGCCAGGCATGGCAGACCAACGGGCCAAGATCATCGAGGACCATCCCATTGGAAAAGGCCTTGATGCCTTTCGGGAATCGTTTTGTTCGGTTTACGGCGGCACCATCATTTCGCACGCTCTGGATGCTTTGGATGAGTTGGACCAGGAAGGTGAGGACCACGACCGGGGATGACTTCGCTGTGCTCTAACCGTCAAGTAGAAGTCCGAACATGCCTTCTTCTTCTCCTCTCCGCAATCCATGTTCTTCCAGCCGCCCGTCGTCTCCGTTCCAGCAGCGGAAGGTCTCTGTTCACCGAATTGCCAAGACTCAGTGTTGCAATCGGGTCTGACGACTTCGACCTCAACCGCCTTACGCCTCTTCTGAAAGCCGCCCTTGCCGACAAACCTGATGACTCCAAGATTTGGGAAGAAGTGTCCCAGGCCGTTGCCGAATCTACACCGCCTCCGCGACCGATCGCATCCTCCCTTCAACAAACGCCGTGGCTGCACAACACGAGCGGCTTTGCGAACTCGTCCGAATACAGACGCGATGTGGATAGGGTGCTCAAGCAGGAGCTCGGTCCTCTCTATGTTGGGCTTCGTCGACTCCCGGAAGTCTTCTTTGGACGGGTACCCGGGCTGGACGCTGCGTCCCAGGTCGTCTTCACCAGGTGCACGGAAGGCAACGGCCCCCTCTTCTGTAGAGGATGGGCTGGCTGGCCAAAGGACGCAAACCAAGATTCTGTCCTGGAGTGGTTCTCGGGCATAAGCCAGAAGCTTGCAATGTTCGCCGAGGCAACATTGTCGGTTCCAACGCATGGACGGCGGCCTCTGGCGCAACCCAACCAACCAATTCTCGATTCTACAGCGGAGCGCAAGTTGGACATAGCCTTTGTGGACGACCCAGGCGCGTTGAAAGACTCCCGGTTACATTGGTCGCACATTCTCGTCCCGGGAGAGTTGAAGAGCAACCCGTTGGCGGATACAAAGTCTAAAGCATGGCTCGACCTAGGGAGGTATGCCAGGGAAGTTCTGGCGGCTCAAGACACACGTCGATTTGTCCTGGGCTTCACCTTATGCGGATCGTTTATGAGAATATGGGAGTTTGACCGCCTTGGAGGAATTGCATCCGACAACTTCGACATCAACGAAGACGGGCTGCGCTTCGTCTTCACGGTTCTTGGCTTCCTCTGGATGGACCGTGAAGCCCTTGGTTTCGACCCTACAATCACTACGGAGGGCAGTCGACGCTTTATTTCGATCGCCCGAAACGGCCAGGCAGAGCGACTTGTCATTGATAAACGGATGAAGAGGGCACCCTGCATTGCTGGCCGCGCCACGACCTGCTGGAGTGTTCACCGAGAGGACGAGCCCCAGACTTCTTTTGTGGTCAAAGACTCGTGGCAATACACTGAACGGGAGGAAGAAGGCGAGCTCCTCAAGACGGCGACCGAAGAAGGTGTGGTCAACGTGGCGCGTTACTACCATCACGAGACTATCCATGTCCGCGGCGAAGTCGACGACGTTTCGAGCAATATTCGAGGGAACCTCAACATCCGAGAAGCGAGCAATTATCGAGCAGATCGGTTGGGTCAACCAGGGAGCTCGAGTGCGGTCGATGTTCCCCGGAAAGGTCGGAGCAGTGTTGCTGCTGGCAAGAAACGCTCCTCCAGTCAGACAGAGGCCCCTCTACCACCGAGCAAGCGATCTTGCTCTGCGTCACCAACCAAGGCTAGCGGTCCTGCACTGCCGAACCGGGTGCATCGTCGCGTCATTGTTCAGGATTGTGGGACGCCGATCTACAAAGCCAAGTCCCCTTCGGTGCTGCTCTCAATTCTGAGCGACTGCATTGAAGGTCACAAATCATTACGACAAAAAGCCGGCCTCCTCCATAGAGACATCTCTGTAAACAACCTGATGATTCGTGGAGAGAAGGGTTTTTTAATTGACCTTGACCTTGCCGTCGCGGAGCAACGCGAGGAGGCCTCAGGAGCACATGGGAAAACCGGTACAAGAGCCTTCATGGCGATCGGTGCCCTTCTGGGCGAGCAGCATTCGTTCATGCATGATCTCGAGTCCTTCTTCTGGGTCCTGTTTTGGATATGCATTCACCACACCGGACCTGAAGAAAGTAGAGTGGTGCCGCGATTTGAGAAGTGGAACTATGTAGATACGGAGGAACTCGCAGGGATGAAGTTGGGAGTAGTGTCTGACGATGATATCTTTGGGAAGATCACGATGGAATTTTTCACCGACTACTTCAAGGCCTTGATCCCTACTGTCGGTCGGTTACGAAGAGCGGTGTTCCCCGGAGGGGGAAGATGGAAGAAAGAAGTCAGCGGGTTGTATTCCTCCATGCAGGAGATTCTCCGTGAGGCCCGAAAGGACCTTTATGTCCCAGATAATTGACAAATACCCGACCCCATCGAAGTCATTGCTAGAGCATTGCCGCCTCCGTTCAAGAACAGGAGTACCTCGACGCGCTCTCCGCGTCGTCTCTTGAGTATGATGCACATTTCTGGGGTCGACCCGGAGCAGTTGAGCCGGTCCAGCGGGCTCCAAAATGGCGTTCAGGGCCAGCCAGAATTGCCGGGGCTAATTTTACAGCTGACCGAACCTGCCAGGGCCCGGTTTTGGGTCAACAGCCGCCTTTAAATGCGTGGCATCCACCAACATTTCCTTCGGCGGCCATTTCCCCCAACCACTGCTCATCACCATGGCTAATCTATCCCCCAAGAAACGTGACCGAACCAAGGAGAACTTCGACAAGTCATGCAAGGGAGGCGCCGAGCGATTTAACAAGATAAGCAAGAAGTATGGCGCCCGCGTCTACGTGCAGGTGTGTTGGAAGGGGCGGCACTACGAGTACACATCCCACGACGAGCCTCGCTGGCCGAGGACAAGGCATGACCTAGAAATCATCTAACCCTTGACCACTCAATGGACTCCAGCAACATTCGTGAAACGACCGCCATCGAGCTCTAATTTGAAAACCCCGCCAGCGTCGCCAGGGAAGCCGCTCGAATCGGCGGGGGAGGAGCTAACGGAGCCAAAACTGGCTGAGGATGGATGCACTGCACGGGATTGATAGCGTGAGAGGGGGACTTGGACACGGCGTTTTAGACGGGTGAAGGAAGTGGCAGGGTCACGGGGGGTGTACTACGAGTATGGCTTTCTTGAGCAAACCCTCTGAGGCGTCTGTTGAAGCCTTGTGATACTGTACGTGTTGATTGAATCATTATCCTTCAATTCTAACTCGGCCTGTAATGCATCGTGAGATCATCAGTGAACGAGCTTGAAATACTATTCGAGTCGAGAATGGGACACTGGGCTGGGCAATGCAAGAAGAAGAAAAGTCGAGAGAACGTTGGAAGCGATATTGACGATGCTCGTCCAATTAGAGCAACCGCTGGGTACAGCGTCCTGCTGGGCGATGGTGAAGTTGTCCTGGAACTGGTTGAGGAGGTACAGGTAGTCACGCGGGCCGCTGTGGTCGTAGGTGAGGATGGCGTCGTAGTCGGAGAAGGTGCTCTGCAGGCCAAACTTTTCGGCCGACACGAGGATGGGATTTCTTGGTCCTTCCGAGGTACCGACCCCCTCGATCCAGTTGGCCCCGAGCTCGACGGTGTAGGGAGTGCCGTCGGGGCGGCTCCCGAAGGTGGTGTGGTGGACGCGGCCGCCGATGAAGTCGTTGTGTTCGATGATGAGGAAGTCACTGACCGAGGCGTTTGAGAGGGCCTGTGCCGCGGTGATGCCAGATACACCAGCGCCGAGGATGGCGACCTTGGTCTTCTGGCAAGCCTGGGCTTCTCCGGCAGGGACCGCGGCGGCCCGGGCCAAGGACAGCCCGCCACAGAGGGCGGCGAGTGCACGGGATTTTGAGGGCATATTGGAAGCGGATGATCCCTCAGATCGCAAGAAACACCACAGCGAGATGGATGACTGGGAGCAATGCGCTCCTCATGTTGGCGATGGGGGCTTTATATAGACCCGGTGACGCCGTATCAGCGTGCCATTCCATTCTCGACTCATGTCTGCTTACCCATATCTTGTTCGATACTCGATGGTCCTACGGTACTCTGGAGGGCCGACTGGGAAGCACAAGATCACGACTTCAGAATACCCCGGATTCTCCCGTTTCGACCCCGCCATCAACGATCTGCAGGAGGTGCGTTGTGGAAGGCCTATCGGCTTGCTAGGAGTCCGAAGGTCTCGCATTCAGTTGCTAACTTGGGGTAAGTCGCGCGGGACGGCATCCGGATGGCACCCGGAAGGCTTCGATGTACGCTTGATTGCTTTAGGGCGCTCTCCGAGCCGTATTAGCGGCAATCAGAACTGTGAATTATACACACTACCAGGCCGGGCCGGGACGTTGCCCGTTTTCTTTCCTCTTTCAGCCTCCTCGCCTGCCGTATCGCTGCGTGCTGGGTTGGGTTGGCCACCTCGAGGATCGGCGGGACGATTTGTTGCCTGTTTGAGCAGTAATAATCCAGGCAAGATGAACTGAGATGGATTGCAGACGGGCTGTCGGTGTTCCTTTTCACCCATTTCTCCAACATCCATGTATGGGTGCTTCACGTGTCCCTTTTCTTTCCTTTCGTGGCTTGGGACTACAACGTGTCGAATGTTGAATGCCTCGCCCCTGTATCTAGAGATGCATTTCCAGGCGCTCGAGGTCATCCACTCCCCGCACTTTGCGGGGAGAGGCTTATCTGGGATGAAGTCTGCTGGCGATAGCGGCAGAGATACATGGGGAATTCAGGCGTAAGCAGCCATGCTAGCAACCGACTTCCAATACGGCGCTCCCAGAATAAATAGTGCAATCTGCACAATCTGCTATCCTTCACAATCAAATATCAATGCCTGTGGCAGTGCTTTCTCAGTCAAGGGTCTTGTGGGTGCTGGCCGGAGGCGCCAAGACGAGGCGCTAAGATTGAATCGCACGTCATTCCTCGTGACCACGCTGAAGATGAAGAGAATGTCTGAACTGAGCTGCGACGACGCTGAGAAGGTCGCACCTTCACAACCACTCCATTGGTAGAACTCTCTGTCGAGAAAATGAATCGAGACTGGGACCAGACCTTTGAGAAACTCGGGCGCAAGGCCGCCGACGTCCTCAAGGTCAATTGGCATCTCGGCTTCACGGCCTTTGGCGGGCCGCCGGTGCACTTCAAGATTGTAGGCCGTGATGACGCCCGAGAGACGACGGCCTGGCTAACAGCCGCAGTTCCACGACAAGTTCGTGCGCAAGCTGAAATGGATCGATGAGCAGATGGTACAGCATCACCCCCGTCATCTCCTCGTTGTTCACCGCCTCTAACACAAGCCAGTACCAAGAGCTGTTCAGCATCTGCCAGGCGCGGTCCGGGCCCGCCAGCACCAAGATGCTGTACTGCATCAACCTCATCCACGGCGGCATCTTCGGTGCCCTGTCGTCCTTCTTCATCTGGAGGTGCGCCTCTCTATTCCTACGCATCATGTGAGCTCTTCCTAATCGTGCTGCCAGCCTCCCCGGCGCCCTCGGCATGTTCGGCCTCGCCGTCGACGTCGCCAGCATCGGCGACACCCTCCCCCGCGCCGTCTACGCCCTGCTGTCCGGCCTCAACGCCGCAATTAATTTATTTTTTTATAAAAATTAAGTTATATAAATTTTTATTTATTTTCTGGCCACCGTTGGCGTCATCGCCCTCGCCGCCGTCGAGCTGTCGCAAAAGGCCATCACAGACCCCCTCACCCGCATCCTCGTCTTCCTGGCCGCCTCGGCCGGCATGCTGTACAACGCCCTGTGGTACTTCCCCGTCCTCATGGCCGCGGCCGGCTGCGCCGCCATCGTCCACGACTACCGCTGGATCCACCGTCCGCTGCGCCGCGTGAGGCGCGCCGTCTTCCGGAACCGGACCCCGGACCCCGAGCCGGGGCTGCACCAGGAGATCGTGGCTGCGCCTCCTCCTCCAGCTGGCCAGGAGACGGCCCCGAAGCGGCCTTCCACGGAAGGAGAGACCTCGGCAGGACCCTCTACGCTAGAAGCCCATGAACTGCAGATCCTGGGCGAGGCCAACCCGGCCGCCGAGGCGTCCGAAAGAGAATCGGATGCCCGTGTCATTCCCCAGGAGTACAGGCTGGACTTCTCCTGGAAGGTCGGCGCCAGCATCATCGGCGTCTTCTTCCTGTCCTTCATCGTCGTCATGGTCCTCCGCGGCGTCATCGCCAACCAGCCCATCCTCTACAACCTCTTCGCCAACCTCTACCTCGCCGGCACCATCATCTTCGGCGGCGGGCCCGTCGTCATCCCCCTCCTCCGGGAATACATCGTGGCCGAGGGCTGGTTTTCACCCAAATTATTGGGTGCGAATCAAAAGGAGACGTCATGTTCCCTCCGATCAACAAATCGACGCTGTTCATCCAGCCTCCCACAAACCGTACAACTTACGTCGCCTTCGTCCTCGCCCGCGTCTTTCCACTCGTCTTGCCGATGATCTAATGGTCCGATGATACGTCACAATGGAGCCGCATCGCCTTACTAGGTCTACATCGGATCCTCAGATCTCGAGATTTGAACCTGTTAAGACCATGACAGTCGACGAGCATCTCCAACGCATCCAGTTTCTGCGTACTGCGACTTCGGGTGAAGTCGACCGAAATGCCCAGAGGACAGCCGAAGGCCTAAGGGCACGCTATGAACAGCAACGTGATCAGGCCCGAACTCGTGGGAAGAAGACCCATCAGGAAAAGAACAAGAAGATCCAGGCTCTCGAAGACCGGATCCGCGAGCTTGAAGTTGATAACCACGCACTTGAAGACGACAAGAGCGAGCTCAAAGCTACGATACAGTCTGCCAACCGGCAAAGCGACTCTCTACGAGAGGCATGCTCCGAAGCATTAAAAAGCCTGACCATCATTGCCGGCGGAACTTGGCTGGCGCAGTCAAGTTCCCGGTGGGGGCACGGACCATGCAGGGGTGGGCAGGGGCCGGCGCAGTCAAGTTCTCTTACCCCTAACGCAGTCAAGTTCCGCGCACCAAAACGGCTAGGGGTTAACTACAAACCCCCGGGCCAACCCTAAGTAACCCCAACTCTAGGGGGCCCGTGCGCGCAGCTGCGGCTGCGGCTAGGGCGGATGTCGCTAGCTAGGGTCGAGAAAGGTTAAAAGGGGCGGGAATAATAAGAGAAATGAAAAGAGAGTACGCGACGCGACAGGAGAGGAGAGACGCGCGGACAGACCCCCTAGAAGTATAGCTAGAGATAGACAGATATAAAATACTAACGGTAGACTCGCAAGCGTAAGAAATAATGGTACAACGTTATAGCGAAGCATAATAGTAGCATCCGATAGCGCCGTCTTAGCTATCTAGTGTGACGACCCGACCAACAGGTCGCAGGATCAGGCCAAGGACAAGGGCGGATCATGCACGCGGGGCAGACACACCCCAAGGTCCTTACGTAATCATGTCATTATGTCAGCAGGACTGGATATGTTGGATCGCAACATATCCAGACATATCCAGACATATCCAGACATATCCAGACATATCCAGACATATCCAGACATATCCAGACATATCCAGACATACCCACGAGGATATGTTGGATCGCAACATATCCAAACGTATCCAGGAAACCACGATGAAGGACAAAGGATATATAGAGGTGGAGGATCTCCTAGACAGTCATTACCTTTGTACTTCAGCGATCAATCTAAGTATCAGTTTCACCACCCACTTGAACTAGTCACTCAATTGACGAGACTGGTATCTCTTCCAAGAGACACGACAACCCCAAGAGAGAACGACAGCAGAGTTGAAAGTGTTATTGCACAGGCTTTACCTATCTTGCAGAACAGCAACCCCAGCGCCCTGCCAGACGGTTGACCCCGGAGGCAGGATCGTGACATCTAGTTACACGCGCCGGCGCGCGTTCTTATATGCTTGTACTGTAAGGTAGCTATCCGGCCCGGCGTTAACGTCGCTCCGCACTTCCGGTAGGCGCACTAGATCTAGGGAGACGAGTTATAGCGGATTTGAGAGCTAGCTACCGCGATTACGGAGACGGTAGCTAGCACCGGCGAGCTAGTTAACCCGTAGTTGATAGAGCTCCCAGTAGACGGCAGTAAGCCGATCGAATAGCTCGCTGTCACGATCCTGCCTCCGGGGTCAACCGTCTGGCAGGGCGCTGGGGTTGCTGTTCTGCAAGATAGGTAAAGCCTGTGCAATAACACTTTCAACTCTGCTGTCGTTCTCTCTTGGGGTTGTCGTGTCTCTTGGAAGAGATACCAGTCTCGTCAATTGAGTGACTAGTTCAAGTGGGTGGTGAAACTGATACTTAGATTGATCGCTGAAGTACAAAGGTAATGACTGTCTGTCTAGGAGATCCTCCACCTCTATATATCCTTTGTCCTTCACCGTGTGTTCCTTGGATCATTGGATATGTTGCGATCCGCATATCCTGGGATCATTGGATATGTTGCGATCCGCATATCCATGGTGTGGGTCCTGCTGCCATAACGAGATGCTTATGTAACCTGGGGTGTGTTGTCCCGCGTGCATGACCTGCCAGCATTTGGAATCTGAAGGTGGCACTCGAGAGACCCCCCCCCCCCCGAGATGGACTTGGACTAACATTTATTTCAGCCAGCCATACAAATTGCATATAAAAGTGGAAATATATTTTCTCTTGTCCAATCACGTCAATACTGAATGCGTTCTCCACCTGCAAGGAGGACCTGTTCGAGCCTCGTTTTTTGACTCAAAACATCGTCGTTTAGCTTCTTCTGGGCCACTTTGCGTCACCCCTCGTGGATAATCTTCTCTAGATCTCCTGTAGTCAAATGTGCAGTGTTTTTAACGTGATATTTGACTCTCCTGGCGTTCGTCTCGATCCAATTGAGATCAGGAGATAGCCCGGGACCAATAACGAGTTGACGGTCATTGTCCGCGACCCATTTCATGACCTTCTTCGAGTGGTGCGAGGAATCGCTGTCAACTTGAAGGCGGAAATCTTTGTGTCCAACGTGGTTCTCTATTTCGCTGTATAATTGGCGTAGAATTGGAATCAGAATGTCCGCCGTCATTTTCCCATTTTTGTTTGAAGGGATCGTGTACCAGTACAACTTCGACCTGAAGTTCCAGCCGACTGCGCAGACTGCATGCATGAGGGTCTGTTCGTTCTCGTCCTCTAGCTCCTTAGCACCCTGGATGTCATATTCGTCGTTTTTTATGGTGTTTCTAGCGTTTCTGAGCTTCTTCGACTTCTGACGAGGGTCATCCGGCTGTACAACCCAATGTTCGTTTCGGTCCTCCGGACGGCGGTGGACCTTGGTGGTAAGTGCCGGCTGAAATCCGAAGTGAACTTCATCCATTGAGAACCCTGTTTTGAGCCATTCCTTGTCGTTGTACCTGCCCTCTCGAAGGCGCCGTCGAACCCATTGAATTCGTGCCTTCTTGGCGCTCTCGGGGAGCCCTTCCTTCAGTGTTGAGACGCATGTATGGTACCTGAAGCTCCTCCGCATCTGGTTCCTGATTACCCTCTCGCAACAGGTGACCTCGAGGCCCGACTCTGCTGCCGCAACTGGCCACGGTAGGCGGTAGCCCTGCCATTTATCAGCTTCAGGAAGGTCCAGAAGCCAATGATGGATATGTTTACCGTCCTCGACGCTGAATTCGACGCGCCTGCCGCGTCGATTATCGACGAGAGGGTTGTGCGCCGTCCGGCGCATGTAGTGGCTAAGGTCGGAACACCGCCTTTTTGGCGACGGTGACGGTGACTCTGTTTGCGAAGTTTCCTCGGGCTCGGCTGTTTCTCGAAGAGGTTCAGGGATAGCACGAAGCCACCTATAGCCAGTTCTCTTTGGAACATCGAAGTCCGCGAATACTTCGGCCTTCGTAAACAGCCTCTGACCGTCGTCATTATGGGTGCGGTGGCCGTCAGTCATAAGGAGGCCGCGCTTCTGCAGCCACCATATGGTGCCAAGGGGCCTTGCCCGCCGTGGTGTAACATGCTCTTTACCGGGCATTGCGATTTCTCGGTTAAAAGTGACGATAATAGCAAAAGGAGACGTTCGGCGCGTTCAGAATGATTAGCTCTAAGAATGAGCCAAAAACCAAGTGGTTAGAACGACGTCAGCGACGGTGACGTCGTCGAGAGTGCCATCGTCGATTTCAGGTGTTGGGGTTTTAGACCCCTGTCACCCTGGTGATTAGCGCCTTGGCGCCTCGAGTGCCACCTTCAGATTCCATATGGTGCCTGCCCTTGTCCCTGGCCCGATCTTGCGACCTGTTGGTCGGGTCGTCACATATATGTGCCTGCTTTTCTTACTATACTACGAAGATACATAATGGAGTAAAATTGAAGAAGCGTAATAAGTATTTTATCCTTATCGTTTGGTATCTAACGTATTTTCAAGTTTATAGAACTTAAGATGAAGAAGTTGTTAAGATTTAACGTTTTGGTGTAAATATATACGATAAGGAATTGCACGACTCACAACAGAGTCTGCCGTCAAAGCCGACCTCCCCAAATTTCCTTTCTGCTCTCGGAACTGAGTTCTTGGCAGATAGACCTGAAGGAAGACTAACCCGCCTTGAGCTGTGGCTGGGGCATCCTGAGCTCGCATCGACGAAGCAAGACAGGGAGCGGGAAACTACAAAGACGACTCGTGACGCCACCTGTATGGAAACTTGGGGTCCATGACTGCGCCACTTGTGCCCCTATGCGGGCTTTGTAACGCCCGATAAGTGCACCAAGCCCCGAGGCTTGACCCACTCGGGCCCGAGTAACCCCCGATACGTGTACCCGACTCTTGGCTGGGCAACTACCGGCAATAATATTCAAACTCCACGTAGATTACCTTTTAATAAGCCTGTATATAAAAAGAAATGAAAGAATATCTTCTACACTGGAACTTGCACCAGAATCTTCGGCTGATCTTTTATATTGCAGCTCACCTAACCCATTGGCTGTGTTGCTGACGGTTTACCCGCAATCTCCTTCCACCTCGCGCCAATGACTACAATGATCGTGCTCATTACTGGTTGCAGTGAAGGTGGCGCTGGCGCGGCCTTGGCGAAAGAATTTCATTCTCGCGGCCATCGGGTCTTCGCCACGGCTCGCAATGTCTTGGGATTAGCTTCGCTGGAGGCCCTGGGAATCGAAACCCTGCCGCTGGACGTCACCGATCAGATATCTCGAGACACGGCCGCGGCGACTATTTCAAAATTAACGGGAGGAATCCTCCATATCCTCATCAACAATGCGGCCGTGTACAGCCTCATGCCTCTCGCCGACACGAACCTGGAGGATGCGCGTCAAGTCTTTGAGGCCAACATCTTCGGGGTGCTGGCCGTGACGCAGGCGTTCCTCCCTTTGCTCATCAACGCGGCTGGCACTGGGCTCGTGGCAAATGTGAGCAGCATATCTGCCGGGCTGTGCCCACCCTGGCAAGGCATCTACTCAGCCAGCAAAGCCGCCCTTACGGCGATGGGGCATACGATGCGGCTAGAATTCGCGCCACTAGGAGTGCGCGTCACCACAATCATATCTGGGGGAGTGGACACACCGCTCAAGCGACAGGCCGCATTCGTCCCGGCAGGAAGCTACTACAGCTCCTTAGCAAATTCTATTGAATTGAACGAGACGTCCAGCGATTACACCCCCATGAGCCCAACAGAATATGCCAAGCTGGTAGCAAACGACTTATTGAAGCCTCATCCTAGACCGTTGCTCTGGAGAGGCGCTTTCGCGTCTGTGGCCTGGGGGCTGAGCTGGCTCGGCTGGGTAGGTATGATGGACAACGGGCAAAGGACACGAAGCGGCCTATCGACTATCATACGGTGATTGTTCGTAGGACTCATACATTGGGGGATTGTGCATTTCTGAAGGGAAATTCGCCAACTTAAAATGGGAGATAGAGCTGGTCTGTATTGACGGCGGACTCGCTTGTGTGCACCACTCGCTTGTGGACTACGTTAGGGCAAATATAGTAGATGAGGAGTCGTTTTTCAACGGGTGCTGTACCCGATTTTAACACAGCCTACTGTCTTATTCCAGGGCGGTTTTAGGTGAAATCCAAGGGATCCACGCGCCCCACATCTCCAACAGAATCCCTGCATGCCGTGAAGTCTCGCTCATTGCCTTCCTGGACATGTCATGTCCTACGAAAGGTCTGTGCACGTAGCAGGTCTGTCTCATTCCAGCCCCTTTTCCCGCGGATTTACTCAACCTCATTACCCCAGATTCCCTTTCTACCCCCATATTTTCCACTAAATGTGATCCACCGATGAATCCACAAACCCGACAGCAGTAGGACAGCCTACAGTAGAACGATGAGTAACCAGTTACGAACCGACTCCGCGACGACGCCGGACCGCGAGAATAATCCCGATCCGGTCTTGACATACCTACAGCTTTACGCCGACCTAACATACAATGTCCTCATCTGCTGTAGACCCGAATGCCGACACGCTATTTCACCAGACGGAGCCCAGGTTACTGCACACTTATGGAACAAGCATAGTGTCCCTTTAGCGGATCGCTTAGGACTTCCAGAACATATACGCGATCACTACTCTTCGGTATTCCAAAATCCCTCAGACGCAGCTCTGCCGCCCTGTGGTTCCAAACCCCATCCGGAAGTCCAGACCTACGATGGCTTCAGCTGCCGCAAGTGCGTCTTCTTCACCATGAGCTTCCACGAGCTTACAAGGCACCTCTCTCATAACCACCTCGACGGGCAAACGGCGACCCGACCACGGATCGGCCTACTCTACGACGATGTCTACCTGCAGTCCTGGGGGGCCGGGCCGAATCGACGATATTGGAGTGTTACAGATAGGAAGGGAGGTACGGTTCGTCCAGTGCCTGGCCGCCTAGCGGAACAGAACCCTCTCGAGACACCCAAACGACCTACTTTCTCGGACTACGATTCGGCACGGAAAGATCCAAACGACAGACGGACTGCTATCTCACAGAGCAAGCCATGGCTAGATCGGACGGGCTGGCCGGAGATCTTCGAGAACGCAAACTATACAGTACTTATCGCCCTCACAGCTCTGCCCTCCAACCCACCCACTCGACTCCTGTACCTTGGAAAAGCACTCAACCCTACAAACGCGCCCTATATTAGTATTCGAGCAGACGAGATTAAGATCTCTGGGCTCATTGCTATGTTCGACTGGATACTCTCTCGCTGCGAGCAGACAGCACGCGAAACATCTCGTACGGTCCTTTGCTGGTTCCGAAGCCTCCAGCCGGATAAGATCTATCCAAAGCCGTTTACTCTAGTCTCAGCGAAGGCGAGCCGACAGAAGTATCTCCGGACTTTCCAGCGTTTTGTCGCCTTTATCTTCCGCATCTACCGCCTGCCAACCTTCCAACGTCGGGAGCTTCTCCCTATTCGATTTGATTCGGATCAGCAGCAGCTACTTCGAGATATCTGGTCCCACGAGGCCTGGAGCGAGGAACAGCTCCTACGGTGGATCCTAGCGGGAAAGCCCGTCTCTCAGCTACAACCGAAGGCCAAGGAAGAACGGCCTGTTCCAACTTCTAGTAATAGAGGACGGAAACAGTCCGTCGCGAAGCTCTCCTCAGCTAAACCTCAGTCGAGGAAACGCTCGTTTACCGCCTTTCAAGAGGACAGTAATTCGTACTCTTTATGGAATAAGGAGAATGAGGACGGCGAGGATGACGAGGATGACGAGGACGAGGACGACGAGGACGACGACGACGAGGATGATGATGATTATAAGAGTAGCTTTCTCGACGAACACTTTAGCGACTCAGGCTTGAGCGACAGCCAGAGCGAAACAGAGGAAAAGGTCCAATACGCAAATATAAAGAATCAGGCGATCGTCCCTAGCCCAGCGCTGAGCCAGCTTCTCGAACTACTATTCAAGCTTTGTATTACCTTCTATACCGAAGACTTCGCCGACGGCCATCCCAGCTCAACCTATCTCGTCTACTTCAGTGGGATCCTTGGTATTAATCCAGACGGTAGAGGCTTTCGAACAGCAAGGCTTTACACACCATCTCTTTCAGCCTTGATCTATCTCTTCCTAGAATATGCACTACCTGACCATCATTGCCGGCCGGGAAGCGCTCACTTTCGCGCACTCTTGCCCGCCGGCCAATCACTGTCTGGGGCCCCTGGTGCCCTGGTGCCCGCAGGGGAAAATGATCCGGCTCGTGCGCCACGACCGGCCCACGTCATGGTGACCGACACGTCTCGGAATGTTAGTCAGCGCGGCGGGGCCGCATCCTGCGCTTGGCATGGTGCGGCGGCAAGTCCCCGATAGGCTGGCCTGGCTAGTCTGGCTGTGCCATGTGCTGGCCATGTGCGCCCACACCCACGTATGCACGCATGCACGCCCTGTTCTGCTGTCTGCGCTGCCCCTCGCGCGCCGCCTCGTCCCGCCCGCGATCGAGGGGCAGCCATCCTTGGATGTCGACGACAGCACCGAGCGACTTGCGTGCACCAGACAGCCTCCTCTCGACACCACCCCTGTGCGCACGACAGTCCTGACCGGCGACTCCCATTCTCGCGTGGCCAGTCCAGCGCATGTGGCTCTCCCAGTCGTGCCCCGGCGCATCCGTCCCATGTGAGTGGCAAGGCGGAAACACGTCCGCTCCCCAGCCGCCCGCGGCCCAGGGCCCAGGCCCGTCCACGCCGCGCAGGCCCTTGCACAAATGTCCCTCCGCCCGGCAGGCTCGACCAGCCGGAGCATGATTCTTCCACTCCCGTCTTGCCAATCGTTGTGATAGATACGCTGCAGGAACTCTGCGATCGTTGCCCCTCCCTCGTCTCGTCTCGTCTCGTCTCGTCTCGTCCCGTCTCTTCCCCCCCGCCGCGGCCAACGATCGCCCGGCCGCGCCTTCCTCGTCAGCAATGGACTCCAGCTCACCATGAACGCTGCCAGCACTGCTCGGGTGCCCCCTCCTCTTTGACTGCGCGGCCTCACCGCCTTCACTCATAACGGCACGGCACGGCACGGCACGACACGACACGACACGACACGACACGACACGACACGACACGACACGACACGACACGACACAACACGACACGACACGACACGATCCGACCCGACACAACAGTCATGGCGGCTGCGCCCCCCCGCGACCGCGACGCCGCCCGCTCGCGCGAGGTGCGGCTGTGCCTCGAGAGCTGGCAGACGGCCCAGGGCTCGGCCATCAACGTCGCGCTCACCGTCGACAACATCGGGCTCGCCAACCTCCAGCGCACCGGCTACACGCCCCAGCCGCCCCCCGACCGCGCCCTCGCGGCCTTTGCCCAGCTCGCCGTCCTGCGCCTCGGCGTCGAGCGCGCCATGGTCTCCCTCATCGACAGCTCGACCCAGACCATCCTCGCCGAGGCCAACCGCGAGGACAGCCACTCGGCTCCCGACGGCGCCGTCCGCCCGCCCACCGTTCTCTGGCTCGGCACCACGACCCTCGCCCGCCACGACGCCGTCTGCGAGCACTGCCTCGCCAGCACCTACACGACGACCTCGACGGCGCCCGACGGCCGCCAGCAGCACCACACGACGCAGGCATTTGTCGTCCCCGACTGCAGCGTCGACCCCCGCTTCCAGGACCGCCCCTACGTCCGCGACAGCCCCTACATCCGCTTCTACGCCGGAGTGCCCATCATTTCGCGTGCCGGCCACAAGATTGGCGCCTATGCCGTGTCCGACGGCCACGTCCGCGACGGCCTCAGCCTCGAGGACGTCCAGTTCATGCAGGGCATGGCCCGCACCATCATGGAGCACCTCGAGTGGGCGCGCGACCGCGTCGACCGCTTCAAGGGCGAGCGCATCGTCCGCGGGCTCGCAGCCTTCATCGAGAGCTCGGCCGGCCCGGGCGGCTCGCCACCCTCGCGCGCCACCTCGACCGCCTCCATTGACCACCGGCCCCGGACGCCCCAGGTCGCCCTCAACTCCCCGAGACACCCGCTCTCGCGCCAAACCTCGTACTTTGGCAACCCTGCTCCCGCCACCGCACCGCTGCTGGAGAAGAAACACGACACACACGACATCCTCGACGCTCAGGCCGGTGCGCTGCTGCCCTACTCGCCAGGGGCTCCGGAGCGGCGGCAGTCCAAGGGCAAGTCTTCGAGCAGCAACAAGCGGTCCAAGTCCGACTCCATGTCGACCATGCTCCAGCAGGCCGCCGACATCCTGTGCCAGTCGACGCTCGCCGACGGTGCTGTGCTCCTCGGCGCGTCCGCCAGCAGCTCCCGCCAGACGAGCTGGGCCGCCGCACGTCCGGTCAACGGCGCTCTGTCGTCCGAAGACGACGAGCCAGTCGTATCGTCCCCAGATGCGTCAGACCTGCCTAGCGATGTCATGGACAGCATGGCCAGCCCGTCGACGTTCCGTGGGGACAAGCTGTCGCGTGTCCTCGCGTATTCCATCATAGACTAGCAGACCCGCGCAATGTTTGAGCAGGGCAAGGGGGCTCTCACACTAGGCACGCTTGAGAAGTACTACTCCCTCTTCCCAAAGGGCAGAACCTTCTCCTTCCAGGCATGGGTGCCAGCATCACCTCAGAAGACGACAGCGCTAGCGAGAGGGACACGCCGCGCGAGAGCGGCCCGTCTCATACGAGCTCCACGACGCAGCAAAGGGCGACCAAGAACGACAGCAACGACAATCACCATAATCACCACCACCACCACCATCACCATCGCAAGAAGCCCAAGACGGATCACACCGAGCTTCTCCAGCGTATCCCTGGCGACAAGACGGTCGTGTTTGTGCCCCTCTTCGACCACACGGACAATAGCTTCTCTGGCGGCTGCTTCCTCTGGACGGCCGTCGCAGGCCGACTCATGAATCTTGACGACGACCTGTCGTACCTGCGAGCATTTGCCAACAGCATCATGAGCCAGGTCGCCCGTATCAGTGCTCAGAAGAATGAAGCAGCCAAGACGACCTTTATCGCCAGCATAAGCCACGAGCTGCGCAGTCCCTTGCACGGCATCCTGGGGGCCGCAGAGTTTCTGGCCGACACCTCGGCAGACTCGTTCCAGGCTGGTCTTGTCTCGTCTATATCGACGTGTGGCAAGACTCTGCTCGACACGCTCAACCACGTCCTCGACTACAGCAAGATCAACCGTCTCGGTCGCACACGACGGCGCAAACCTGCAGACAAGGAGCAGGTCATCAGCGGCATATCTTCTGACTCACTCGACAGCCTCAGCCTGACCGCTGTCGTTGACCTGTCGGCCCTTGTGGAGGAGGTCATTGATGCAATCGTCATAGGCCACACCTTCAAGCAGGTGCCTAACGCGTCGATGCCCGATGACGGAGCAAAATCACTGGGTGTGGGCAAGCTCGCCCCGACCCCACATGTTTCGCTGGCCAGAGAAGAGCCCGTCTCGGTGCTGGTATGAGCACTTGCAGGCGAGAATAATGCGTCCTTGTTCGGGGGGGTTAATACTGTCGCCGCAAGCTTCACAGACATCAACCGCACCAGGTACGGGCTCTGCTCTCTGACGCGATACTAGCCACTATGCCCATTTCGGAGGTCAGTCTGTCGTGAACTTAAGTAAGACTTCATGCAAGCTCACCCTGTCAAATAAGCTCTGACCTGACTCAAACCATTTACGGGTGGTGGTCTCCTCGTTTGGAGAATACTGACGCTCCGGCATTGTCATTAGCGAATCAGATGTGTTGATAAGGACAGAGCTTGGTGTGATCTCGAAGGATTGACGTTGATGCATGCGTGTGGAAGCACAGCTTAACACTTTATAAAGGCTGTAGCGCTCTGCTTAGACAATCGCTATTGGTAATCCGAATGCTGGAAACCCTAAACCGTCTCTGAATTATGGCTTTGAGTTGCCTGTAAACCAGAGCCCGTCCCATGAAACAGCGGGCCCACCACCTTCTAGAACGGGACTGAAAGGGCGTCCAAAAATAACATATCGGGGACTGGGACACGCCCAGCACGATCAGCAACCGTACAAACATGGTCAAGTGATTACATAAGTACCTACAGGTAGGTAGGCATAACGACACGGCATTACAAGTCTTAATTTCTTGGCGCATCGCCTGGTCGTGATTGAAACGACAGGATGCTGCTTCTGGTGAACTTGCCTGTAGCTAATTAATTGATGACAACTCGCCAAGCCCTGAAGCCCGCATCTCGGTGCAGCTGCATACTGCAAGCGATCAATGAGCGCCATGCGCTGACAAGGAAATTGATGACAGCAGGTTGAATCTTCTAGAATCTAGTGTCTATATGGTTACTCTAGAACACGAACTCGCCGCTTGTCGCTGCGGAGTCCGCATCATCTGGGCCGCAAGTTGACGCTCAAATGATTGTTGCCACTGTCTCGTCTCAAACTGGCTTCCTAAGAGGTTCCTCCTGTAGATCTCCTGCAGAATGGCTGAGGTTTTCGGCTATAAGCAAACCGCAAGAATCGGTACGACGCCATAATCCAGGTGATAGAAGTACCACTGGACTAGACACATTTCGTCTTCTCCAGAGCACATGAAAGCCAAGCTATGTAGTGCTGCACAATGAATAAGGCCATATTGCAAAGGAGAAAATCCCTACTCTCAGGTGATGCCGAGACACAGATGCCATCAAGCTCGATTATTTTAAACTAAGCGTACGGAGCATAAGCCACCACTAATTGACTGGGGTAATGCGCCAGAATCAACGACCTCCAACCACTCGGAGCTGACTCTCGTCCCTGACGGCGTCAGCTACATGCCCATCAAGGCAGTCATGGCCCGGGTCGTGAACATCATCGGGGTCGAGCAAAGGATCGCCGGAACTCTGAGGTGGTGACCGGCAACGTACATTGCTGTTGCGGGCGACACACCAGCTCCAGTGGTATCCGACCCGGCAAAGAAGTCTGTCAGCGACCTCACCGGCGACAAAAGTTGAGCTTGAGCCAAAAAAGGGCTGAATGCCCAATTCGGATTGCCTCATGCAGCTACACATAAAGCTAACGCACAGGATCGGACAACATTGCGCGCCCGCCAGTTCAGCCGTAGACCAGTGGCGTCTACCGGGGCCAGAAACGACATTCTAGACCTCCTGCAGCAGAAAAAAGCAAAACAAATCGCGAGAGCGGTGATGGGTGCAGCAGCCGACAGACCCGACAATCGCGGAGCCTCGAATCAACGAACCCAGAAACGTATTAACATAGACACAGGAACGCCGTGGCCGACAACCACTCAAGGTTCTTTACCCTAGCCTAACAGACGCCTCCACCGACGACGCCCCCTCCTCCTCAGAGCCTGAGTCATTCGGTACAACTCAGAGGCCGAGCTGATGTCCGGATATTTTTAGTTGCTTCTGTATTAGGCATTATTTCACTATCTCACCCATGCAGGCTGCAAACAGTTCCTCTACGAAAGTGACCTCTTCATCCTCCTTCTTGACTTCGACATTCGACGACCCGAAACGAAGAACACCAGTCACGTCATTCATCTCGATAGCAGACTCCTGCTCCCCGGGTCCCCCACCACTCCCGAGACTTTCACGATTCGTCCTGTCGCCTTTACCCGCCACCCCCTGGTTACCCTTCCACCGTACCAACACCGTTGGAATCCGTCGGTGATCGCTGGGCGTATATGCCGCCGGAAGACTCCTCGGCTCAACTCTGCTGACTTCCTGAACGTCAACAGTAATCTCCTGCGAGACCATGATCCCACCGAGCCGTAGTTGCTGGTGGTGCTGAGGATACCCCATTGGAAGCGCTTGCCCATCATCTGACAGTTTCTCTCCGCCCAGCAGCATTGGCGACATTGGGTCGTGCTCCTGGCTGCTCTTGATGCTCAGTTTGTCGAAGATCGTCGTCGAAAGGCGCTCTTGACTGGTCGAGATGATGTTGCCCGCCGCATCGACGGCGCCGAAGCGGTACTTCCCTTGTTGACGTCTGAGTCTGGAGAAAGGCGACATCATTCGGCGCGCGGGGGGTGACGTCCCCGAGCGAACGAGTGGCGGAGGGCCGACTGACACTGAGTTCAGCACAGATGACATCTCGCGGTGCACGTCCCGCGCGAAAGCAGCGTGGTATGGTGAGTTCTTGTATACGAGCTGGTGCGTCTTGAAAAACTGGAGGGGGATGAACTTGAACTTGTGCACAGTGGGTCCGGCGTGGATTGGCAGCACCATGCTGAATGTGAGGAGGGAGCAGTTCATCGGCCGAGCGACATCAGTGGCTGGACGACAGGGTACGCGAACGATTGTCGACGACAGAGTTGCCGTGTCGAAAACCGGATCGCTGATTGAGCTTCGGAACACTTTCATGGCGTTCAGGAGGATGCGTACTAGCTGTGCCTCCTGTGGCGAACAGTCCCCTTTCATTCGGTCTAGTTTCTCCACAGCAGCAGCAAAGTTCAGACCCTCCAGGCGGCGCAGGAAAACCACCTGCCACTCCTCGAGCCGCTCCAAGGATAGCTTCGTGGTCGGGAGGAGGTTGCGCGCTTCCTTTCTGACTAGAACGTCGAATCCGCGGTTGTCTAGTCGGGCTCGGACAGCAAAGAGACCGAGGTGAATTCCAGGGTCCAGCATCGTGTCCTGTAAGCTGTTGGACATTACCCGTAGGTTGTCTTCGAGATTAGCAGTCTTGATCTGCATCCGGGTGCCGATGATATGCGACACCTGACGCACCTCTGCAAAGAGGTATCCCATTGCTCCCAGCTTGTCAACAAGACGCTGGCTTTCCACCCGGCGTACCAGAATCATTAGGGAACCCGGAGCATACTCCCGGGAGCGAGGACCCTGTCGCTTCTGAGCCAAATCGTCGCCGTCCCGGGAAGCGGGACAGGGTGTTCCTATATAGTATCAGCGATTCTTGTCCATGAACAGGACTCTTCAGCACGCCGTACCTGTGGCGAAGATTTCATCCCACAATATGCCCACATCTGTCAGACTCTCTCGCATCTTCTCAGCCAGTGTAGCAGCAGCCAGGCAGAATAGCTCGCGGAATATAATATCGTAGTTGTCTGCTAGTTTGCCATCCTCATGAATCAACTTTATCCCAATTCTGTTATTGCCTGGTTTGTGCGGAAGGCCGGCCAAATGACTGTTCATACGCCCAATTAGGGGCAAGAGACTTGACCACTCTCGAGATGCCCGGAACATCCAGTGAAAGAGCGGATGTGCCGTGCTGAAGACAGCATCATGAGACTAAGCCACTGTTAGTCGATCTGCAACTATATTGGTAGTAAGGCAACTCCACCACCTTCTGGAGAAAAGAGTCCGTGATCTCTTCACTGGGGAGCACGCCATCGGGCGTGACTAGAATCCTCCCCCGTTTGTCGAACACTGCAGAAGCGAGAACTATTCGCTGGGCCTTACTTGCATAGCCCTTGCGTATCCGTGCCGAGTAAATCGCTATGCCTGCCATGATGAAGCAGGCGCCAATTGACTGCAGAGGAAGACTGTTAGCACTTTCAAGTTGGCGGAATGGGCTGAGACTCACGAGACATATAACCGGGATGACGGTTGTATCCCGAGAAGAGCCACTCTCCTTCAAGTTTAAGCGCAGCAACTCGTAGCTCGTGCCCATCGCGGCACACCAATGCATGCCCGACACTGCACCAGCCAGTACGATTGCACATCCCACTCTCCTCCACAGCGAGTTCGTCCATGCCACTCTGAACACAAAGAATAGCGCTAGGGCGACAGTACTCGCAGCGGCGGCGATCACGGCGGCGCCCGCGACGTTGGCGACGGCGTAAATGCATCGGTAGTTGTTGATGGATGCATTGCCGAGGTAGTGCATCCCGCAGATGGCGCACCCGGATAGGCATCCCGACAAGGCGATGCGCCACCAGTATACCTTGTTCGTCGTCGACACGGCGAGGAATGCGACGAGGAGGACGACGATGGGCACGAAGAAGGAGAGGGCCGTGATAGGGACCGAGTAGGCTATTTGCAGCTCTGGCTCTCCATTGAGGAGAGTGACTGCTCTGTTACCTACGAAATGCTGAGGACACGTCAGTACTTATGAACGAGCTTCAGGACGGAAGACAGCCCAGCGCACCATGGACCAGATCGCAATCCCTCCCATCGAGATGGCTGCGCCACATAGAAGCATGCTGGCCTGGGATTAGCGGAAGTATCCCATAGCAGCTTTGCGCACGGAGAGACTGACTGGTTGTAAAGCCCTCTTCGAGACGTCCGCCGGTTGATCAACTCAAGTGTTGATCCGGCTCCGATGAGACTGACGATATAGCTGAGCGCGAGAAGGCCAGCATTTACTGAGAAGGGGACGACTTGCCCTAGGTAAGGGGTAAGCTCTTCGGATGATGTTGACATCGCGAGCGGCGTTTAGCGGAGATTCGCCCAAGCTTTGTGATGAACTGAGACAAACTGGAGGGGTGGCTCTAGCGCCGATGGAGTCTTCGGTCGCTCGACAAGCTTCGAACTGAAGGATTGCTGTATTTGCCGCGATATCCGCCGGTTAGAAGCGCTCTGCCATCGTAGCCCGCGTCTTCTGAGCTTCGGTGCGAGTGTGGAAATCGCATGAAGTGGGTTGGAAATTGAGAGCTGGCGGATGTCATGCACTTTGGATTGTCCGTTCAAGATTCATGGGCACGAGAAATCTTGACATCTTTCTCAGCCGTTCCCTCCCGCATTGCCAAGGGTCCCTCGACGACTTGAGATGGCAGATGCAGGACGGGCAAGCAGGCTACTGTGTTATCAGCGGGACTGGAACGAGAGATTAGCCGCCGGCGCCGTGTGGCTTCGGCCCTTTGCCCGATCTTAGGCGACGACTGGGGATGAATGCGCTGGCAGATTCGAGGCGGTATTGACCCGCGTGCGTAAACTTCATGCAAGGGACCACACAGAACCAGTTGCATTGAACCCCGCCGATCATCGCCGTTCCTGGACCCCCTGCAGCGATGGCACCCAGATAAATCTATGCATCCCTGGGTTTCAGCTGAGTTTCTTCTTGCCATTGTGGCGCACACTGGTGACCACCCTTTCCACCAAGCTCATCCAGGCGCCGAACTGCGGCCAGGTCGGCCTCGGTCATCACCAGACGCGACAGCTTGCAACCAATCGTTTAGCGCCGCCAGATACGACTTGCTTGATCTATTCTGACCCAAGTTCACCAAATACAAAATCGACTGATGAATGAAAGGCAGGAAGCCTTGTGCAAAGAAAAGAGATGAGCATCAGGCTCTCGAGGAAGTGGGGTTGGGAGCACTCATTCAGCTCATGCAAGAGCAGGGGCAAAGCCGGATCTGCCAACAGGCATGCCCCCCAATCTGCCTTGGCGCAGCGTCCTTTTCAGCCTTTTCAGGGATCGTTTCGCACCTATTATCGAGCGGATAGTTGGCTAGGTAGCGGAGCACCTCGTTCGGCACTTGCGCTGTCCGCTCGAGAGCCTTCGCGATAAGCCGTTCGAAGCTCGCCCCGAGCCGGAGGAGGCGGCCCTGTTCAATAATTTCTGCATCGCCCCGGAGTTTGGCGCGCGCTGCAGCAGATAGGGCGCTCAAGCTCGTCCGGAAGTGCACGCCCATGTCGCTCCCGGCGAGGTGTCTCGCCCAGCCCATCTCGCGAACCCAGGTCGACTCGAAGTCAGGCCCTTGCCGGCTGTCAACTATCCGCCGCGTCTCCTCTAGCTCGGCCGCCAGGCTTTCTTCGTATCTCGTAAGACGGTCTGCTAGCAGACGTTGAGGGGAGCCGGAGGCGGTGGACCTAAGGCTAGTCGTCCCGTCAGGTCCTATGCTACCCTGTACTTGCTCGACTACCCAGTACCGAGCGCGGCTTCCTCGCGATAAGATCTGAAGTCGTACCTCCTTCCAGGTACTGTCGTGTCCTGACTGCGAGCGGTGGACCCTGATCAGCTTCCGGCTCGTCGTAAGGAAGCGGCAGTCCGAGCAGCTGAGGCCGTCGACGATTGGTAGCTGCTCCACGTAAGGCGAACCGTCGGCGGGTACCGGGACGGCCTGTGGGTTGGCGATCGGCTCGGCCGTGTAGCTGTAATCGAGGATCTGTCGCATCACCTCGCCCTTTAGGCGGTGGATCCGCCAGAAGTGCAGCTGTACGCCGTCGCCTGGCCGAATCCTGACCCTACACGACATGCAGATCAGGACCCGGTGCTCCGGACCACCGCTACTCCCGCCGCCGCCGCCGGTGCTCGCAGACCAGCTTAGCAGACCGACCTGGCCCCCAGTAACGCCGCCGTCAGACTCGTAGCGCACTGCCATAGCCGATAAGCTGGTGCTTATAGTCGTCATTGCCACGGCCGAATGTATTGTAGCTCAACCAGTTTAGCGTATTTTGCAAACCAGGAAATACGTAAGTCGAGGCACCCGGATTCCGACACCCCCTGGATTCCGACACCTCACCACCACCAAAACCCACCCAAACTACCCACATTGACCACCTCTTTTTGACGCGACAGAACGCGTAGAACACGTCTGTTTCATTGATTTATTGGTGTTTGAACGCGTCAGAGCCAGCACAATGCCCAAATACACCGAAAACGACATCCAGAACGCAATAGCCGACGTGCATGCGGGGCTGAGCCAGGCGCACGCACAGACTTGGATTGGACTGAGAAGCCCCTGAAGCACCAGCCGTCTGCGGTACAGGGAACGCCGGAGAGGCGAGGACCCGGGATTCTCAGAGGCAGCCGGACGACGCTGTCCCTGCGCCCTCAGCCTGCATTCTGTCCTCGCGTAACTCTTGAGGCGGCCTCCCTTCCGTCGTGGTTGGTAACTGGGAGTGGCAGTAGAAAAGCGTGCCATGACCAACTCCTGGAGCCATTGACGCTTGCGAACCTGGACCTTCACGGGGCCGTACTCCCACATTCACAAAGCTCCCTGAGCAGCAGTTTTCCATCAACATTATCCGAATTCTCGCAGTGTCTGGGCGATTCTATGCGGCGATATTGCTGCTGGACGTTGAGGATCTCCAGCCGGACTTTTTCCGCCGAGCCGGATCCATTGGATAGCAGCGCGCCTGCCTGCGTCGCGTCTCCGTCCACCCACGCAACCACGAACGCCCATTATCTTCTCGACCACAACCCACTCCCTCGTTGACATCAGATACCAAACTCCCGCATGTGCAGTCATCACTCTTCGCGTTCTCGTTGCTCTTCTCGACGTCCCTGGTGAATAGCGCATGTTGATTGGTTGGTCGGGGGCCCACTTCTGTACCATGAAGCTGCTGACTAACGGTGCAGGGGCTGAGAATCGGGTGCGTCGGTGGCTGGGCGGCAAATTCCCCACCGCCCAAAATGTCGTGTCGCGCGACCTCCCTCGGCCTTCCCCGTCCTTCTCACCATCGCATTCCGTCGACCATGGCAGACCAAGCGCGGTCACAGATCATCAAGGAGAACCCCATTGGCAAAGGCCTTGATGCCTTCCGCGCTTCATTCGGTCCGATCTGCGAAGACGCGAGCGTCCCCTGCACTCCGGACTCGCTAGATCGGCTCGGCCAAGAAGGTAAGAACGACACCACAGCTTCGGCCCAGTGTGCCCCTCTAATCATCGTGCAGATCTCCAGAATCTTGTTCTCGACCTGCTCTTCGCTTTACGAAACCTCTCCGCGGTTCGCTTCCTACGATCAAAGGCCGGCCATGGGACCCTTCGTAACGATCTCCTCAAACTTAACTCGGCTGTCAGCTCCGACGGCTTCGATCTCGTCCGCGTCAAACCTCTCCTAAAAGCAGCCATCGCCGATGACCTGGACGACGCAGTTATCTGGAATGAAGTCTACCACGCCGTCACCGAATCCACTCCGCCGCCCCGACCGACAGCATCATCCCTCCACCAAACCCCTTGGCTGCACAACACGAGCAGCTTCGCGAACTCCTCCGAAGGCCGCAAAGATGTGGACAGAGTCCTTAAGTTGGAGCTTGGTCCTCTCTACGTCGGGCTTCCTCGCTTCTGCGAGACATATTTCGGACGTGTGGCCGGTCTTGAGACAGCGGCCGAGGCCGTCTTCAAGGAATGCAAGGGAGGCAGCAATCCGCTCTTCCATGAAGGCTGGAGCGGATGGCCAAAAGACGCAAACCAGGACGACGTCTTGAGCTGGTTTGCGGGCTTGTGCGAGAAGCTGGCGGCCTTTGCAGAACACCACGGGTCAAACCCGGCATGTCGACGGAGACCATTGGCACAACCCAACAAGCCAATCCGCGGTTCCACAGGGGAACGCAAATTGGACGTCGGCTTCGTGAACGACACCAAGGCCGACAAGGATTCTCAATGCCACTGGTCGCGGGTCCTCGTCCCCGGCGAGCTGAAAAGCAATCCATTGGCCGACACAGCGTCCAAGGCATGGCTTGATCTTGGGAGGTACGCGAGAGAGGTTCTCGCTGCTCAAGACACCCGTCGGTTCGTTTTAGGCTTCACTATTTGCGGATCTCTCATGAGGATATGGGAGTTTGACCGGCTGGGGGGGTCGCATCCGAACAGTTCGACATCAACAAAGATGGACTGCAGTTTGTGTCCACGGTCCTCGGCTTTCTCTGGATGAACGAGGAGGAGCTTGGGTTCGATCCGACAATCATGACGGCAAACAACGAACGATTTATCGAGATCGAGCGGGACGGCTCAACAGAACGCCTCATCATTGATCGGGTGATGAAACGCGCACCTTGCATAGCTGGCCGGGCGACGACTTGCTGGAAAGCCCACCGCGAAGGACAACCCCAGTCACTACTTGTTATCAAGGATTCGTGGCAATATACGGAACGCGATGAGGAAGGCGAACTGTTACGCGAGGCGACTGGCAAAGGCGTCGTCAACATGGCCCGATACTATCACCACGAGACTGTTCGGGTTCACGGTAAGGATGACGACATTCGAAGCAACGTGCGGGGAGGGTTAGATGTTACCAGAGCTACGAACTACCGGTCGGAACGCTCGATGCCTCCACCGAGTACCACCATGTCTGGCGCTTCGCGGAAGGGCCGCAGCAACAGCATCGCTGGCAAGAAGCGGTCTTCGAGTCAAACTGGCGCCGCGCTGCCCCCCAGCAAGCGATCCTGTTCGGCATCTCCAACGAAGGCTAGCAGCAACGCCATGTCAAACCGGGTGCATCGACGTGTCATTCTTCAAGACTACGGAGAACCCATCTACAACGCGAGCTCCCGATCGGCTCTCCTTGCCGCACTAGAGGGTTGCATTGAAGGGCACGAATCCCTGCGCAAAGCCGGCTTCCTTCACAGAGACATCTCCATCAATAATCTCATGATCAACGAGGACGACGACAACATCTCATGGCGTTCGTTCTTGATCGACCTAGACCTCGCCGTCAGAGAACAACGTCAAAGCGCCTCCGGAGCGAAGGGCAAGACCGGCACGAGAGCATTCATGGCAATCGGGGCCCTTTTAGGCGAGCAGCATTCCTTCATGCACGATCTTGAGTCATTCTTTTGGGTCCTCTTCTGGATATGCATCCACTATGACCCAGATGCGAACAATTCCCGGAGCAGAAGCAAGGATTTGGCGGCCGACCCCGACGAGAACGCCATTTCGTCTCCGCTTAGCAGGGTTGTTCCTGAGTTTGACCAGTGGAATTACATCAGCATGCAATTGTTGGCGAAGGAGAAGAAGGGACAAGTATCTCATGAAGGGGACTTCATCAGATCCGCAGAAGAGAACTTCACTCCATACTACCAACCGTTGATACCTTGGGTCAACAAGTTGCGGAAAGTGGTATTCCCGAGTGGTGGGAGGTGGGAAAGAGAGGACATAGGATTGTATGTGAGGATGAAGGAGATCCTTGGAGAAGCCCAGAAGGACCCCAAAGTGTTGGCGGGAGACGGCCTCGCGGATTAGAGAAAAGCTTTGGACCTCGGCCTCCGGATCCCTTTCTCCCGCATCTTACCCCAGGGCCATCATCGACTGGGAGTTTGGCGGCTTCTGGCCCGAGTGGTTCGAGCGGCCTTTTGGGGGAGGTCAGGTGGAGGCGGATGACTCGCAGGCTGCGGTCGAGGCATGGTTCGACGCCAATGGCCGCCGACACGCTGTTTTTAGGCCCCGGTATCTTCTTTCCTAGATAAGACTAGCCAGGTACTGTACTGTACTGTACAGTATTTCTAGAACTTAGGTAGTCATCTTCCGGCATCTTGCTAGCGGGCCCCATTTTTGCGTACTGCCGGCCCCGTTTCGACCACAGGCCCGAAATCTGGGGCAGAATGCGCATGGGCGCTGCTTCGATCCCGCCCACGACCGCCTCCTCCCTTACAACGACTGCCATCCTCCTCGTCACACAACTCAATACTGGAGATACCCGCACAGTACAACCCCAACAAGCCGAGGCCCTCGGCCCGGGTTCCTGGGCTGCTGCCGTCGAACCCTTGGTCGAATTCCGGGTCCTCCCGAGGGTTTCCTGGTCGATCGTCCTTCAGCTGGCCGATTCAACCTCCTCACCCTGGGTTGTCAACTCGATCTCCTGGCTCGCTGGGTCGACCCTCTTGTCTGACGGGTGATCGGAATCCTCGGGCGTCCAAGGCGTGGGGCCGAGCTTATCGGGGTCCTATGCCACACTAGAGCTGGAAGCGGTGGACAAGACACATCGAACCGGATGCTTGCTCCTCAGACTCATAGCATAGAAAGACGGAGAATCTACAATCGATCTAACCTTCGCCACTGAGGACGTGGCATCCCAGATGGGCGACGAGCATGTGTACGTCGCGGCAAAGGACGGACAGCTCTCCACCGAGTCCTCCAGCATGATCGCACAGCCCATACGCGACTTAGGGGTGGTTCCCCTTTCCTCCATCTGTCCTCGTCGTCTAGAGTTATCTGTTCTGGGCCTCGGAGTGGTTGAGATCATCGCCGTTACTCCGAGTCAGAGTCAGAGTCGGCCGTTGGGTAAAGGCCCCTCCCGAAGCCCATGTCCCCCGCGCGCAGCCGCTGAAAGTGACAGCGGCCGGGGAGACCCTCCTCCCAGATCTGCACCGTGTCGCTATACCGGTCCGCGTCGACGACAATCCGGGCGGTCCTTGGGAGTACGCCAGAGAGGTAGTCGACGATATCTTTCATCTCCACGTGCTTCGTCTCCTCGGCCGCCCAAAACCTGCCTCTGCTATAGTGTGGCGGCAGGGCGACGACGCCGAGGACCGAAATGTTTTTCAAGGCGTCATCCCATATGTCGTACCGTGGCGAAATATTCGGAAAGTTGAGGTAGCAAAATGGAGCGCCAGTGAAGAGTATGAGCTTCCGCATTTTGGCTCTCGTCTCCGGATAGAACTTGGCGATGCCGTCCCCGGAATGGGCCGCCATAGCGCCATTCAAGAAGAACTGGAAGGTGTTTCCGGCGTACATAGCAATCTGCGCCTCTGCAGAGACCTGGCGGGAGACGAGAAGAAGGCCAGGAATGGCGCGCCGACGAGGATTGGTGAATCTTGGAGGGCATGCGGCGTCGGAAGCCCGGCAGCAGTTGTCAAGGCCGTGTACGACTTCTTTGTTGCTATCGTCGTAGTGCACAAAGTTCTCGAAGCGAGCGAACTCTCGTTCGACCGACTCACTCCCAATCAGGAGATTCTGAGGCACGCAGAGCCTGTAAATCTGCTGGCGAATCTCGAGAGGCAAGGCCAGAAACTTGAAGCCAGCGCTTGTGGAGGGCATTGCGGAAGCTTCCATTGTCCGCAGGTAGGCGGGGGAGGCGACGTGAAGAAGGTGACGAAAGATGTGACGTCGCCCGAGCGAAGATTCAAGGCTCGTGAGGGTGGGGTGGGCACTCTGTTTGCAGAACGCACGGAAGGAGCCCGCTCGACGAGGCCGCCGCAAAGAGGAAGTCGTGCGAAGAGTTACGCGAGAAGAGATATCAACGACGCGCGAGGGAATAGAGAGGAGTGGAGTGGAGGTGGGTTGGAAAAGCCGAACGCGGGGAGCGTGTCGCCGCCACGACTTCCGCCTTCTAATTGGTCTTTTGGTCCTGCGCGGCCCACTCGTGCAGCCCAATCGAAACGCCGACGACCTGACCAGGTTCTTCGATCGAAACCCTCACGTACTTCTCGACCACCGGCTCCGACAGTTCCTCACAATGACTTCGAACCACGCCCTCGGCCTGCTACTCTCCTCGACTCGGCTGTGCTTCAGCCAATGGAACGACTGCTGCGATCCCCGCTGACACTGACGCGACCCGCGGCATCCCACGTCTTCCGAGCCAGTCTTCCGGGCGCTCCAGGAATGACTTCAACGTTTTCCGGAGATGAGCAAACAGCTTCCCATAACAGTCCTCCTTGGCGGGAGACGGCCTGTGGCGTATTTTCCACATGGGCCATCCATACAGGGGATCACCTTGTGTTAATAACCTCTATCTATTTAACAATCAAAACGGGACTTACGGGTTGGGAGTGTCAAAGCCAATACGTGGGTGCCCAAAGAGCAAGAGCAGGCCACCCTCGCGGAATCATTGCTTCGCGATACGCATGGGTGGTGTGGCATCCTTGAAATACCATCGGTCTCGGTAATCGGCCCTCTCTGGCGTAAGTGTTACAGCGGTTCGAATATTCGTAGCTTCGTCGCAGGTTAGTTGTTCCGCCATTCCTCCTTGTAAAGATAAGGCGCAGAGTTCTTCCCGGTCCAAGCCGCCAGGTCTTTCCTCGACGAGCGCTCGGTGTTTTGCTTGCGATCCTCCTGCAAACCTGACCATCATTCCCGGCCGGGAAGCCCGCCTACTGTATTATTCCACGGGGGATTTAGTCTAAATCCTCGGGTTCCACACGCCCCACATGTCCGACAGCATCCCTGCATATCGTGAAGTCTCTCTCATTCTCTTCATAGACATGTCATGTCCTACGAAACGTCTGTGCGCATTAGAGGTACGCGTCATTCCAACCCCTTTTTCGGCGGATTTAGTCTTAGTTCGTTACCCCAGATTTCCCTTCTTTTCCCAGTAACCCACGATCCACCGACAATCCACAATACCAACAGCAGCAGAACAGCCTGCAGTAATACGATGCGATGCGGAACCACGTACCGACCAACTCACCAACGACGCCGGAAGGCCACAAGGATCCCGACCCCGTTTTCACATACCTTCAGCTTTACGCCGATCCAACATACAATGTCCTGATCTGCCGCAGACCCGATTGTCGACACGCGATTTCCCCACATGGAGCCCAGGTCACCGCACACCTGTGGAATAAGCACAGTATCCCTCTAGCCGAGCGCTTAGGACTTCCAGAGCATATACGCGATCACTACTCTTCAGGCTTCCGCAATCCTACAGAGGCAGCTCTGCCGCCGTCTAGTTCCAGGCCCCATCCGCATCTCCTGACCTACGATGGCTTCAGCTGCCGCAAATGCGTCTTCTTGACAATAAGCTTCCATGAGCTTACGAGGCATATCTCGCAGAGCCACCTCGACGGGCAAACCGCGACCCGACCGCGGATTGGCCTACTCTACGACGATGTCTACCTACAGTCTTGGGGAGGCGGCCCGAATCGACGATATTGGACTGTAACCGATGCAGATGGGAAAACAGGTCGTCTAGTCCCTGGCCGCGTAGCAAAACAACCCCCCCCCCCCCCCCGAGACGCCCGAACGACCTGTTTTCTCGGGGTACGATTCGACAAGGAAAGACCCAAACGATAGACGGACTGCTATCTCTCAGAGCAAGCCATGGCTAGACCGGACGGGATGGCAGCAGATCTTCGAGGGCGCCAACTGTGCAGTGCTGAAGGCCCTCACAGCTATACCCTGCAATCCACCCACAAGACTCCTTCACCTTGGAAGAGGACTATATCCTACAACCACTCCCTACATTAGTATTCGAGCAGACGAGATAAAGATATCCGGGCTCGTTACTATGGTCGACTGGGTACTTTTTCGCTGTGAGCAGACAGCCCGCGAAACTTCTCGTGCAGTCCTCTGCTGGTTCCGAAGCCTCCACCCAGACAAGATCTATCCCAAGCCATTTACACTAGTATCGGCAAGATCGAGCCGACAGAAGTATCTCAAGACCTTCCAGCGTTTCATCGCCTTCATCTTCCGTACCTACCGCCTACCAAGCTTCCAACGACAAGACCTTCTCCCCGTCCGATTTAATTCGGAGCAGCAGCAGCTACTTGGTACTATCTGGTCCCACGAAGCTTGGAACGAGGAACAGCTCCTTCGGTGGATCCTAGCTGGAAAGCCCGCTCGTCAGCTGCGGCCGACAGCTAAGGAAGAACGGCCTACTCCAACACCGAGTAATAGGGAACAGAAACAGTCCGTCTCAAAACCCTTAGCCAAACGTCTGTCGAGAAAACGCTCGTTTAACTCCTATCGGCAAGACACCAAGTCGGACTCCCAACGAGATACCACTAAGATAAGTCGGGACGACGAAGACGACGAGAACGACGAAGACGGCGAGAACGACGAGGACGACGAGGACGATAATAAGAGCGGCCACTCCGACGAAGATGTCAGCGACTCGGAGCTCAGCGACGGACAAAGCGAGACAACAGACAAGGTCCAAGACGCAAGTACACTGCAGAATCAACTGATCGTCCTCAGCCCAGCACTGAGCCAGCTTCTCGAATTGCTATTCAAGCTGTGTATTACATTCTGTACCGAAGACTTCGCCGACGGCGATCCCAGCTCAACCCATCTCGTGTACTTCAGTGGTATTCTTAGCATCAACCCAGACGGCAGAGGCTTTCGCACAGCAAAGCTTTATACACCATTCCTTTCAGCCTTGATCTACAACCAGCGACTTCTCTTCCTAGAATATGCCCTACCTCTTCGAGCATATGAGCATATCGGGATTCCCCGGCGACCGCGACATCGGCAATTCGAGCGGCTCGATAAGTCCACCCTCCGCCTCGCGACCAGGGCGCATCACGACTAGGGGTCGCGACGCGACGCGTTCAAACACCCCACTATACAATCTGCCATATAAACCTGTTTCCTCGCGTCTCTCTGCGACATAATTACGACCATTACAAACCCCAAAAATGAGGCTATCGTCATGGTGCCAAAAGACTACTAATTGCGCGCCCGCCGCGCACTGGACGACATCGAGGCTGGCGTACCTATTGCGACAGCTGCCAAACTACACGAAGTCGACAGATCCTACCTACGTCGTCGCCTCAAGGCCGTTCCAACCTTCAAGCAAAAATACCAAGTCCGACAAGCCCTCTCCGTCACCCAGGAAGACTATATGGTCTCCTGGGCCCTCGACCAAGCCAAGCTGGGCTATGCAGCACCATTGAAGCAATTCAAGCACTTCGCGATGCGGCTGCTGTCGATCGACGACCCCGCCGCACATCTTGGGCAGCACTGGTACCGTCCTTTCATCCACCGAAACCCAACCTTGACAACCTCGAGATCACGACTTATCGAATACAAACGGTACAACGGTGCCTGCAAGGCCAACATTGATATCTTCTTCGACCGGTTGACGTCATTGCAGCGCAGAAAGGTGCAGCCCGAGAATATCTGGAACGTGGACGAGTGCGGAGTGGCAGAAGGCCTAGGTCACAATGGCTTCGTGGTCAGTGATGCTCTGCGCAAGTTCACGTTGAAAAAGGACGGCGCCAGGAGGACCTGGATCACGATAATCGAGGCCATTTCTGCCGGCGGTCGTTCCATCCCTCCATTGGTTATCTTCAAGGGCCAGTCCGTTCAACAGCAATGGTTTCCTGACGTCAAAATCGATCGATGGAAGCATTGGTGTTTTGAGACTTCACCAAACGGGTGGACCAGCAATGATATTGCGCTGAAATGGCTCAAGGAGTTGTTCATCCCCAACACGGTTCCTGCTATTCCTGGTCAGTGGCGATGCCTTCTCCTAGACGGCCATAAGTCGCACGCAACAGAGGAATTCATGGCGGAATGCTTCATCAACAAGATCTGGCTGATTTACCTCCCGGCTCATACCTCACATGTTCTTCAGCCACTTGACGTAGGCGTGTTCTCGGCGGTGAAGTCGGCCTACCGTACAGCGGTTACAGAGGTTGCTTACGACACCATGAACGAGACCCCAGGCAAGCGGGAGTTTCTTGAGGCATATGAAACTGCGCGCAAAAGCAAGATGAACAAGGAGAACATAATGGCCGGCTTCAGAGGCACGGGGGTGTGGCCACACAATAGGTCAAAAGCGTTGAGCTCCCGGTTCGTGATGTTGACCCCTGAGGAGTCCCAGTCGACATCTCAAGATGGCCCAAATCAGGCCCAAATGACGTCTACAGAGCCGGACTTTTTGACGCCCTTATGCGCAATTGACGTCAAAACGCCAAAAACAGGTCGCGATATCTATGCATTGCATCAGGTACTGATAAAATGCGATTCTGCGCTGGCGACAGCGACGTGCAGGAAGCTGTTCCAGAAGGTGGCGAAGGCAATCGAGACTTCGAACCTCCGATACACCACTGCAGAACACCAAAAAGACCGCCTGCAAGCTGCATTGGAGGCTTCAAAGCCTAACAAACGTCGCAAAGTCGACCCGGATCCCAACAAAGACTTCGTTACCGTTATACACGTCGAACGCGCGAAGAGACAGGTGCGGCGGGAGATGGGGTCGGACATCAGCACAGATAACAACACCGACAGTAGCGACGACGAGGTGGAGCTAATTGAAAGTGATAGTGATGAGGAGAGTTGCATAGAGGTGCAGGTCAATTAATTTAAAGCCTTTTTATTGGGTGGCTGACGAGCTATTATAGAGTGACGGCGAGGTTGATGATGCCTTCATGCGCAGGTGGGGGGTGGTCGCGAGGGGGTCTGGTCGCGAGGCGGAGGGTGGACTTAATAGATTTTAATTTGGGATCAGAATTGGTCCCTTTTGCCGGGTCTACTCAAGGGCCTTGAGTAGACCTTGCAGTTGAGTATTCTCAGGCTGGGTCTACTCGAAGATTTCGGCCGGCTGTTTTTATTTATTCTTTATTTTATAGATTGGGGACAGAGTAGGTCCATTCGCTTACATGCCTATGTCTCTGACGCCAGGCGAATTATTTGGCCCCTTTTGCAACAACCTTGAACGCCCTCGAGCCCTTCGGATGAAACGCCGTGAAATAATCCACATACGTCATGTCCTCCGGTCCTACATCGAACGCAGCCAAGTTATCGAACCGGCGGAACAAGGTGCCCAGCGTGACGTAAAGCTCGCAAAGGGCGAGATTTTGGCCGATGCACGTGCGGGAACCGCGCGAGAACGGGACAAGACGCTTCTCGCGCGCGCGCACGACTACTCGGTCCGGATCCATCCATCTCGTGGGATCGAATGTGTCTGGAGATGGGAAGGTATCCTGGTTGCGGTGCATCATCCAAGAGCTCATCGAGACGGTGGTCTATTGGAGTGGAGTAAGTAAGTTGAAGGACTGCCAGGTCAGTTGGAGAGGGAGACATACACCGGCAGGAACAAAGTACCCATTGAAAGTCGCGCCACCCTCGGGAGTTGCGCGGGCAAGTCTGCTGATGACGCCGTACGATAGCCTCTGACCCTCTTTCACAACACCAGTAAGATAGGGAAGTTTTTCGAGAGTGGTATAGTCCAGGTCGGTACTCGGGTCCGGGAATGCGTCACGGAGTTCCTTCTTAAGCTTATCGTAGATATCTGGATTAGTGACGACATGATAGGCAGCCATCTCCATCGCATTCCCCGTGGTATCGGCAGCAGCGGTGCAGAAGCTGAGAGCTTCACCATACAACCTCTCGAAGCTAGGAGGCCAGGACGTCTCTTCGTTGGTACTCAACGGATCTAGGAGCTCGTGGAAGATGGTTCGGCGCTTGGGCTTGATGCCAGCCTTGAATTGCTCGTTCACTCTCATAACGTACTCCCTCGTTCTCACCACACAGTCCATCCATCCATTCATGGCAAGACTCATCTCTCTGGCGTAGTCCTCGGGAATCGACTGCATGGGCCTCAGCAAAGCTGGGAACTGCTGGAAAGTCCACCACATGACGCCCGTACCGCGGACGGCTTCCGAGAACCATGCTGCGAAATCTTCGACGTCCAAATGATTCCAGCAGTCGTCGAAGGCATACTCGGAGAGAACATCGATTGAAACAGCACGGGTACCTGCCCGTAGATCGACTGGCTTACTAGCATCGAGCGAACCATGCATACGGCGGCACAGCTTCTTCACCTTTTCCTGGACGATATCCTCCAGGCCTAAAACGGCGCGGCGCGAGAAGAAATGGTCCAATGGGGCACGGCGTTGGCGGTGCTCGTTATTGGCAATGGCAGTGAACATGACCTCGACACCGAGTGCATTGTAAAAGAGCGGATCTTTGTAGAACTTGCTGCTAAGGCTGTAGATTTTGTCGTAGTTATCCGGGTCGGCTAGGTGAATCTCATTCGGGGCGATCCGGACGACGGGACCTGCGGAGCGCCAGTTTTAAAGGTTGCGGCTACAGCAGAGTGGAATCTGAGTACCATACCATATTTGACATGCATTTCGTCAATCTTCTTATAGTAGCTGCCATCTTTAATAACATTGTGATACCAGAGGTATAGCCGTGTCACTGCAGGAAGGAACGGGCCGGGAACTGAGTGGAGTGGATGGAAGAAGCGCCGATAGCAAATAATTGCGAGGAGCATAGCCTGAGCAGCATATAATGCCCACAGCATTGAGGAAGTAAAATCAAGCGTCATGGCGATCAGTATAGGCCTGGCTAGAGCTCCGACAATGACAACAAATGTGTGCAACTGAAAAAAGGTTCAACTTGATGCAAGGAAGGGAAGGCAGACCCCGCCTTAAGGTAGCGGTAAGATTCAGGCAAGTACTTCGTAAGTGGGGGATGGGTCGATTTTTTAACCCCTCCACTTGAAGCTACTTCTATCCTCCAATCAGATTTCATATCAGGTACACCTACCGGAGTATACCATAATAGGATTAGGGCTTACAAGGGCTACTTCGGAGGTGCCTGCTGGAATGTGTGCGTCTCACCGCCTTTTTGGCGTCAGAAGGAGCAGATCAATTGATTGGCGGCAGAGCTTTCTGCCAAAACGCGGTGAGACACAAATTATGGCACGGTCCTCTTTGCAGTACCGTACTGTGCCATCCCTAATTGGAGGGGTTTCCTTCGTTCCAGCGCATTCCCAGGCGATGACGCCGTTCTGCAGCCACGTTTCCCATTCGGTGCCATGCGCCGTATGCTTCGACAAGAAAGGCTAACGTAATCCACAAGCGAATGCACCACACAAGCGAATGCACCACGGCATTCCCCATACAAAACCCAGCTTTTGTACAACGTATATCTCTTACCATTTGTCAATAGAAATCGCTAAAACTTTCCAAGGCTATTTTCAGCAATATAGAGCACCGAAGGATCAAATCAGGTCACTTGAAATCGTAAGGAATAACTGGACAGGGGAAAATCAGGTATTCTAGTTCTCCACTTTTCTATTTTACTATCAAAGAAAAATCCTACAAAATTAAGATAAATACCTTCATACATAATAGCCTTATCGTTTACGCTTAGTCTTATTTTTAAGCTTTTCTATCTCAAATTGGGTGAGTTGTAGTAAGTTAACGTTATAGTGAGATAATGTGCGATAAGATAGTGGTGCACTCGCATGTGTGGTGCATTCGCTTGTGGATTACGTTAAAGGAATGCATACATCGGATGTTCCGCGGGCCTGGTCCGTGGGGGGATAATGGGCCCGTTTGATAAGATAAAGGGTCTCGTCCTGGCTTCATTGGGGCTTTTTCGTCCTTACTGTAATTTTCAGCGCTACCGCTGCGGAGTACAGTATGGCTAGCACCGAACCCCAACAACATGAAGCTGAGGCGGCTCCAATCCCCATTGCAAGTACCCATAATACTGTCAAGTGCCGTCTAAATTCGGAAAAAATATTGATTAGTTCAAACAGGATCCAGATTTTGGAGATGACGCCGATTCCTCAGCCGGGGACGAGTAAGCTGAAAGCCTTGACGATCTTTTTGTAGATGTGGCTAATGCAGGAATCAAACAGGATCGCGGAGTCCACTGCCTCCTTGACAGATAGCATTCTTCACTACCGCCAGATCCACGGCAGGACCTTTCAGAATTCAAAGACGACGGAATACTGGTAAGTCAAGCAAGTCCAACCTGGGGCAATTGACCAATAATCCCCGCCAGGGCCCCGAACGATGCCCAACAGAATGATGGCCTAGATATCACGTAAGTTCCAAGGCTTTTCTAGGCTATTATGGACCTTAACAGCTGTGCAGGCATCACTATTTAACGCTTCTGCTGGACGACCAGCTCTTCCTCGCCCCTCTCGGTGATCTCCCTCAAGTCAGTGACCTCCGAGTCGGCCTTCCTTCTCATGCCATGCAGCTCACCCGCTTGCCGCAGAATGTCTTGGATGTTGGAACTGGTACCGGCATATGGGCTATGTAAGCTGGAAACAATTCCCCTCAGCAGTCGCACGCCATTGACTTCTTGTTCCAGGGACTTCGCCGACCAATTCCCCTCGGCGGAGGTAGTCGGCACAGACATCTCCCCAATTCAGCCCGCCTGGGTACCCCCCAACTGCAAATTCGAGATCGACGACGCGCAGATGCCGTGGACCTGGTCCGTCAACCACTTCGACTTCGTGCACATCCGGAACCTGCACGGCAGCATCAGCGACTGGCCGGCGCTCTACGCGCAATGCTTTCGGCACACCAAACCCGGCGGTTTGATCGAGGAGCTCGAGTTCGACATCGCTACGAAGTCCGACAAGGTCGGCCCGGATCACGTCTTCGTCCAGTGGAATAATCTATTCGCTGAGTGCGGCGAGAAAATGGGCAGAACCTTCAAGGTCGCGGCCCAGATGAAGCAGCAAATCATCGACGCAGGCTTCGTGGATGTTGTGGAGAAGAAGTGGAAGGTTCCGATCGGTGAGTGGACCTCGGATCCGAAGCTGAAGCTCGTTGGTCAGTATACGCTACTGTTTTTGGATCAGTCGCTCGAGGGGTTTGCACTGTACATGCTGAAAGAAATTATGGGCTGGAAGTACGATGAGATTCAGGTGCTGGTGGCGAAGATGAGACAAGCGCTGAGAGACTGGAGGCTATATCCATACTACGAGATGTATAGTGCTAGTCCTTCTATTTCCCCCTTTGTCCACAACGGAGTGTTGTCAATCACTAACTGAGGAATAATAGTACATTAGTTTACGGTCGTAAGCCTGAGGGAAGTTAAACCCTGATATAGCTCCGTTCTATATATTTATGACTCCCAAATCGCCCAGCGTTGTCATTTCCTAGCCACAGGGAACAGAGAACGGTACGACGACGGATCCTCTTAACAAAAATATAACTTAGAAAGAATTTCAGAATTCTTGATAGAAACTCTCACAGAATGCCTTATCTAGAACATTTTAGAGGATTCTGAATTTGCAAGCTTCCTACTTTCCGGGTTTAATATCTTCTTATTTTCCAGCTCTTTTATCTGAAGCCCAAATGGCCAATGACAGCCTCGTATACGAGTTCCTCAAGCCATCGTCGCTCGGAAGGTCTCTGCCATCAACCTCATAATCGCGCTCGCCTCTCGACAAGAGCTTCAGACTCGAAGCCGCTGTCGGCTCCGGCCTCCAAGGATCTGGTCAAGAAAGAATCTTCCGCTCTCACTCCCTTCTCAGCGCCTGATTTCTTTTCATGTATTTATAGCGTAGCCTCTTTTTCACTTTCGCGCATCGCATCAAGCCGACTGAACCACCACCACAATACAACATTATCTTCACCCATTTTTGTCGCTCAATTCTGTGCTCGTTCGATTCGCAATGCAGTAAGTCTAGACCCCCCATTGCGACCAGTGCGCATCGCGACCAGGGGTCGCGTCGCGACGCGGTTGAGCACCCCACCATACATTTTCCCATATAAACCTGCTCAACCGCGTCGCACCGCGACCCGACCACCTGCATTGTGACCGCCAAAAAGGAAGCTATCGTCATGGTCGCAAAAGACTACCAATTGCGCGCCCTGCGCGCACTGGATGAAGTTGAGGCTGGCGTACCTGTCGCGACGGCTGCTAGACGACACGATGTCGACAGATCCTACCTACGTCGTCGCCTTGACGCGTGCCCAACCTTCAAGCAAAGGTACCAAGTCCGACAAACCCTCTCCGTGACCCAGGAGGATTATCTGGTCTCTTGGGCCCTCGACCAAGCAGCAATGGGCTATGCAGCTCCATTGAAGCAATTCAAGCACTTCGCGATGCGCCTGCTGGCTCTCGACAACCCCTCCGCACGCCTCGGCAAGCACTGGTACCGACGCTTCATCCGCCGCAACCCGACCTTGAAGACCTCGAGATCACGACTTATTGAATACAAACGATACGACGGTGCCTCCAAGGCCAATATCGACATCTTCTTCGACCGCCTGACGTCATTGAAGGGCAAACGAGTACGGCCCGAGAACATATGGAACGTTGACGAGTGTGGCGTCGCGGAGGGCCTAGGTCACAATGGCTTCGTGGTCAGTGATGCCTTGCGCGACTTTACCTTGAAAAAGGACGGCGCCAGGAGCACCTGGATCGCGATAATTGAGGCCATTTCTGCTGGCGGTGGCTTCATCCCTCCCCTTGTTATTTTTAAGGGCCAATCCGTGCAGCAGCAGTGGTTTCCCGACGTCGAACTTGACAGGTGGAAGCATTGGTGTTTTGACACATCACCAAACGGGTGGACCAGCAATGATATTGCTCTGAAATGGCTCAAGGAGGTATTTATTCCCAACACCAAGCCTACGGATTCTAGAGAGTGGCGATGCCTTCATCTCGACGGCCACAAGTCGCACGCAACAGAGGAATTTATGCCGGAGTGCTTCATCAATAAAATCTGGCTGATTTACCTCCCGGCTCATACCTCACATGTTCTTCAGCCACTCGATGTGGGCGTGTTCTCGGCGGTGAAGGACCACTATCGTCAAGCGGTCGCGGAGGTTGCATATAACACTATGAACGAGTCCCCAGGCAAGCGGGAGTTCCTTGAAGCATACCAAATTGCGCGCAAAAGAAAGCTCAATAAGGAGAACATCTTAGGAGGCTTCAAAGGCACAGGGGTGTGGCCTCACAATCGGTTGAAGGCGCTGGGTTCCCGCTTCGTGATGCGGGACTATGAGGAGGTACGGGAGGCCCAGCAGAATCCCCAAAATCGGGCCCAAACGACGGTTTTAGAGCCAGATTTTTTGACGCCCTTGTGCGCAATTGACGTCAAAACACCAAAAACATCTCGCGATGTCTATAAAATGCATAGGGAGTTGGTAAAGTGTGGTGTACCTTTAGGGGCGGCGACCTGCAGGAAGCACTTCAACAAGGTCGGGAAGGCAATCGACACTTCGAACATCGCGCGCACCACCGCAGAACACCAAAAAGACCGTCTCCAAGCTGCATTAGATGCTTCAAAGCCTGCTAAACGCCGCAGAGTCGATCCGGATCCCAATAAACAGTTTGTTCAGGTCGTAAACGTGGAGCGCGCAAAGAGGCAATTGCAGCTCGAGATGGGGGCGGACTTCAGCACGGATGACGACACCGACAGCAGCGACGACGAGGTAGAGATCATTGAAGACGACAGTGACGAGGAGAGCTGCATTGAGGTGCGGATCAATTGATTTGAAGCCTTTTTAACGAATGCTTGTTCAGTTATTGCAGAGTGACCATGTGGTCGGTGATGCCCTCATGCGCAGGTTGGGGGGTGGTCGCCATGCGCACTGGTCGCAATGGGGGGTCTAGACTTAATCAGGCGATTTCTCATAAGCAGAGGGCAATTGCACATAACACGGTGGAGTACAGTCCAGCTGCTCAGTGATGACAAGCGTGGACCCTCACTTAACTCTGCGGGCGAAGTCCGCAGAGTCACCGTCGGAGGTCCCGCCGGAACTGGAGCTTAGAGGGCCTTTTGGTTGTGGTTCGGTTTGCTTTGCCACGATCAGAAAATCTCTTCTCCCCAGCACAGTAGTGTCGCAATCCAGCCTTCGGGGCCAGCCAAAGACTGAGCGTTGGGGTTCCTGTCCTGTAAGCTAGGTAAAGCCTTAGCTTAGCACTGACTCTCAATTGTCATTCTCTCTCGAGGATTGGTTGTCATGTAGATCTGCCCCTACAGGATTACGTAAGCCTGAAGAGTAGTGATCGCTTATATGCTCTGCAGGTCCGAAGCGATCGGCTAGAGGAAACACTGTGCTTGTTCCAGAGTCGGTTGTCTTGCTACTGTGGGTATTGTGGATTGTTGATAGATCGCATTTATTGGAAGTTCTGGGAAAAAGACAGTAACCCTGGGGTGACAAGCTAGACGTAAATCCACGGAGGAAAGGGGCTGGAACGAGACGGAGCTGCTACAGTACATGCGTTGATTGCTTTCGTTCTTCTTCGGCTATCTTCTTCGCCTCTTCTTGCGCCTTCAATTTCTGCCCCTCCAATAGTACTAGTAACACCGGTAGCATTACTTGTTCCCCTCTGATCGCACGTCGCATGCCGGCTTCGTCCTCAGCTGCCGCGCCACTTGTATCTTGACTGTGGATATCTGCAGAATTGAGCTACGGGAGGCGGCTGTCCAGCGTAGCGAGCTGCTGGTCCGTGCTCGTTATTAAATCGGTGATGTTCTCCTTGTCGGCGATCGCCGCCTTCAACTTCGCAGTAACACGCTGGTCGTGAATCGAGCTATGCCTAAACTGGTAATCAGACGACTTCTTAGACGACGTGAAAAATACCTACAGCGTTGCTGTGCTGATGACGAGAGTTAATGTCGTATGGAGATTCTGTAGTTATTCAGACATAGCCTTAATTTGGTTCTCCCGGAAGAGGCCTAGGCCAAGTCGGTCGCGCCATGAGATACTGCCCTCCGTAGAATGTCGGGTCCAGCGTTGCAGGTCAGTCCTAAACTCCGCACAGGACATCATGCAGGTCGCAATTGCATGCTCCGATTACTTGGCCACTGTCATACCGAGTGCTGTCCATTGCTGCTGGCTGACTGCTTCCAGGGACTCTAGCATCCCTTCGATAAAGCTAACGTCTTCACAAAGAGCGCTGACGACGGAGGGCGCCTCAGAGATCTTCCGAAGGTCGTTCAGCAGAAGACGTGTCACATGAAGTGCTGGGGCAACGATACCGATCACGCCCGCTATGACGCTCAACGGGTCGGCCATGCTGAATAAGACGGTGTACCGATTGACGAGCAGGTATGGCTTGTCCGAAGGCTTGAAAGGTCACTTAACCATGCCGGTGCGGGGGTTGTTGCCCCTCAGGACTTGCAGTGAGTCCTAGCGCTAAGCACGCCGTTGCAGGCTCTCGGGCAGTCTCCACCAAGATCGTGACTGCCAATGCTTTTTGTCTTGGGCTGGCCCTCAAACAGTCCAACAGCACGTCATAAATCATTCATATACATGGCCGAGCGAACACAAGTCACCTTTGAGGACGCCAACCGCGGGGTTCAAGTGGGGTTGAATACCCGTATAATCGCACTTCATAACCTGTAATTATTCAATACCCATTTTTTAAATGCATTTGCCTGGTTATAGTGCCAGCATTATATACCACTGGCCCCACAACACAGTCAAGTTGTCGCCGATGTATTGACAATAGCTCAGCTGTGCTACAACCCAATCCCTCTTCATCTCTGCCGACACAAGTCTCATTTGATAGAGGAAAACCAGCAAATCATGCGCGCTTGGTGTATCGGGCGGCTGTGACCAATCGTACCAGTCAAGATTTATAGTCCACCACATCAAGTCATATCTGCTTCAAGTTGGCCGGCGCACGCTACCATCCATTTCAGAAGGCGGATGTACTCGCGATAGCCGAACTAATGCTAGCGCTTCTGTTGGCAGCTGCAATAGGACACCCAGCTTCGAAAGATGTAATCTTCCTTGATCTTCCAGGCCATCTTCAGCTGCATTCTCTCGTCGAAGGATAGCCAATTCCGGGATCGTAATGCTGGTAGCCATGGTTAGTGTGAAATGTGCCGTTGACACTGCAAGGACTGGAGCGTGGGACGGTCTTGACGTCTTGCCGAATTTATAGGTCACTGGCTTGGCGACTAGAGGTATAAGAAAGGCTTCAAGCCTCGTAGCTCGTTAGGCTGATCAGCAGATGCATGATGCGACAGCCCACTGAACCCTGGACCACATGGGCAATTGTGTAGTCCCGGCAAGACGTACGCTACGACCCACCTTGAGGGCGGCCGGGGACGGACGACCCCGATTCACAGTAAGTCGTGGACCTGATCCGTGTACGCCTAACGGCGCGGTCAAGAAACCATGCACAGCGGCCTATCCGATCATGTCTGGTGCAGCGTTCTATCAGGGCCCTGAAACGGAAAGAAAGCCCCTAGTCCGTGCAGTTGTGGATAGTCCTTCGACCATGAGCAAATAATGGCATCCAGAAAAGTGTACATGCAGCCAGACTGCCCAATGACCCAGTAAAATGCGCCAGTGAGCTAGTTTGAAGGGTTAAGCGGCGCTGGAGCTAGGTTACTACCATCGCCCAAGGCAGACTTGCGCGCCGGTTGCTCCTTGAGTGCGTCAACCCTACGGGACAGGCAACTCCGGGGCACCACACAAGAGACATGATTGCCAAGACACCAGACAATGCACGGCTTCCTTATCGCACCAATCTCCACCACAATGTTAACTCGCAGGCAGCAGCGTGTCCCCTGGAGAGGCAGATGCGGCAAGGTGGGTTCTGGTGGGCCAGCCATGCTCTAATTGGGAGGCAGTGGGCCGCATACCATCGACCATCTCGTTCATGAGCCAGTAACAAGCGGCGCAGTAACCACCAGCCTGACTTCCGCGCTTTCGCCAGTCGTACACGGGACTGGGCTTATCCCTTAGCATCTTTATGTCTTCAAGACTTACGCCTTACCGATCCCTGTGATGATAAGAAGCGTATTGAGGACACCAAGGGTGGCTTGCTAGAGGATTCTTACCGCTGGATTTTTGGGAACTCATGAGTTTAAACAATGGCGTAGCGACCAGCTGAGCCCACTTCTATGGATCAAGGGCGATCCTGGCAAAGGCAAGACGATGCTGCTCTGTGGCATAATCAACGAGCTGAGTAAATCGACAGTCGACACGGCTCTTCTGTCCTACTTCTTCTGCTAGGCTAGCGACTCACGAATTAACAGCGCCACTGCCGTGCTACGAGGTCTAATATATATGCTTGTCGGTCAGCAGCCGTCGCTCGTGTCGCATATCCAAAAAATGCAACAACGCAGGTAAAACACTGTTCGAAGATACAAATGCCTGGACTGCTTTGTCCGAGATCTTTACCAATAAAACTAAAAGTCTTCGGATGAGATGCATTATTGCAGCATATGATGTCGTCATTCATACCTGGGTTGAATTCATTTGATTACATAGAATTTGAAGGTTTGATAGAATGCCAGGCTGGCAAGTACAACAATATACCAACTTCCCTTCACTCTTGAAACAAACTCCGACTTAAAGAAGCGATCAAATACTTGCGACTTGCAATAAGCTTGACTTGGTGCTCAACGATCCAACCTTGACCATGATCCTATGGATAGTTGGAGAGGGCTATCAGGCTTGAAACATAAGCCAGCGTGCTTCATAAGCTGGCCCCAATGTGAAGAAAACGAAATGTCAGCTAGATCCGCCTCCCGCAGCTCGAAAGGGAGGCCACAAATGTCAAAGTTAAAGCCCTTCATGCCTCAAACCCTTCGCATACTATCCAAAAACCAAAATGAAGAATGGGTGTTGCTGCCCTCATAGAAGAGGTAGCTCAATCAATAAAAAGAACCTCTCTGCCTGAACATTTAAGACGTCCGACAATCACTTCCTCCGAACTGGCAGCGCAAGTTGTTTCATCTCTTGGTATTCTCCAATCTCTTAAAACGTAACAATTCCATACTTCTCATATGGAAACTCCTCCAAGCTCTCCAACTGCTCCGCCCACCCATCACCCACGGTCCCGATCTGTTCCAGGTCTGCACTCTCATCCTCTCCCAACCCCGCCAAAATCTTTGCCTCCTTCCCCAAATACTCCTGCGCCAACCCCGGATGCGGGACCCAGACAACTCTCATCCCTGCTCTCCTCCCAGCAATGACACCTGGAATACCATCCTCGAACACCAAACACTCCTCTGGCCTAATCTTCTCCTCCCCTTCTGGTAGTCCTTGATTGATAGCCTGCAGCGCCACCAAATAAATATCCGGACTCGGCTTCCCCCTGCCCTTGGGAATCCTAGGATCGTCACCCAGCACCCGTCGATCCTGCTCGAAAACCTCAAACATCTCCACCAAATGCTGCGTCTTGATCTTAAAATGGCCCTCATGACTACTCGTCGCCAGCGCAAGATATATCTTCCTGTCGCCCTTCTGCGTAGCTTTTAAATCCCTCAATAGCTTTTCTACCCCTGGTAGCGGCGCGGCGTTGGGGAATTGCTCGGCTTGGATGATGTGCAGTTTTTGTGTGTATTCTGCCGGCGAGATGTTTGGGATGTTCGCCCAGTTTAGGAGGAGCGAGATGGCTTCGTGGGCGGGCCGCCCTTGCAGTTTGGATTTTATGGACCAGGTCATGGGACCGGCGGAGTAGGTTGCGAGGAGGATGTTATGGCAGAGTGTGTAAATATCTTCGGTATTTATGAGGAGGCCGTCCATGTCGAAGAGGCAGGCTCGTACTGGGGGGAAGCTAGAGAGGTGAGTTAGAGAGATTGGAGGAAGGGAAAAGAAGCTGCTTAGCTTACTCTGTTTTCGGGGTTGCCATCTTGACAATTTTCTGCGAGGTGTTCCTCTTTGTGTACTAAAAAGGGTGCGTGTTCCGATGGGTTATTTGTATGATGTTGAGTTTGTATCGATGGAAGTCGAGATAACGACCTCAAGATATATCCATGCGCCAAGAGACAGAATGGATCCTTCAAAGAAAAATTCAAACCTTTGAAAGCAGATTGATTTGTAAGAAAGTTTTGCACTTAGCTTAAGAACCCTGCCCATCATTCAGGCCGGTAGTGACGGTCACTACCAGGGGCAAGTTGGGGTAAGCCCATAGTTAAGGCTGAGTCAGCGGGCTGCGGGTTAGCTCGAGTGACGACCACTACCATGACAGTCATTACCAGGGGAAACAAGGGGTGCGCGCCCCCTTGCCTCAAACCCCGGGACCTGGGGTAAGGACTAGGGGTTAAAAGGGGGGTGCGCGAGGGAGTAATTGAGGGGAGAGAGTGGGAGAGGGAAGTATAAGGACCACACGCAGCCCTCTACCGCTGCTGCTACTGCCGCCGCCGCCGATTTAACTGCCTGTAGCTGGCCGCCCTTAAGCCGGTGCCTCTGTCGGTAGTGGGTAACTAGACCGCCTACGGCAGCTGGGATGCCTGCCTTACATAGCGTACAGATGAGTACGCGGCTTGCCCTGCGTAGATACAGTGCTGGCGTCGCTATCGTCGTGGCTCGCGCCGGCCCTGACTCTATCGTTGTCGTGGCTTTCGTGTCCGGCTCCTGTTGCGCGATGTTGTCTCCCTCAGCATCGCTGCGATCGCTGTCGGAATCGCCCCCCTGGCTGCTGCTGCGGTTCATTGTACCTGCTGTCTGTGCCTGTTGTTCTTGGGGCTACTACTGTACTTCTCCTGTCGCGTGCATCGTGGGAAGAGACCCCGAGCTGGCGTCGCTGTTCGAGCCCGTACAATGTCCGTTTCATCCTCCTGCTCCCTCAACCCCCCCGGGCTAGTCCCATTACGTGTACGCGCTCTTCTCATTATTGCCCCCTTGGACGGACGGGCTGGGCTGGGGTTTAAGGTTAGACCCCTGCTGGGGGGGGGGGTGGGTTAGGGTTAGCTGACCTTTTGCTGGCCGGGATGAACTCAACCTGGGGTACCGGAATGAGCTCAATGGCCCGTGCCGCCGCGCCCCCTGCCCACCAGGAGTGCGCGAAAAGTGAGCGCTTCCCGGCCGGGAATGATGGTCAGGACATTCATAAGGCCATGCAATTTGTAGTTCAATTTCCAACTGGGCGATTGAATGGGCAAACAATGTGTTGATCTGCGCCGCGGATGCCCTCCACGATCAGTTATCAGCAGCGTCGCAATAACGCACCGTTTGAGCCGCATCCATCTACCGCAATCCCGTTCCCTTAGACGAAACCTGTAGTTTCCATAGGTCCGAGGGCCATTTAGCCGACTATGCTCTGCTGTGAAGTGTTCGATTCTGTGAATGGTTCATATTCATGAAGAGACGCAGGATGCTCGACGTGAAACAAATAAGAGCGGACTCTGTCGCTCCAGACTTTCTCGTCTCTACCCTGCGAAGGCCCGCTGCCCATCCATTCCTCGAAGGACGATCTACTGACCAGACCAGAATTCTCTCCAACAAACCACCATGAAGTTCCTCTCATCCCTTCTGCTGCTGGGCTCAGCCGCTCAGGCCCACTACACGATCCCTCGCGCCAGTGCCAACGGCGTCTCAGGGTCCGACTGGCAGTTCACCCGCATCACATCCAACTACCAGTCCAACGGCCCCGTGACAGACGTCACCTCGTCCGCCATGACGTGCTACGAACGCAACCCGGGCCAGTCGACCGCCAGCACCCTTGCCGTGACCGCGGGCGGCACCATCACCTTTGGCATCGCGCCCAACATCTACCACCCCGGCCCGCTCAACATCTACATGGCCAAGGCGCCCTCCTCGGCGGCCACTTTCGACGGCAAAGGAGCGGTTTGGTTCAAGGTGTACCAGGACCAACCCAAGGTCGTCTCGTCTGGCCTCGAGTGGCCCAACAATGGCGTCTCCTCCGTCACCATGACGATCCCCAAGTGCATCCCCAGCGGCGAGTACCTCGTCCGCTTCGAGCACATTGGCCTGCACTCGGCCAGTTCCGTCAACGGCGCCCAGCTGTACATCTCGTGCACGCAGGTCAAGGTCTCTGGCGGCTCGGGCAGCAGCCCGGCAACCTCCTGTCCTTCCCCGGCTCCTACAGCCCCAGCGACCCAGGCTTGCTGGTCAACATCTACTACCCCGTTCCTACCAACTACAAGGCCCCTGGCGGCAACCCCCTTGTGTGCTAGACGTACGATCTGCCTAGTCGACATAAGGGCTTGCGCCAACGAAGAGGAGCGTATGGGAGGAGGACACAGAGTACCGCCTCGACGTCTGCGGGGTCGACGTGGATGAGAAGTGATGGCTTGTGAAGGTCTGTGGATCGGCATGTTTGGGGTGTAGCTGGAGATGCAAGGCCTAGACACTTGAGGGCTCCAGGAGGGGTTCCGCTGCTTTGCATTGGATTCTCACGTAGTGGTAGTGGCACTTATCCTTTATGATCACGCTCAACAAGCATCTGAGCATTTCAGGGCGTCGCTGTCGTTGCTTATGCTGATATGCTCATGACATTGGTCCCCAAGTTCACACCCCAAACCTTTGCTGCCGCAGTGGTTGATATCTGAACAAGTCGATGACATGGTGGTAAACATTAGTCTTACGGCACACAGAATAACGTGGAAAAGGGCTCCGGTCCTCGCGGCGCACGAGAGTACGCTTCAGCTCCCCCAGGGGAGGCCTAGCTAGTCCACGATCGCGCAAGCCTCATCTCCACGGGGCCAGAGAGACGCTTGAAATCTTCTAGGCGGCTCTCCTCCGCCCCTGCCTGCCTCGTCTCAACCGCCCCTCCTCTCAACCCCATGCCCATCTGTATCATCCGGATGGCCCGTTCCGCCGCATCCGTCAACAGCACGGCAGTACTATCAATGGCGTCACGCAAGCTCCGCGGCCCATCGAGGATGCTCGTAAAAGCGGCAATCCCGTCGTCGTACACGCCATCGGCGCCCGCCCCGATGGTGCCCGCCAGCGCGACAACCGCGGCGCCGTGCTTGCGGGCCCGCCCCGCAATCTCGACGGTCAGCTTGCCCTGCGCGGACTGTGCGTCGAGACAACCCTCCGCAGTAACGACGAGGTCCCATTTCTTCTGCTGGGCTTTCAAGGGATCGAGGGACTGAGAAGCCGCTGGAGGTGAAAAGAGCTGGCTCACGCCAAAGTACTCGTCGATGGCGTCCTCCCTGGGCCGGAGGCGGCCGCCGAGGAGGAGCATCGCAGTGCCCAGACCGCCCGATGCGCCGCTGCCGGGGCGTGTGCCGATGTTGTGGTGCTCAACAGGTGACAGGCGCTCAGCCACGCTGGCGAGCTTGTCGAGGGCCCTGGACAGGAGCTTGACCTGCGCTGGAGAAGCACCTTTCTGGGGCCCGTAGACACGTGCCACGCCGCGCGGGCCGGTGAGGATGTTTTTGATGTTGCACACTGCTTCGATGTGTACTTTGGTGGCTGTTTGAGAAGAGTATGGCGGTCAGTCTGGAAAGGTTTGCGGAAAGCACTTCATGATCAGGAGGTAAACTGACCGGAGTCTCTGAGGCGGGGATGGAGCCCGCTCATGTCAATCTCCTCGAGGCCCAGCAGACTCGCTCCTCCAGCAGCTCGGGGCAATTCCTTACCCTGAGAATCAAGGAGTCTCGCACCAAGAGCCTGCAGCATGCCTGCGCCGCCGTCAGACGTTCCCGAGTCTCCGCAGCCGACGATGATCCTGTCGCACCCCTCGTCCAGTGCGGCCGCGATCAGCTCGCCGACGCCGTATGTTGTGGTCAGTGTGGGATCGCGACAGGTGGCCGGGACGAGAGATAATCCTGCGGCGGCGGCCATGTCGAGAATCCCAATCTTTTGAGTCTTATCCAGGTCTGACGCCACTGCAGCCCGTGCTTTAGTGTCAAGCGTCACAATGCCATAGTGCGAGAGGACTGGCTTCCCAACTGGCCCAGTAACGAGGACCTCACGGATCCCATCAGTGATATTCAGCTTGGTGCCAGTGACTGCACTGGCATTACGCATGGCGGCCACGAGAGCACGACAGAAGCCTTCTCCGCCGTCGTGCAGCGGCAACTTGCGGATCTCGGCGACCGAGGGATCGGGCAGCACACGCCGGATGCCGGCTTCAATGCAGTCCGCGACTTCGTCCGGACCGAGGCTCTCCTTGAAGCCTGACGGAGCAACGAGGATGCGGAGCTCTGGAGGCGCAGTGGCGGACTTGGGACGGTCGGGCGTGGATGGCGGTGGGGAGAGAGTCAGAGGGCTTGCTACGCCAGGCTGTGGACTCTGCGCGCGCAGCCGGATTGTGGGCATCGTCTTCATGGTCGTGGAGGTCATGGCTGCGGTCATTTTGCTCTGTCTATCAGATGATACCACGATGAGAGCAAATATGAATTAAAAGCGAGTGAGGTATGGTAGAGACTGTCCGGTAAAGCGAGTGATGCTCAGTAGTGGAGCGAAGGGAGGATGATGTAATGGCTTGCCGTAAGAACGCCACCAGGACTGAGGGCTGGCAGGAGTTGATATAGACGTTGTTTGGATTGGCGTAGATATGATCCAAGTCATGGTGCCGAAGCATCTCGTGGCGGTGTTGGTCGGTCACGGAGGAGCTCACTGGCATGCTCTTCAGCGAGGACGTCCTATTTTCAGAACATCCTTCAATTATTACATAAACAGGAGGATATCAGGAGAGAAACTCAGAAGGACTCCCTAAGATGTCTTGAAGCTTTTTGTCAAATAAACTACGGTATGCTGTATTTAACGTCGAGTCCGGCCGAGTATTCTGGGGTGGGTTTCATTCCAAGTGACTTTCCTGTTAATTTGGCTTGGGCATAGTAGGAAGTTGTGACTGTAAAACCTCATATGGCATTCTCGCTCGTGTCTCCTACCTGAGAGAGGGATTGCCGGCTCACGTCGTGACACCACTAGCGGCGCATCCACGGCTGTTGTGTGGTTCCGTGCTCGGAAAATTATTCGTGTAGACATGTTCTCATAGGTTGAGCTTGGTCCACAATAGTGGTGTGTCGCATGAGATGAGGTGTGCAGTATAAATTAAGCTCACTTCAGAGTGAAGCCTGGTAAGGCGTCAGGCTCGCAAGGCAGCTACGGTACTGTGCATCCAGGCAGCCGTCTTTCCGGCCATTCTGGTACGACTGCACGAACATGTACAGTAGTGACCACAATCAGTGTCCACTTTATCGACGTTAGTTGCGATTTCCGCACGGACCAACTAGTGTGGCGCATTGTGGCGTGCACAGTGCTGGCTGCCCCACAACAAGTACTCGCCAGAAATGGCTTCCGGTCTACCACAGTAGTACAAGTCGTCGAGGCATATTTGTCCGTACAGTACTGTACCTGCATTTGCAATCTGAATACAACGTCACGACTTAGTGCAGCCATGTCCTATGCTAGGCCAGCGCATTTAGTACGATATTGCCTGGACTCAACGCAGTACAGGACAATAAAAATCAGGTTTACAGGGTCTGGCGCTAGTTGATCTTCAGTCGTAAAGGGACACGAGTCCATTTCGGCGCTCGCACCACCGCCACACGTGGCTGTAGACCTGGCTCGCGTGGCTTACAATGATTTGGGCAATTGTTTCGCCTTCCGATGGCGGGGTAAGGCTAAAGCCCCGCATCTTGCCACGAATAGCTGCATGCCTAATTCTACATCAACCTTTTAGAGGAGCCAGCGACCTTGCGTTATATACTTACGAGACAAGATACTGATTACTCCAGCCGCCTTGGTATATCTTATGTATCATGGCTTGGCTTAAGCTTTCGACGCTTTCAGAGCTAGTGAGAGTAGTCGATGCTGCATCGAATATGTACACCAACATTCGGACAAGGGGAGCATCTTCAGCCCAAACTCGTGCATATGAAGCAAGTCAATCATCGGCTAAACACGCAACTCGAGCTGAACAAGAGCGTCAGTCAGCCGCTGAACACGCAACTCGAGCTGAACAAGAGCGTCAAAGGGCTTATCGAGCAATGAGAGATGCTTATGATCGAGGAGGAATCTCCGCGATCTCCCCGAGGGAAGTACAAGTCCCGCTGGACGCTTTCAACTCCGGATCAGCCTTCACATCACTCTTCGCTGCCACCGCAGTTATTGGAGTCGTTTTGGCAGCTAAAGCAGCAAACGAGCTAAGGAGGATGCGAATCCATGTCGAGGAGATCCGGGATGAACTTGGTGCTCAGACGAATGCTATGGTTCAAGGCTGGCAAAACAATGGATTCGGCGCCTTTATTTACGAATTTCTACGAACCGAGATCGAGGATCACGGCGGAGAAGACACTGTAGGACGCCATGCATTCTACATCTATAACCCGACTACTGGCGCCGATGTTGTATTCAAACAGAAGGTTCTTGACGACCCACTTCCTCGATCTTTTGGTGGCTTCAGTTCCGATATTGAGGCTATATTCCGACTCATGTGGGCGAACCGCCAAACTCTTCGCGATATAATGCCACGGGAGGAAGCAGACGCCGTTGTCTTTCATCTTCTCATCCCAGCGAAGAGGACTATGGCTGTCCTTGACCGCATGGCTATCCACGAATCTATTGGGAAGCTTGTTATCAAAGGTCACACAGATGAGGGCGCTTGCTTGGTTTGGTTGAACTTTGTGCGTCTACCGAGACAGGTGACTTTGCACGATATTCGCAACCTGAACACAGACCTGGCATTTCGTGAGAAGACGCAGGCAAGGTGGGAAATGGGTGTCAAAGGGGGATTGGCATGCGCGTTTGGGACGATAGCCTCTGCGATTTTGTTCCCTCCTGCAGTGCCCGCTTTTTGCGTCGGATATACAGCTGGTGTTGGTGGAGGTATGATAATAGGACTTGGTGCTGACATTTATGAGAAAACACTGGCAGAGCCTCGTATGTTGGGTCCGCCTTCATGACATGCGATAGTCACTGTACAATACAAACCAGATTTCGCTTCCACGTTTTAAGCTTTAGCGATTTCTACAGAAGTCACTATGAGGCTCGCTTGCGGTCGGCGCTCCGGGGCCGGGGGTCTCCGGTCCTGGTGTAGGGAGATGTCTAGCTAGATACATCAGGCCCACCTTTACGACTCACAGCCTTAACGATTTCTAAAATAATGAGGCTCTCTGCACTCAGGGGTCTCTACTGTACTGTACATATCTAGTGAACTATACGAATAGATGGCTCAGCATTTCTACCCGGGATGGGCGAGGTCGCCAGGGCTGGCAAAATCACGTGATCGTCCCCTTGGAAGGTGCGGGGTCAATGACACGATTCATACTTTATTCACGCTGTTTGGCCTCCACCATGTCGAGCTTCCATCCGTGATGTTGAAAGCTAGTACGCGCCAGGCAAGGCAAATCACCATGGCGATACATGTTCCCACAGAAATATTTGACACTGTACGTGCCTACTCAACGTTATCACATACAAAATAACTTTCAATCCGTCGCTGATACTCGGCTGCAGATTACATCTTTCGTGGAGGATGTCAACCGCACCAGGCATCCATACCTAGATGATCATACCTGGCCTTACAGAGAAATTAGCCAAGAATGTCGAAAAAGCCTGGCCAACCTGCGTCTAGTCAGCAGGTCTTTTTGCCGGAGCGCCTCCCGGCCATTCTTCCGCCATTTCCAAGCGACAATCGAAGGGCAGTGCCCAGATTCACGGCCCTTGGAAAGACTTCTCAATCTCTCCAACAGCGCGTATGCGGTGTACGTGCGTCGCCTCGAGGTCGGAGTCGACTGCTCCGGAGATTCAAATCACGAGGCTCTTTCAACATGCGTGGAAGACGTCGCTGCAACGTTACCAGCCTGCCTGGCGAGGTTCACGAATCTCAATGTTCTTCAATTTCACGGCTCATTATCCTGCTGTTCTCGAGGAACCGCGGGGCTCTTCAGAGATACAGTTATAACGGCATTACGCTACGTACCACTCTCAAATCTGACAGATCTGGACGTCACTTTCCCGATTGCATATGATTTTGGGCTCTTTCTTGGCAGCAAGGCGACCGTGGTGCGCATACCGATAGAGAATGTGTTACGACGACTTCGGCACCTAGGTCTGTTCCTATCGGAATATACTACCCGTCACGGACAGAGATACTGGCCTACAGCAGTCTCCGCCGAAAATGCGGCTCTCCCAAACAATACCCATGCGATCCACCTTTGCAGTCTTGCCGAACTTGCTGAAAATCTCGAATCTCTCGCCATAGGAAGCACGGATATTCTCAACCTTGACAATATGAATCTACACAATTCGCTCCATCTCAAATCGCTTTATCTCAAGGGAGTTTCCATTTCATCTCACGTTCTCATTTCTCTCATCGAACAATGCAAGGACACGATCACATCGATTGAGCTCCGCCGTGTGGAGCTCAATTCTGATACGTGGCAGCAAGTTTTGCTGCGAATGAGCAGACTTTCAAATCTTCTCGATTTTGTCATCGATTCAAGCGGTTACTCGAGAGATGGGGCGAGCTCCCATTTGCGCCCAGGGCGTCTTCCACCGCCGGATTACCCCGAAGACATCGAAACGTACAACTTCCTGGATATCTATGCGCTTGGAAATGTACAACGTCGGGTAAACACCAATAGGCTTATTGCGGGGCTCCCGCGGGTGTCAGACTTTGACTATCGACACATTCAGCGGGAAACGCTCGAGACTGTGATGGAAGAGATGAACATCACCTCTTAGGCTGTCATTCTGGGCGCTATTGAGGCTCAGTCCTTGGCGGAACCGATAGGAGATTTTGAGGGCGTTACGTTTGACTGGGGGCGTAGGCGGATGCCGTCAGGCTCGCAGAGCAGCAAAATCAAACCGATCGTCGGAAATCGGGTTTTCAGAAGCAACTGTCATCATCTCATCGATATTCGCATAGTTTCACTTGTGGAGGTAGATTGTCAGGCCTCCTTGTCTACATAGGCATCGTCATCCACAATAGCCAGCACTGTGTCATCACCCAATAGCTCTTTGTCCAAAAATTGATTGAGAGTGTGGGAACCGGACACCGATTTCGAACTTGGCCACCTTCGATTGAAGCACATGTTTCCAGAACTTGCGTGGCGAAATCACGTTGCCTAACTCTGATTCGCCCGTCTGTTCCCTCTTATTCAGGCATAGCTTTCATTGCATATTCCATTGTATCGATCGTTGATTCGAGGCTAGCTTCCTCTTCGACAATCTATCGAGTTTGCTTCGTAGGGTCTTCTCCCAGTAGTCGCCCCGGGCGAGGACGAGGTTTTGCTCGCTATCCTTGGAGCCAGGGACGACTCTGCCATCTACTGTTAATTTCCATTCGATCGCATAATGTATGCAGGTAGGCGGGTTCTCATCATAAGACTTCCCCTCAACCCAGTCGTCCAGTCGAATCAGGGGTAGTTTGCTGGTCACCAAGCCCTGGCTTTCGATTGACGGAGCCTCGGCGACTCCTTGACCATCGACCGCAGGTCTTGCCGCTGGGATTTGCGGGCTTTCGTAGTCATAGAGTTCGTGTACTGGCCATTCGTAACCGTCTTGCCACGGGTCTGGAAAGGCGTCGGATGGCATCGTGATCGGTGCAGTGAAGTGAATTTTGTGTCGTAGAAGACCAGTCCACGTGGCCATTCCATCGTGGTAGCCAGGCACGGAGCCATTGCCTTTGCAGGGTAGCCACATGAGACATTGGATCCACTTACAGATGAGTCATCCAGCCTCTGTTCCCGCAGTGTGTCGTTTGTGGAGCTGCCGTTTGAGCAGAATATTGGGCCAAGCCAAGTCAGTTCGGGGTTCGAGGCGAGGAGTGTTGGCTGTGTCTGTGCAGCGCTACTCGCTCGAACTAGACCTCTAGTGTCATGCATGCAGGACCAACAGCCCCTGAGCGCCCCTTTGCTAGCTCAGGGACTGCTCCACGCAGCCGTCGGACTTGCAAGATCCCCCATGCTTGTTTGCATGCCCCGACCCTCTATGATGGAGACCCATGGAGGACAGAAAGTAACAGGCCTGAAAGGGACGACAAGTTGGTTATGTATTGGACTCTGGATGCCATGGCCACCACTAGTTCGCTTCAAGGATCCCTGGAAAGATGGGCAAGATGTAGGTGTGTGCAGATCCTGGCACAGCTTGCGGAGCCTCCTGTCCGCCGGCCAGGATACAGACCAATATCACATGCATCCAAGGACTTCTGGCTCCGGAATCGTACATATCTGTGCCTCGCGCCCTCAACCTCAACCACCACTTCTTGTCGCATTCCCCCCCAACAACCATCCCAACTGCCGTGGAGCGCCTAGCGCCGAAGCCATCTACTATTAGGCAGGTTCTTCCCGTTCTGCAACATTCCCACTCGTCGAGCAAGTCGAGCGAGCCAACATGTCGGCCATCGTGGAGTCTTTCACCTTGCTGTCCATCGCGCTCTGCACAATCGCCGTGCGGACTTGGTACCGATGGTCTCAGGTCGGCTTCTCCGGCTTCCAGCTGGACGACTATATCATGCCCGTCTCTGGCGTAGGCCACTCCCTGTCTCGCAGAACCCGGTCTTGCTCTCTTGGGCTGTGCTGGTTACAGGACGCAGTCTAAAACTTCCTCCCACAGCTACTGTTCTCCCTCGTCACAACACTCGCGTATCTTGTTGGTGCCAACTACGACGGTCTCACGAACAGTTACATGACGGACGAGCAGCGTGCGGCTCTCGACCCCACGTCCAAGGAGGCCTACAACCGCGAAATGGGCTCCAAGATCCAGGTGATCGGCTGGTCGTTCTATGCGATGGAGCTGTGGGTGTTAAAGGTCTGCATCACTGTGTTTTACTCGAGGTTGACGTAAGTGCCCTTCTCACATTGAGCTTCAGGCCACCTCGAGATCGGCATGCCTTGCTGCTGTCGCAAGCAACAATCGTCGGCTAAAGCGTCGTCAAAATTGTACAGAACTCGCCTAAGCAACCTCCACACCCGCGTCCTCGTGGCTTACAGCGTCATTGGCGTGAGCTACATTGCCGTGGGGCTCTCAATCGTCCTAGGATGCCAGCCCATATCGCGTAATTGGCAGATTCACCCGAATCCCGGAAGTAAGACCGACTCCCTCGCCAAATTTGCCCTCCGATAATATCACCATCGCTCTGTTTCCCTAGAAGACTGTCAAGGCAGAGGCGCGCGAATTGACTTCTTGGTTCACAAACAACTAACAAACCGTCCCGTGGTCAGATCTCTGCCAACCTACCAACTCGAAGCTCAACGTCTTCATGGTCTATCTACCTAACGTGATCACGGACGTGTACCTTCTTTCCATTCCTCTTCCTGTACGTACATATTGTTCTGGTCACCGGCACCTCTGGACTTGGTATACGGAGCAATCCATTGACATCAGATTTTCCCCCCTGCAAAACAGCTTCTCTGGGGCGTCAATATCTCGCTCCGCCGCAAGCTCACGCTCATGCTCCTCTTCAGCGGCGCCATATTCGTCATAGCCGCCGCCACGATCCGCGCGGTCGTCATTATCACAGTAAGCTACCCGTCCAGGTCATCGTTAGCAGGCCTCCATCGCATCAGTTGGACCTTTGACTGACGGATATCTATCATCCAGGCCGGCCCCGAAGGCGCCGTCTCCGGCAGCCAGTGGGCGTGCCGCGAGATCTTCGTGTCCGCAGTCGTGTCCAATCTCCCCGTGATCCAGCCCCTGCTGCGCAAGCTGGCCAGCCACACGGGGCTCAGCATCCTGTTCAGCAGGTCTGGCGGGCGCTCCGGCAAGAACGGTGCCCACGGCGGCGCAAGCGGAGGGTCGGGCAAGAGCTACCCGCTCAGCGACAACCCCCGGACCGGCCCGCACTCCAAATCCTACGGCCTCGGCAGCCGCTCCAAGTTCGGCACCCAGCTGTCTCGCCATGCGACTGCCGGCCCGGCGGCTGCCGGTGCCGCTACTACGACTGCAGTCGCCGCGTGGGGCAGTGACGAGCATATCCTCCTCGACGGAGGTGGCAAGACGCTCAGCCCTGGCACCGGGGCGGCTGTCATGGGCGACAAGGATATCGTTGTTGGCAAGGAGATCACTGTAGTCACGGAGTCGGCGGCCGATGCCCGCTCAGGCTCCGTGCTGGGCCATCGTGACAAGGACGTCTGGGGCTACTCCGAGCGAAGGAAGCGCGATAGCTCGAGTGATCGCTCGAGCCGGTGAGGGGAGGTCGTGCAGTTGGTCTTGAGCTTAAGTGCTGGACGGCGAAAACATTTTGTAAGGCGTGCTTAGCATCAGGTAGACTGTTTAATGATGGATACACAATTGAAAAATTCTTTTGCTACGTAACCATGCCCGTAGCATCGCGCCAGGAGTGCATCGTGACAGAAGCTGTGGCTAAGCCCCTGTTGGTCGTGGACCATAAGGACCACACGCAGCCCTCCACCGCTGCTGCTACTGCCGCCGCTGCCGATTTAACTGCCTGTAGCTGGCCGCCCTTAAGCCGGTGCCTCTGTCGGTAGTGGGTAACTAGACCACGCACGGCAGCTGGGATGCCTGCCTTACATAGCGTACAGATGAGTACGCGGCTTGCCCTGCGTAGATACAGTGCTGGCGTCGCTATCGTCGTGGCTCGCGCCGGCCCTGACTCTATCGTTGTCGTGGCTTTCGTGTCCGGCTCCTGTTGCGCGACGTTGTCTCCCTCAGCATCGCTGCGATCGCTGTCGGAATCGCCCCCCTGGCTGCTGCTGCGGTTCATTGTACCTGCTGTCTGTGCCTGTTGTTCTTGGGGCTACTACTGTACTTCTACTGTCGCGTGCATCGTGGGAAGAGACCCCGAGCTGGCGTCGCTGTTCGAGCCCGTACACGTCCGTTTCATCCTCCTGCTCCCTCAACCCCCGGGCTAGTCCCATTACGCGTACGCGCTCTTCTCATTATTGCCTGTCACTCGCTTTCCTTTTTGCCCCCTTGGACGGACGGGCTGGGCTGGGGGTTAAGGTTAGACCCCTGCTGAGGGGGTGGGTGGGTCGTGGGTTAGCTGACCTTTTGCTGGCCGGGATGAACTCAACCTGGGGTACCGGAATGAGCTCAATGGCCCGTGCGGCCGCGCCCCCTGCCCACCAGGAGTGCGCGAAAAGTGAGGGCTTCCCGGCCGGGAATGACGGGAATTATATTACAGAAGGGGAGATAGATCGTGTGCTAGCGCCGAAAAATCTCCGTCATGATCCGCACAACACGGCAACACTCTTACACCCCGAGAGTCCTCAAAAGTTGGCTCATCCTCGCCTGCACATTAGACATTAGCTGGGTGACGCTTTCGCGATCCCCATCAATTGACATTTGCTGCCAACTCGCGGAGGAGCTCATCATTGGCGAGGAGGAAGGGTACTGCCCGTCCGTCAGGGCAGAGACGGCCGACAAATACGTAGTCATAGATTGGTGCTGTCTGTTGATCAGATATGAGCAGAGCTGTAAGACCATGACGAGCCGGATATCAGAGAGCGGGGCGATGCCGCCGCAAGGACCGCCGCCCAGGCCAAAACCACCATTTGAGCTGCTTCTCGTACTGCCAAGACTTGTGCCCAGCATCAGGTCTGCTGGAGACGAAGATAGGGACGGGGTGTTAAGACCGCACAGATCCGCGTCGCTCTCGAGTGCGATCAGCACAAAGTCGTAGATGGTCAGGAGCATGGTGTGGCATGCCATGAGCAGGTGGCGGATGACGGGGTTTTTGATGGTAGCCTGGCTGCTCACTGATGCCGTCTGGACGTAGTGCTTCTGATGCGGCTGGGGTTTGGGCTGGGCAGTGGCACCATTGGGTGCCGTCGCCAGGGAGTTGAAATCGGAGCTCATGCTGCAGTTGTGAGCGGGAGGGGCGCTCCAAGGGTCGGACGGCGGCATCAGGCTTCTGAGGATCTCGAGCAGATCCCCTGATGCAGTGAAGACGCCGCACAGGACTGCGCCAAGGACGTCTGTGCTGCCTACGGGCGGGGCAGGTGGGTCGAATGATGTCCGAGGGGTCGCTTTCGAAGAGAGGTCGGACAGCCATGCGGAGACCAGCTTAAACACGCCGTCGTCGACCAAAGGGCTTCTGACGTATCCGTCGTGGCCGACAGAGCCGCGTCGATACGACATGCGCACTGTCTCGTTGAGGGTCTCATTCGACTGATAGAGCTGGGCAAGTCTCATGGTCAACTGCGAAAGTTGGCTTATGCCTGTGGCGTGGTCGCCGGGGAGGTCAGGCAGCGAGCTGGTGCTGCCACAAAAGGCAGAGCCACTTCGTTCCCGCCACCTCGACGGGTGTTGTTGATGGTTGAAGTAGTCAATATCGACATCTTGGGGGGCGATGTTTGGGTCTATCGAGTGCTCCAGCACCGAGCTGAAGTCCAGTTGCGACGCTGGGCCGAGGTCCTCGAGCATCCCAGCACCGGACCAGGCATTTGGGTCGAGCCAGGAGGCGCCGAAGCCATCAGTGGCAGGGAGGAGAGTATCGTTCATGATGGCATCCTCGTCAGTCGGCTTGGCAAGGCTCGAGCCAGAGTCTGACCTGCTGGGTGGCTGTGCCACATGAACATCAGTCTTGATGTTGCCGTCATCACCGGAAGAGCTGCTGGACCTGCTCGACTGAGCCGCGCTTCCCGGGCGACCATTCGATGAGCCAGCACTGCTGCCGCTTGCGGTGCTCCCACTGTTGCTGCTGCTTGATTCGGCTTCGGGCTGGACGTCTGACGCCGCGTCTGACGACGATGCGGTCGTTTTGGTGGATTGCGTCTCCCCAGGCCCGACGGTCTCGGCCCAACGATACATGCTTGGTCGTCCTTTTGGCAAGCTGAGGCTGTACACACATTGGGCGCCCTGGCGGAGACAGCGAACGCAAGCACCGATATCACTCTTCGCGTCGCGCACGCAGCGCAGCTTCTGACCATGGCACCGGTCACACGACTGTCGTCGAGGGGTGATAGCAGCGTTGTTTGAGGAGGGGGCCATTCTGGCAGATCGAGATCAGTTTGACGATATGGCTGTGAGTTGTGCGCGCTCCTCTCCGTCTTGTGTCGCAGTATGGGGTTCTCAGGATAGGATCACGGCCCAGATCCGCCGATAGATGTCGCTAAAGGGAGGGGGGGGCTGCGTTGGTAGACTGGAAGACGACAATATGGACCAAGCACCGGCTAGATGACTGTCAATAGGATAAGAGGCAAGCCGACAGCCACACATGCCATGTCAACAGTCACCGGCGGCGAGCAAGACTCCAAGCATATAACAGCGACACGACTGTGCCAGGCACGTGGCCAGGGCTTGGAACAGCAGGCACAAACTGCAAAGAACCTATCGCAACTCATACACTCGTGACAGGCAATCGAGTACGGGTGTGCAAATTCGACTGGATGATGCCGGCTCCTGCATACTTTCAAGGTGGCCCCAGCCAGAACTCCGCCACAATGGGTCGCTGATGATCGCCTGAATTACTAGCCAATCGCAAAACAGCCCGGTCATTGCTGGACTGCGCAGTCTGGGGGGGCTCTTCGCAGGTCGAACGTCAAGCAGGGGAACTCAACGCGTTTACAGGGCGTCGTCATTCAGATGAGCAAGATAACGACAGTGCGGTGTTTGGGTTGAGTCAGATACCTTGGTAAGGTCCCCAGTCGCCTTCATCCCCAGCCGGGCCCACTGATCAGTTTATCTGGAGCCGAACTCACCTCTGGGGTCCACTGCCGAAGCTTGTCCTTCTATGCAACCTCATCGTTCTCAATACTGGTCTCACAGCTTCGCTCACGTCACCACGTTCACAGCCTTTCATTTCGATACTTACTTCGGCTTGGACCAACCAAGAAAAGAAGTTCGGGAGCCAACCCATCATGCAACGCGGATGATCTAGAACCACGCGCGATCTTGCAGCCAAGACCCTGCTTGGTGGGGCCGGTTTCGTGTTTACATAAGATAAAACTCTACAGGCTCGCGAGGTGAAGGCCCTGCGCTCAATGGGGTGCTACTCCGCCTGTTGGATGCCGTCTGTAAGAGAGCGTCCAGAAGTGTAACGTGCCGAGAGGATCGGACGTTGTCTCTGACGTGCTTCTAGCTCAGAGACAAAGTTTCAGTACCTGGCTCGGCCGAATATGCCACTTATGAGGCGAGGGCAATACTACATTCATACGTGGACGCAAACCTTGATCGGAAGCAGGGAACATGCCGGCCTCGAAGCCTTCTGCAACCACCATCTTGATTAGACCGCCATCGTTTGCCTCTAGAGGACACAACAATTTCAGGGCCCGAGCGACCTGCAGCAGCAGAAGCAGTTATGCTCGGACAGCATCCGTGGTGCACGCGCGCCTACTCGCTGTCACTCTCTCTGCTTAGCGCGTTCATATCCCTGTAGTATCTTGACCGACAACCCATGTCGTGGTAGTTCTATACCTGACTCAAGACCTGATTGACCGGTACCCCATGTCGTGCAGGCCCACCCCTGATCTTGGTAGTTCTATACCTGACTCAAGACCTCATCGTCAGCGAGGACCCCTAGCCCAATGTGGGACAATGGTAGCTGAGTAACGCCAGCAAGGTCGTGAAAGCCAACTTATTGCAGATGGTTCAGTGACTAAACCTCCGACACAATGAGATGGCAGATGTTCGGCTCACTGCCCAACAAATATCGACGACACAACCATTTCTCAGCGAAATGCCGTCCAAGCGTCCGAGGCCAGCGTTGTACCATTTCAGCCACGCGAAACACACCGTTGCTTCCCCGAACTCACGGCCTCACCGAGACCCGGAAAGCCCGAGATGCAGACAGCCTGCAGCAGCACAATCCCATCTGTTTCACCAAACTCTATCATCAGCAAGATCAGGGACTCTTTTACCTATTAGGGGAAGTCATGCAGGGGGCTTGTGGACGGACTAGCCAGCTCACTGCCTGCCAGCGTACCAGCGCTGCGTGGCTAGTCAGGCACATTTCCTCCTGCTGCATACCGCGGCACCGTGCAGTCATATTCCAAAAGAGGCTTGGGCTGGACGCTGGTTAAACCCTTCTTTTCTCAACATGCCACGGGTCAGTCCGACCACTACTCGCAGACTGAGAGTGGATGCGCTTGGCTGCCGACTCGCACTTGCGTCCGCCTCGTGCCTCGAACCCCTGGCCGTTTATGCCCTGGAGGGACCCCTAGAAAGTCTAAATCATTGCATGTGACGGCGCTAACGTGCCGAGAGGGTCCAGACATACCCATTGAAGATATTCACCCCTGCGTGCAAGTGGCTGCACGGGATCGGGACAAGGCTTAACATTGGATAGGAGCTGGCCCGGAGATCCACAGCGGTCTGACCTTGAATGATGGGCTCTGGTCAGGGTTCCCACGTATAACGATGGCTTTAGGCCTGTATCCTGCTCGGTTCTGTAGGGGGCAAGACATGGCCTAGCACGATAACATGTTTGTGTGAGCCCTCTGTCTGCCAGATTCTTCTGTTTGTGGGGATTTCGCATTGTCATGCAAGCTCTTCAAGACGTGTTGAAGTTGTGCAGCAGGAGAGGTGAATTTTGCGCGCAGTCTTTTGGCAATGGGAGCCCGAGGATGAAGCATACACATGTTAATGTTGTGGACCTCGCAATTTAGCCTCCATTGAGCAAAGAAGCAGCTGCATACTCCTAGATACATAGAAAGTATAGACGAGCGGTCCGACCATTCAAAGCATGATTTCCAACAATTTTATGCCTTGATTACCTTGTCCAAAACGATGGGCACCTCTGGCAAGGAGCGCACCATCTGGTTTGCGGTCGTGAACTTGGTCTTGGTGTCGCTCGTCCGCTTGGCCGAGTTCTCGTTGCGCGAGCTACGCACGGCGTCTCCGCCACGCTGCAGCATCTCCTTGTTGTACTCGTCGACCGCGGGTTTGACGACGCTGACGTCCTTGTACTTGTCGCCCTCCTTCAGGCTGACCAGCGTCTGGCAGAGGTTCATGGCATCGATGAAGCTGTGGTATCCGCCCTCGCCGCGGAACGGCGTCATTGCGTGCGCCGCGTCGCCGACGAGCATGACACGGCTGGCGGGTAGCCCGCCCTGGGTGTCGAGCTCGAGGTCCCGCCAGACGTGGGCCTCCTTCTTGATGCCGCTCGCGGGAGTCGCCTCGAACAGCTCGCGGAAGCGCGGGGGCATGTTGGCAATGAGCTTCATGACGTGCTCGTGCTTCTGCTCCTGCGTAGCCGACTGCAGCCAGTGGTCGGGAGACTCGACGGTCGCGTCGGGCTGCATCAGCATCCAGTAGTGCTTGCCCGAACGGCCCCCTGGCAGCACGTGGTGCAGGCCGTTGAAGTTCCAGAAGCCCAGATCCGGGCTGGCATACACGTAGGCGCTGTGGCCAAGCTCTAGCTGGCGCACAAACGCGTCCCCCTCGAGCGTCACCTCGCCGACAATGGCTGCTAGGGGGACTAGCTTGAGGACATCTTTGGCCGGCTTCTGCAGGATGTGCTCACGGACTGGAGATGGGAGTCAGAATGTTAGTCAAGGTTCGAGGAGAGAGCAAAAGTGGAGAGAAAACCATACCGCCACTGTTGATGCCGTCAGCACCGACAAGAATGTCACCGCTGGCAGTCGTGCCGTCTTCGAATGAGACCTGCACGCCGGCGTCGTTGTGGTCAATGCTGACTACACGCTTGCCCCACTGGATAGGAATGTTTGTGGAGAGCCACTCTCTGAGGCGGTGACGCTCAGAGCGTACAATGGGATGCTCGGGAGTGTCCTACGTCCTTTATCAGCAGATGTTCTAGAGCTTTTCCAAGATGAGAAGCCCGTGTGACCAATGACGCTAAACGAAGCAAGAAAGTTGGGCACTGAGTACAGCACTAAGCACATACCTCAACACCCATACGGCCAGGACGGCCAGGGAAGTACAGACCCATCTGGGCCGGAAGGTCGAGAGGCTGTAAATGGTCGGTGGCGTCTTTTAGAGTCGCCATGTCCGAGGGGAAGCTCGACTGCAGCTTCTCGATGATGCTGGAGCCACGTCCACAACCCTTGTCAGTATCGTGTACGAGGACGGAGATTTCTCCGCGAACGGGTACGTTCCCAAGCCTGCAACTACCGTCCAAGCACAGCCAAGCCTGTAGGACCAAATCATGCTTGGGCCGATAGCATATGTCTATCTGCCTCTCACAGGCAGCTGCATCCTGTCTAGTGTGCGAGGCCTCACAAGTGGGAACGGGAAAGCTGAGGTGTCGACTATACTTACGTGTGGATACCAATAGCCCATCCTTGGAATCGAGACTGAGCATCCTCATCCCGCTCAAAAACCTCAAAGGAGATCCCCTGCTTCCGCAAGCATTGAGCAAGACCCAGACCACCTAGACCACCGCCCACAATGAGAACGTGCATGGTCGCTGTGATCGTAGCTCACTGATGAGTGATCTGGCTATGTAATCAGTATCGTCAGCCTCACCTTGTATCATTGAAATGAGGTAGGACTCTCTCACCTTTTCTGATGAATACTGTGATGCAGGCGCTTGTGTCTGTCAGCTTAGACGCAGCCACAATGGAAGATGAGACAGGTTGTTGTGATGAAGGATGAGATGTATTCAGCTGCAAATCTGCCAGAAAATTGCACTTACCCTCGAGACAGGCACAGGAGAACAACCTGGGTTATGCCCGATAATCTTCTTAGGTGGTTGTCACGATCAGCCACGAGCGGTCATTAAGAAGCAGCGAAGATACTGGCTGTAGACCGAATACTGCTGTGTCATAAAGCGGCATTCCCTAGTGGCTTTCCAAATGAGCCGGCTTGGTTGCGCTTTGGCCGAATTCTTGCGCTTATCCCCTTGTACCCCTGATCGGCGCCAAGATTTATGGCATCGTGTTCGGTTCAAAAGATGTGCAAAATCTACCATAACTCAATCGAAACCCTGGGGGAAGATGCTCAATCGCGTCAAATTGGCAGTTGTCTCGCTGTGACTTTAGCTCCCGTCACATGGCCAAGCCATACAACTTCGCTCGAGAAGAATGCTCCCAAATGCTCTCGGGGGGGATAACGGCTCCATACTGCCTGTCTTGTGATTCAGCTGAGTATAACTCCCGCGAATGTAGGGGGCTTCACCGACAAGCACGATCCCGGGCATAAGAAACAGTCGAGATTGTGACCGCTTCGGCGACTTTTTCCACGGCTGTTCGGCGGGTCTCGCGGCGGCTGGTCCTGCAGAGGCTCTCAGGAAACTGTACCTGCCTCAAGGCTCACTTTCTAGGCCCGAGGCTCAACCTTGACGCTCTGCCTGCATAGTGCCCCCCTGCTCGGTGACGCCGGATGGAACGTTGTTCCTCCGCTGGCGCCGCCGCCCGATGTTGAGGTGCGGCCCATTTCAAGTCGGCGGATGCTCTGGCGATTCAGAACCCTGGCAAGGGATACCCCAGCAGATGGCCCCACATTGAATGTCGCAGTCGGTGTCACGGCACACATGGTGGTTCGAGTCGTGCTCGGGCAGTAGCAGGGTTGCCTCGTCTCATGTTCTCGACGCCTGCCGAAGGAAGATGGGGAGAGGGAGTATCAAGCAGGCTATATCGGCATCCACAGCGATTGTGTGTTGGCATGGTGACAAGCTGCATCCCAGTGCTCACGGACGTGATAGCTTGACCGTATTCGAGTTCTTGTCTGCGTGACGCAATGGCGACAAACAAGAGAAGGATGAGTGGAAAGCGAACCTCAGACAATCCAGCTCCTCTAAAGGTGGAAAGACCCGCGTCGCACTGGCTGGGCCTGGATCTGATCACAATTTTAGTGCATGCCAACGGATTGGGCCTGCTCGCAATGTACACACACGCGAGACAATTGTGCAGATAGTCAGTGCATGTTTACACACTGGAGACAGATGCGGACGATGCCCGCGATCATCAGCTTCCCCTGCCAACCCGTCCGATAGTCAATTTCGCAAGACAGCTCCGTCTTGAACGCATCGTCAACACCACACCAAAGCCTCGTCCTCAAAAGCTCCCAGAAAATTGGCCGGGTATTCCTGATGGACCAAGATGCATCCTCTTGTGTGTCTGATGCAACGTGACTTGAAAGTCACGTTGCTGCTGAAAACCATGTCCAACTATGCACCGTCCGCATTGACCCTTTCACTGTGCTCCGCCAGATAGCCAGCCCACCGTCAACGAGGTGGATCATGCCAACGGCCAGTGTCAAGATTGGCACGGACAGGACATACTGCACCTCGATCACATGTTGGTAACAGGACCAAGAAAGATGAATACTGCTCCTGTAATTATCTAGGATGGAAGCCAAACAACGCCTGAACGAAGACTTATGGTCGATGAAAACTCCTCTCTGGGCATCGGCCACTTCATGCCACGCTGTAAACCATCTTCTGGCCAGACATTGCCTGGGTCCGGATAATGTCGACACCCTCACAGACACCCTCCCAGCCGCCGGGCATCGGCTTAACCGGATGCGTGTCGATGAGTCCACAATCCAACAGAGCCTGCACAGCGGCAAATGCCTTACCACCAAAGACTCTGTCCTCAGGGTTTGCCTCGCGGCCGTACTCGCCGTCCAGTGCGACCTGGCGGCCGAAGATGGTGAGCACCATGACCCACGACGGCTCGATCGTCAGTGCTCGAGTCTGAGCCACAGTGTCACGGAACGGTTCGAGGGCAACGTAGCGACCACCAGCACGACCCATGGCTGAATACCAGAGTTGCGTGGTGTCCGCTTGGGATACACAGTCGAAGGTGTAGGCAAGCTCGTTGCCTGTGTATTCACGAATCTCCTGGGCGGCAGTCGGCGAATTGTAATCGAACACCTTCTCGGCGCCGAAGCGCTCGGCCAACGCAAAGTTGGAGGCGGACGCCGTCGCGATGGGGCGAAGGCCGGCGCTGCAAATGGAACCATCAGTTGTCTCACTCCGGCAAAGGTCTTGCAAACTCAATGTCATGGGGAAAATGTGAGGTTTGGGCACTTACAGCTTAAGTAACTGGATGGCCCTAGTGCCAGTGGCGGTGCTGCCGCCAGCAACAAGCACAAACTCCTTGCCATTGCGGTCCTCTGGTTTGGCGGGCTCGCCGCTGGCCAGCTGCTCTAGAGTGGCTGGGATGCCAAGCTCCTTGAACATGGACAGACAGGCTGTTGCAACACCAGTGCCGAAGCTCGCGCCCTGCTCAAAGGTCATGGATTCCGGGATTTTGAGCAGGAGATCCGCGGATGCGCCAACGTACTCGCTGAAAGCACCGACTTGTGGCAAGAGCTTGTTCATCCCGTGCACGAGGCCGATCACCAATGGCCAGCTTGCCGGAAGCAGCAGCCTCAGCGCCGAGAGCAACGACGGTGCCGGCATAGTCGTAGCCGATGATGGCGCCTACGGCAGCGGAGTAGTCGAGCATTTGGCATCGGCGGGGTTGATAGCCACTGCCGCCGTCTTGACAATGGCCATGTCTGGAGTCAAGATAGGCAGAGGGACGTCATGTTGGATGGCACGCTCGCCGGGCCCTTGCGCCACGATGGCTGTCTGTGTTGTGGGAAGTCCGGGCATCCTTTGCTCACTATGCGATTTTGCTTGAGGTCAATGGGCAGGAGAAAGTTCGCCTGGTCGATCGGGAGCAAGACCTTTCGTGCTGCTGTGCTTCGAAGATCCTGGAAGTTGAAACTTTACAAGTGCTGGTTTCGAGCGTTTCTATGCATAGCGTGAACTGCAAGTGTGAGAGCGCTTGTCAAGCAATTACGCAGGGGCTTATGATGGCTACATTCGGACTGCATTAGTGATATGGTAGTCCCGATCACTGAGGCAGCTAGGTCACAGACCATCACCACGAATGATACGCATCACGGTGTTGAGACATCGGACATCCGGCTCCGATACACCGACATGTGGGCCCGAAGGCCGGGGAGTGAGTTGAAAACCGCCGAAGCCACAACACCGAAACGAGCAGAATGATCCGAACCCGGCCAGTCGCGAACTAATCCCATACGAGGAGCAGTGGACGATGACCAAGCCATGATTATGTACGGTCTTGTCGCTAGTCGGAGGCTTGACCACGCATTGCCAGGCGCAGCTGCAACGGATGGTCAACCAATCTCGGCTCGTGGCTGGCGCAAAGGCATCATTCGTCCACGGCCTGCGAGAGCAGGGCGGGGTTACACACTTTATCGTTGTGGAAGCTTTGGGCAGCCAACAAAAGACTCCCGAATCCAAGCGATATCCACCGCGCTGAGACCCCCTTCGAGATCCAACATTTGCACAATTCAGAGATACACCTCGAGCTGGGACACTGCAAGTCGACAATCTGTGTCAACTTCGGCACACTAAACTAATTTGCAACCTTGATGAGCTTTGCCCATATGATGGCGGCTTACACGAGTATCCCGGGATCCTGCCCTGTCGACTCGGCCAGTCTGAAGCAAGAAGCTTGCATCCGCACCACAGAGCTCAACGAGGGCAGCAGCAGCACCAGTAGCATTGATGAGAAAGAAGACCCCTTCACAATCCAGTCAGTTCTCTACGCCACGGGTGAGAACCAAGGCGACGATGATCTCGACGCGGACAGTCCGCAAGAAGTCATTGACCATTCCTCGCTTCTGCCAATCCCCTCTCCACCGCACAAGCACTACTATGGCTTTGTCGGCCACCTGGCAGACCTGGACCCAACTCTGCCCGTACGTACCTACTGGCATCTAATGGACACCTACAACCCCATCTTCCAGATGGACCTGGGCATGAAGTATCCGCGTGTTTTTGTCGGCAGCCGGGAGATGGTCAACGAGATGGCAGACGACAGCCGCTTCATCAAGTTCACCCACCGCCTGCATCAGGAGATGAGAGCTGTGTTTGGAAATGGCTTGTTCTCGGCCGAGTCGACGAGCAAGGCATGGAAAAAGGCGCACCGGTTGTTGGTGCCAGCATTAGGTAACTTATGTTCTGGTCGAGACTGCCTGCTCGTGACACCCTGGCAGTCATTGTGCTGATGAGGCGACTGGGAAACACGTCCCATCGGCTTGAGCAAGATGTTTGACGACATGTAAGTTGGCTTCAGCGACGTGGAGTGGGTGCGGTGCTGACATGCAACAACTAGGCAAGACATCGCAACACAACTTGTGCAAAAATGGGATCGCTACGGCCCAGATCATGAGATTGAGCTCATCGGTGACATGTCCCGGCTGACCTTCGACACGATCGGTCTGTGTGCCTACGGCTACCGCTTCAACCAGTTCTACTCAGAACAGCCGCACCACTTCGAAACTGAGCTCAAAGAAGCCATTATCGAGTCTGGTCGCCGCGCTAATAGACCCGACGTGCTCAACAGATGGTGGTACTATAAGGACGAGGAGCACCGACAGGAGAACATTGTCAAGATACGCGGCCTGTGCGAAAGCATCATCCAAGAGCGCATCGACAACCCGAAGCCCGATGCGAACGATTTGCTCAACGTCATGATCCACGGCATTGACAAGGAGACTGGCGAGAAGCTGGGTTTCGACAACGTCTGCTATCAGATCCCCACATTGCTCGGTGGGGGGTACGAGACGACTTCCTCGACGCTTAGCTTCCTGTATTACTTTCTTTGCGACACTCCACAGGCCCTCCACAAGGCGCAGGCCGAAGTCGATGAAGTTATCGGGGACAAGGTTCTCACGTACGACATGCTTCCCAACCTCAAGTACCTCGACGCTTGCATCAAGGAGACCTTGAGAATGCAGCATCCGGTCAGTCTCCTGACTAGATTCTCCACAAAGGACACTGTGATTGGCGGCAAGTACTTTATCAGGAAAGGCCAGATGGTGTCTGGCATCTGGAGGCACTTCCACCGCGACAAGAATGCCTGGGGTGAGGACGCGGATGTGTATAGGCCCGAAAGGATGCTGGACGCCGAGTTTCAGAAGATGCCGCCCAATGCGTGGAAGCCGGTAAGTGCTGATCATGAAAACCTCGCAGGCCTGAGCTGGCGGGATTACACTGGCTGACATGATCGCAACAGTATGGTGATGGCCTCCGTGCCTGCATCGGTCGGGGCAAGCTGACTTACAACCGGTACAGCCGCTATGCTCTGTATTAACAGTTCTTTGTAAGGAAATTGGCCTGGAGAAGCCTAGATGGATTGTACTCCGTTGTGCCAGACGGAATTCTTCCTCAAAGGCCGATGGTGAGTCCCGGCATACATGAGGGTCTGCTACAAGTTGACGCGTCCACGAGCAGTTCGACGTTAATTTGGCTCCTCGCGGTGTCGTCGGCCTCGTCCTTCTCTAAGCATCGTCTTATTATTCTTTATTATTATCCCCTTATACCAAAAGCTGATCCCTATTTAGCACTGCCGTATTCACCCTCTACTATCCTAATTAATGCCGGCCGAATTAAGGGTAACGTAATCCACAAGCAAGCGGGCCACTTTCCCGCGATTTTAGACAGGCTCCCCTTTTCCTTAATTTTCTCCACTAATAATTATGGTACGACAATTAATTGAAAGTGATTTGATCCTAGCGATTCAGGCGCTCCAGTTTGACCCAAAATTAACTATACGAAAGGCTGCAGAGCTATGCAATGTACCTCGTACGACCCTCCAACGAAGACGAGCCGGCCGACCTGCCAAACGCGATCTCCGACCACCCTGCCAGAATTTGATCTCGTACGAAGAGGATAGCATTATTCGATATATAATCGACCTAGATTCGCGATCGTTTCCGCCGCGCTTAAGTGGTGTTCGAGAAATGGCGGATCGACTCCTCCGCGAACGCGACGCGCCACGTGTCGGAACGAACTGGGCTGCAAACTTCGTACGACGACGATCTGAGCTCCGTACGCGTTTTAATCGAAGAATCGACTACCAGAGAGTCCTCTGCGAGGATCCGGACGCGTATCGCGCGTGGTTTGAGCTCGTACGAAACATAATCGCGAAATACGGGATCCACGATAACGACATCTATAACTTCGACGAAACGGGCTTCGCGATAGGCAAGATCTCCGCCGAAACTGTCGTTACGACCTCCGATCGACGCGGGAGGCCAAGAGCCGTACAACAAGGTAATCAGGAATGGGCTACAGTAATCCAGGGTATCGCGTCGTACGGCTATTTGATCCCACCATATATTATCTTCGCGGGGAAGGTCCACCTCGACTCCTGGACCGCGAACAGCCCTCTACCGCCCGACTGGGTAATCGCGCTTTCAGAGAACGGTTGGACGACGAACGAGAGAGGTCTAGAATGGGTAAAACACTTCGATTTCCATACGAAGAGTCGTACGAAGGGTACCCACCGCCTCCTTATCCTCGACGGCCACGAGAGCCACCATTCCGTCGATTTCGAGCTCTACTGCAAGGAACAGAACATTGTAACGCTCTGTATGCCTGCTCACTTATCATATAAGCTCCAGCCTCTCGATGTTGGGTGCTTTAGCCCTCTAAAACGGGCGTACGGTAAAGAAATCGAGGGTCTTATGCGGGCGCATATTACCCATATCTCAAAGGAGGACTTCCTCCCAGCCTTTTATAAGGCGTACGACGCTGCGATAACAAAGTCAAACATCCAGGCAGGCTTTAGAGCAACTGGCCTAGTGCCGTACGACCCGAATTATGTGATTTCGCATCTAGATATAAAGTTTCGTACGCCGACACCGCCAGGTTCCTCTGCTGGACTGCCACCCCCTTGGGTTTCGAAGACGCCGAATAACCCAATTGAGGCCGAATCGCAGACGGAGTATATTAAAAATCGCATCGTACAACACCAAAATAGCTCTCCGTCGTCTATTATTGAGAGCCTACGGCAGCCCAATAAAGGAATCACAATAATAGTACACGAGCAGACCCTTATGCGCCATGACCTCGCCGAACTTCGAGATGCAAACGACCGCCTTAGCCGCCGTCGTCGTACGAAAAGAAAACAGCTACAGAAAGGAGGGTCCCTCACGATTGATCAGGCAAAAGATTTGAAGGCTCAAATCGACGCGACGGAGCAGTTAAGGGCGGAAACGAGTCAGAATAGTGGTCGTACGAGGAGGCCCGAAACACGCGCGCGCGACGATGTGGCGTCTGCGGCGAGCCCGGCCATAATGCTCGTACGTGTCAGAAAGTTGTATCTGCCTCTGAAGAAGAGGATTCCTCATAGTTTCAATTGATTTAAGGCGTTGTGGTTGAATTCTCTTATATATTGTCGTACGAGCACCCGGAAAGTGTCTCATTCACTTGGGTGTCTCAGTCACGGCTCCCAATAGGCGCACGGGTACCCGTGCGTATAATATTACACGGGTACCCGTGCAGATTCTGCTTACAGCTTAGCGTGTCTTAATTTCCGCCGACATCGCAATCCTGGATCCATATCCGGGGTGCACCCATATCAGCAGAAAAGGTCTGTCTTGACCTTCGCTAGTGACCTCAGGTGCTGTTTGACCTCCGATCACAGTATGTGCGTTGCCTTACACGTATAACGTATTTGACTTAACCTTTAACTATAATACACTCATCATCATCCCGGTGAAGAACTTGCTGCTCCTCACAGTCCTGTGCCGCCCTCCTCCACACATCACCCATACCTCTTCGATTAGCTAGACCGCTTGTCGACTCCTGGGCAACCTGAGCATCGATTCGCTCCGTCTCAGACCGATCCCAGTCCAAATATGCCATCATTTCTTCCCTTGTCCAGGCCCGTTCACCCTCTCGCGTTAAGCAACGCCTCGTCATTTGCTTATGGTCTAAGCACCAATCGTACTGCGCTTTACTATACCGTAATGGTAAACCCATTGCCTGCCGGTACATCTGGTTGCTCGCATAGGTACCCGGGAGTAGGGACTTCTTCCAGATCTCTCGCGTAGCGACGTATCTTTGGTAAATCGCTTTTGGGTCACTGTATTTTAAAGGCTGCTCCGGAGCTTGCTGGTGTTCTTCGGCGTACTCTGAGACGGGTTCTTTAGCTCGTCGTAAGGGCTGGTCGTTTTCTGAGAGCCGAGCTTCGATCTCTTCTAAGATCTGTTCCGTAATCCCTTCTTGGGCCGACGAGTTATTAAGAAGTTCGGGAATTGGCGACTCATGTTGAGGTCTGCACGTCGATAATTCAATCGTAGCTTCAGGTATCGACGTGTCGGCCGGCGGCTCTGGTGTTATTCGTAGCTGTTGCGATGCCGCCTCTACTCGAAGTTGTAGCTCTGCGTACTTTAGGGGGCATAATCGAGACGTCCTTGGATGACCTAGACGGTGACATCTAGTACAGGTTGAAGGTCCCTTTCGCTTAGCCGCGACTTCAACAGCTTCAAAGCCGCTAGGCTCCCTTCGGTTACTTGATCGCGGTAAAGAAGTGTTGGTACTAGTCATATCAATACGTTGGCGAGGCTCTTGGAGAAAAGGTTTCGCGCCGCTCCGGATTAGGTGCCAATGCGAATGGAAGTCTCCTAGGTAAAGGGCTTTTCCTTCGGACAACAAAGCCTCAAGTTTGTGAACGCATGGTAGGCCTTGCGACCGAGAGAATATGCCTGTACAGCGTTGTAGCGGACTGCTCGTCTGGAGAAGCTTCCGCTGCTCTTCAACCTTTCGAAGAGCCTCGTGTGATACCCAACCCCGTACTACACCATAAAGTGGACCGGAAAGTTCGATCGGAGACCGAATCTGCTGTTTTGCCTGGTTGGACCTCAGCTCCCCAAGTTGGTTTATTAGCGCATGCTTAATAGCCCTCCAGGCCTCAAACAAATCGAGTGTCGACGTTTTCAGATGACTTTTAAGAAGTGCATGGACACCTTCGACGCGCGAAGTAACAACATTACCGAAATGAGGGTAGCTGTCAACCCAGGCCTTTACAAGCTTTTCCTTATACAGGTCAAGCCATGTCTCTTTAATGTAGGCCACGTCCCGTACATGCGTTGTAATATAGCGTTGTTCAAATGTCGACATACGGATGTCGAATATTGCCTCGGTGGGAGAACGAATAATTTGGTGCCAGTGCTGGTAAAAGTCATGCCACTCCTTCAGTCTCGCAGATTTGTCGGCTTCGGAGTCCTGGAGTTGTAGCTGGATAGCGAATGAAGGCTGACAGTATCGAAGGACGGCTTTGTTCGCATGCCAAAGGCATAGCAATGAAGCAGCAGAAGGAAAGCATACTGCGATTGCGTTGATACAAGCAAGACATCGATCGGTAAGAATAACTGAAGGTAGGCGGGATTTGCTAATTTCGTAGAGTGACCGGAGGCGCTCTAGAGCCCAAACGAAATCTTCCTCGCTTTCTCCACTAAGAAATGCGAATGCGATACAGAAGGATCGTTGAGAAGCGTCTACTCCGATTATATCTAGGAGCGGCATTCCGTATTTGTTCGTTTTGTAGGTACAGTCGAGGATTAAAACATCCGGATAAGCTTGAAGATAGCTTAGCGACTCTGGATGGGCGAAAAGCACAGCCTTTACGCGGTTCTCCGAATCAAGTTGTAAACGGCTCCAGAAACCTTCATGGTCAAGCTGGTTAGCTAGGGCATTGATCGTGCTCTGCCCTTCGTACATCTCGCGCCTACTGTCCGCGATTCGGTTGTAGATATCTTGCTGCGTTGCAATCGAACTCGTGTTTTGGTGTATATACGTTCGAATCTCCTTAGGTGCGACGCCAGCATTTGCGAGGCTAGATAGACGAGTGATCGTTTCCGTATCGAGTGCGCGATGCTTAGGATGGGCGGATGGGTGTAAACTTGGCTCGTGGTTGCGTTGGGCAAACTGCGGGTCGGGTCGGTGTCGTATTGTCCATGTGCCGCTGTCTCGTGACTCTTTTGCTAGTACAGAGAACGGACAGTTGGTACTTCGCGTAGATGTTTTTCCCTGGCGCGGTCTTCCAGAGGCGTAGTCGCGACATGATCGATCACATGCATATACGACTGAGAGCCTGCCTGTCTTTTCCTTTGTTGACCTTTTCGTAACAAAGGCGTAGCCTCTTGTGTACGCCCACTCGTTGATAGCTTTAAATAAGGTATCTCGGGACTCGTAGGTGCCTTCCGGAGGGAGACTGTCATCGGGAAATGAATGGTGGGTACTACTAGTAGCTGCCATCGGGAGACAAATCTGAGGCTAGTAATGGTAATAAAAGAAATACACGAA